TCTGCCGTCCTCGTCGTTGATCCGATCGCTTTAACCAACAACCGTCGCTGTCGTAGTGCCTATTGTCTTCCCCTGGAAACCGCACACCTCCGACACGTCGCTCTTTTCTCACACGCAGACTTCCACGCTCGTTACTCGGTCACTGCACACCACACCCCACCCTCGTTATACACCGCATGATGCTTTTGTGATTTCTCGACCACTTCCAGCGCATGACCTTTCGTTCATTCCAGCCACTCCGACTACAGAAGATCAATATACCCTTGCATTAATATCATAATACCTTCGACATGTCAACTCCGCTACCCGAAAAGGCTCTCTCAGGGCACTGCTCTGTCGTCAACAACAACACCCTATACGTCCTGTCGCCCGACTCGTTCCAGGCTCTACCGCTCGCCGAGAATGCCACATGGACTTCAATGGACATGGGCAAACCCGTGACTGGCCATACATGCCTACGCGCAGTCCCCAATGGAGACGAATCACAAGCCGCACTATACGTGGTAGGCGGTACATCAGACGACGACTCATATGGAGGACTACAACGTTATATCTTCTCGAACCAATCTTGGGAGACCCTCGACCTGCCTACAGAAGACATGAAAAGCCGTGTAAACCATGGCGTAGCATATCTGAACGACTCGTCTTCCATCCTTGTATACGCCGGTTCTAGAAGTGGCGTTGAGTATTCATCGCAAACCTTCGTCATCTCAACCAACCAACCTTTCAACATTGAATCATTTACATCTCAGGCCCCGACAGTCTCTAACCCAATCCTATTACCGTGGGACGATAGTTCCGCCGTTCTCTTGGGGGGTTCCAAGTCTAACACTGGTATCTGGACTTTCAGCAAGAGTAGCAGTTGGACCAGACTGGAGACTAATCTTACCTCAGCACTCTCTGACGGCGCAAAGGGTGCACTGGTGACTGGTAGTGATGGAAGCAAGGTTCTCACGGTTTACGACGCAAACGCCACACCCAATGAAGTCACACAACTGGTATTGTTGGATGCCGACGGTCAGCCGGCGAGCACTGGTCAGACTGTCGGTGACAAGTCGAGCAAATCAAGTCCAAGCAAATTCAAGCGCGACTTGACCCTTGACAACTGGCCGACGTACAACAGCAGTTCGGCACCATCGATTAAAAGATCGGATTACTCGGTCGCACAGAATGATGAGGGTACTCTTGCTGTCATCAGCGGAGGCAACGACGACACCCCCGTCAATGTCTTCAACCAGACTAGCAACTCATGGGTTGACAATCAGGTTTTGTTTGGTGACCAGATCCCTCTGACGACAACATCGGCCTCGAGCTCATCTGCTCTCCCTACCTCGACGAGTACACACGCCTCTGCAACATCCTCTGCTGCCTCAAAACCGAAAGAGCATAACGACTCCGGCGCCCATACTCGCAAGGTTCTTGGCATCACTCTGGGTCTTTTGCTTGGTCTTCTCGCGGTACTTGTCATTGCACTTCTTCTTGTCAGACGTCGTAANGCAACAAAGAGAAAGACACCTGGTGGTGACGAGAAGGCGGATAGAATGAGCTTCCAAGACAGAGGTGCTTCTTTCATGAAAGAGGCAAGTGGCACAGTGAGCGACGCTCCACCACAATTGCCCAGACCTGTCATGGGTTCATACGACAATCGCAGCTCTTTTGCTATCCTCGCCGGCAAACTTGGAGCTGATCGTTTCAGCAAACGTTTCAGCAGATTTAGTGCATCCGAGAAGACCCCGGTTAACAGCAGCACCAACCCATACTCAAACCTGGAGCCNCCTAAGTCTGCATACCACCACCAAGCCAATGACTCATCAAGCTCGTTGGCCATCATCTCTGGAAAATACGGCAACAAGCACAGTAAAAGCCATGGCGAGAAGGGCAGTTTCGACAGCACCACCAAACTGGTACGATCACCTACAAGCCCGCAGAGCTTTGATGATCCCATGGAGATGGAGTCTTTGGATGGTCAGACGCCCAAGATGACTTCTGCTCGTGGTCCCCCACCTGTGATGTCATCTCTCAGAGTTGTGCAGAACCAAAACAGAGAAGAGGACATGCAGACAAAACGTAGCTCAGGTTGGTCGAGGTACTTTGCAGACCAGAACAATGGTGGCGCATACGACCCTGCAGCACAAAGTTCACCCAACCTCAGTGCATCAATCCATACATCACCTAACCTTAGCGTCTCTGACTACACACCATCACTTCAGCACCCCTCTGCTATAGTGGCACCTCTTGATGTGGAGCACAAGTCGCACTTGCATCCAGCAGACGCCCACAACCACCGCCTGTCAGCTGTGGGTATGGGCAGACCTAGCTTCAGTCACAGTGTCGAGGACTTTTCTGCAAGAGGAGCGAGCTTCGACATGGCTGAGGGTCAACGTGCCGACTTCCACACTGGTCAAAGTCTGGAAAGCCAAGGCTATCTTGATGGAGCCCGTGAGTCGTTCGCATCGTCGAGACGCAGCAGTGTAGAGTCATCACATTTCTTCTCCCATGGCGATGAGTGGACTCCTGTTCACGGCGGCGCAACAATCGCAACCGCCCAAGCAACCAACACTGCTCAAGTCGTCAACAGGAAATCACCAAACTCGCCTGCAGTCAATGAAGTCAACATCCCTGCCTCACCTGCTGTTTCCGCCTCCGCCTTCCCTCGTCCACCATCAAGCACATATACCGCAGACGTAGATCGCGATAGTCGCATGCACGGTTTTGAAGCACCCAATGCTCTCGGTCGCGCTCTGAGTCCTCCAGCTGCCGTGGCCATTCCTGGTCCCGCTGCCCGTGGCAACAGCGGCGGCGGTTTCTTCCCTGGCAGTGGCACACGTGCCATTCATGATCGTCCCAGCCCTGCCCTCGCCGGCTCAGCCCGCAAACTCGGTGCTCTTCACCCTGGTACCCTCGCTGCCCTCCGCTTCACACCCGACCGTGCAGCTCCTCAGCCTCCACAAGCCGGCCTTGGTATCCACAATTCCGACGAGAACAGAGACTCGTCAGGAACAATGTGGCCGTCTGCCACTGCAGCCCTAGCACAGCGAGAGCGCGAAGAAGCGTTTAGACAACGCTTAGAAGCAGAGAGACAGATGAAGCAAAGGATGGACAATGGCGGCGCAACCAGAAAGACACAAGCCAGTGATATCAGTTGGGTGGACATTGGACAGAACTAGGAGATGCTTCTGATTCTGGAGTACATGACATGCTGATGGTTCTTCTTTTGGGTTGTTTGTCGTTTCATAGAGCTAGCTGGTTGGGGGTGTCTTTTCTCTTTGTTTCTTACTTTTCTCCATGTCATAACCTACATTTTCTTCTTCTTCTTCTTCATTCTGTTTCTTCTTCCTCCTTTGGCTTCTGTCTTTTTGTTGCCTTTTTTTTCTTTTGGGTATGACAAAAGAAAGTAGTTCTGGTGTTGACAGCATTGTTTGTATGCATGGGAAACGAAGTGCGTTTCCCCTTTGTGTTTTCAGCACTCTCCACGATGCATGTTTGCTTCTCTGTAGACTGACATTCTCCCCATACCCGAGCTATACGATTGGTTTCTTTCTTGATTCTTATGTTTGTTTCGTCCATTCTGCGTGATTGTATAAATGGTCAGGTTCGCCCATTACTGCAAATTCTTACTTGGAAGGGAAAACTGGGCTTTTTACTCAAGCAGACTGCGCATTTGAGTTTTTCTTTTTTGTTTTCTTTTTTCCCTGTGTATGTACATGTATCTGCTTTTTCCCGATCACAACTGATTCTCTGGCTGGAGGCATCCTGGTAATGACTTTGTGTCTGTTCTTGACAGCAGTTTTTGATTGTCCAAAGGACAGTACAACAGTGTTTTTCTAGATTCATGCTAGTAATGCCACAGGACCTTAATTGTTTCCAAGCTTCCATTTCCTTTTTCTTTTATTTTCTTGGAAGACGGTATAGCTGTGCGGATTTTTTTTCTTTATTTGCAAGGCTCCCGCTTCAATGAACCGGTGGTAAACAGTGCTCTTACAAATCTGACTATACTTGATAATACGTGCATCTTTATTGCCCTTGAGATATAATCACAGCTATTGATGAGTGTAAGAAGACAAGAGGTACAAAAGAATCGTCAACAAACTTTTTCTCTCTGACTTTCTCCATTTCTTATGGATACGATGTTTTTCAAGGAAAAAAGACGCTTCAGAGGGGGTTTGGCAGGATAATGGTAGGTAGGTATGTGTGTGTTATGATTGATTCCTATTGAGATGGGGGTTTCTGTATCCTTTGACATGGTTTGCTGGTTTTTGGAAAGCAGACTTATTCAAGTATATCGGCACGGCTCTAGGGTCGAAAGACTTGTACCCCTGGGTTCGGTTTATTCTCTTGTAAGCCTCTTCAAGATGGGATCCAGCCGAGGATTTATTCTTCCCGGTGCAAAGGTAGGGATTTTTTTGAGATCTCACACAAGCCAATACATATATATCTCCACTTCTGTGACTTTTACGACTCTCAGAGATGTCTGAGAACTATAGTTTAGTAGTTTTTGTAAACTATCTTTGCCAACAGGTCATGTTGTAGTTTCCTGGTCTTGGAAAACGAGCTTATGGGATGAGCTTCTCCCCATAGACCAGACTTGAAAGAAAAGCAAGGTAGAGTTAGACAAAGAATAAGGTTGAATTGGATATAAGAACATACAAACATACTCGTGCAGGATTGTTTCGCCTTGTTCTTTGGTATATGTGGTTGGATTGGCAATTGAGCTACATCCACCAGACGACAGTAAAGTTCTAATCTCCCAATCCAATCAAGGCTGTAGGTTTATGTATAAAAATGCAGAAAGGTATCGCGAAGCAAGAAAGATCCGGAGAGAGTGTGGAATTCCAGCTCTCTGCAAAAACACCGTCCACGGCAACAACACTGTGCATTTCTATGGTTATGGGACTGGATGTTATTTCACAAGGAGAGATTGTATTTGAAGAGCAAAAGTGACTTTTATTACATAGCTAAGACTAGAAACCGTCCCCATTGAGTGGATAGTATACGACTAGCTAATTCTCAGCCTTCTCAGAGAAGTGCAGGTATTCCATGAAGGCTTTCTCGCGCTGCTCGACAGCCTCGTCCTCGTTCTCAATCTCCTTGACAGAGCCGAAGCACAGCTTGGTGAACTTCAGTGCGGCCTTGGCGGCACCTTTTCCGTGAGCAGCATCCATGGCAAAAGCCCAGAAGTCAATGTCAATCCAGAAGCGGTAAGGGTCGCTAATGAAGGCGCTGTCACGACGCCAGTGACGTGAAGCAGGGCCGTCCTGATCGGACCAGACGTGTCGATTGAGGAGAACCGATCTAACATTGGTAGCTGAGATGAGGAGCGAAAAGACGGCCTGAACGTCTTTGCGACGGGGAGTTCTGGAGTCGCTCCAGCCATTGATGGTGATGTCTCGGAGGGACATGCGGCTTGCGGCATTGAGGTGGGCAAAGAAGAGCTGGAAAGTTTGGGCAGTGGCGAAGTGGAAGGGTTGCGAGTAGAGGTATGGGAGAGCCTCATCTCTGATAGCCTTGTTGATGCGTAGGACGACTGGCTGGAGGACTGTGTGAACATATTCTTTCTTGGCGCGCTTGACCTTGTAACTATAGTGACCATTGTACTCGATCTTCTCCATGACGCCGCGGAAGAATTCATAGCCATTGGACTTGGGAACAAAGCTGAGGTCTCTGGTGGTTTCGACAAGGCATGTCTTGTAAATCATGACGCGAATTTCTGGTGGCAGCTCCATAAAAGGGAAGGGCACGTCCTTGATCTTCTTGGGTTGCTTCTTCGAATTCTTCTTGAGTACCAGCTTCTTCTGCTGAGCTCTGAGCTTTCTCTGGACACGGTCAGTTGGGGTGTTACTACTGTGCATTCAGTCAGCATACCTTGTCGGTGGTGAACTCTTGGTCGGAGCCAGAGTCGGAGTCGGATTCAGGGGCGCCATCATCGTCACTGTGGCCTTCACTTTCGGTGGAGGCGTCGTCTGAGGCAGGCACGGCGGCGGCGGCGGCGGTTTCATCTTCAGCGGCGATGTCGGGTTGAANNCTGCAATGTCGTCGTCGAGTTCAGTTGGTTCAACATAGCTGACTCTGGCGCGACTGCGCTTGGGGCGACCGGCATTCATCTCGCGTTGTGCAACCCAGCATGCGGCGTAGTGAAGGTCAATAGGTGGGATCGGATGACGATGGATGGGTGTGCGCTGAGGCAGCTAGAAAGGCGAAGATGGAAGACGAAGTGCAGACGCACGTCTCTTGGGAACGAAGTTGGATCGAGAGGCCGTCGTACCGAGCTTTCAACACCGCTGCTGCCTCAGGACAAGATTCGCGTTGCGGTTGACTAATTCGAGTCTCACTCGCACCCGAAAGCTGCGTGAAGAAAATACCAAAATCCATTGTGTGAGCTTTGAGCGCGAGCACTGAGCGCGAAACTCGGCGGTCTAGCCATACTGGACAAGTCGCAAGCCCCCTATACCAATGGGGTTGCCTGAGGCATCAGACGCCGTCCTTGAACGACGGCATTTCTTGGACGTTGACCTGCTTGGGAACTCACATGGCCCCTACATTAGTTTATGAAAAGCTCCAATGGGCTGTCGAAAGTCTCGATTGGGCTGTCTCCAGATGTTTCGACTGGTCTCATTGTTGCGGCTTGCTTCTTGGACCGCTGTGATCAAGCACGACTTTCTCTGATCAACCACATACTTCAGTCCGCTACTTCCAGAACCAGCCTATCCTAAGAATGGGTTGTTGTTCGGGGTTGGCCGTGTTCTTAGATTTTGTCCCACTATCATATATTCATGACACACTGGAACATTCCCTTGACAGTGATCGGAGCGACTCAGACACTCCTGAGAACCATGGCGCATTCCGCAGATGCTTGTTGAAGGACGACCATAAGACATCCTTGTGTCAACTGTCATGTCCTGGGCTCGATCACCTGTATCTTATCGACTTGCATTCTCTCGTCGCTGGTTGCCCCAGATTGGCGGTTGCAAGTAATCATGTGGTTGACCCAGCGAAGCTGTGTACTCCTGGAGTCCTTGGCCGACCTAACCAATATACAAAATTAGTACCGTTTGCACAGACACACAGGACAAATCGGCAGACGAGATACCATCTCATGTTCCTGGAAAGACACAGCACTCCCTGCATTTGAGACCGTGTGCAGATAGAGCTCAGAAATTGTCTCTGGCTCTTCATCAGAGATCGATGCACGGGGCAGGAATACTTGTCCGAGTCACGTTCGATGGGTATAAGAACACGACTCGTTGTGCTCAGGGACAGGAAGCTGAACCTCCCTGGTGCTGTCCTTGAGGGTACACGACTATTTCAAGAATAAAGGGTCAATCCATTGGAGATGACTATGCTAGACACTTCTTTTGGACATGACCATCAACCTCAGATATTTAGTATGCCATAGCAGCAGATATTGAAGTCGAAAGAAGGTGATTATCGTAACAGAGTCACAGAGTCACAGTGTTGACTCGAGGCAGCAGGAAGGAGCGAGGTGAAGCGTTTCCTCGATTGACAGTTTGCACTGTTTGCTTTGGACACTTCCCCCAGCTTTGGCCATCAAGGGACAAGTTTACCTCCAATACTTAGTACACACTACCATTGACTAGACATCTCGCCTTATAACACTTCAAGCCGACCCTTGTCAGCTCTCGCGATCACACAGCACTCATCAAACACATCTTCTAACCAAACAACCGCAACCATGGATCCCTACTCAGCAGAGGGAGGTACGATCCAGCCCCTCAACCCCAAACACAGCTCCTGAACATGCAACTGATGCATAAACAGAGCTGGTAAACATGCACACAGCCTTCATCCAAGGCCAATACCAACAAGTCATCGACTTCGACACATCAATCTTCAGCGCACCCAACCAACCCTCGGCCCAGATCCTCAAATACCGCGCCCAACTCGCCCTCCAAGACTATTCGTCTGTCGCATCCGCCATTTCCTCTTCAGACGCATCCTCCGACCCTTCGCTCGCCGCCATCAAGACCTACGCTTCATACGCCGCCTCAGGCTTCTCCTCCGACTCGTCCGTCTCGCAAGCAGAATCGCTATCCCAAAGCAACAGCGACGACCTGACCGTCCAACTCCTCTGCGGTGCCGTNCTCGCCCGCGCCGGCAAACCCGACGAAGCAATCGCCCTCCTCAGCAACCACCAAGGCAGCCTCGACGCCGTCGCCATGGCCACCCAGATCCACCTCTCCAACAACCGCACCGATCTCGCTGCCAAGGAAGCAAAGTCCGCTCGCGCATTCGCTCAAGATGCCCTACTCGTCAATCTAGCCGAATCTTGGATCTCGCTGCGCGAGGGTGGGGATGCAAAGTATCAACAAGCATTCTACGTGTTTGAGGAGTTGGCTCAGGCGCCTGGGTCTTCGGCTGTGTCGTCGTTGATTGCACAGGCAGTGTCGGAGCTGCATTTGGGCAGGTATTCAGAGGCTGAGACGGCATTGCAACAAGCATTGGATGTAGAGCCTGAGAATGTTGTTGCGTTGGCTAACGCGGTCGTCTTGTTTACCGCGCAGGGCGATGTGGAGAGAGCTGCTGAGATGAAGGGCAGACTGCAAAAGTCCAAGGGTGGTGAGGAGACGGAATTGTTGCAGGGACTGGCTGCCAAAAAGGAGGCCTTCGATGCTGCTTGTGAAAAGTACCAGCCCAAGTTCGAGCCCTAAGCATATAAAGGTCAGAGAGTCAGTCAGGCGTTCTGGAATGGGAAAATACAGGCACGTTCAAAGAGATAGTATTCACGTGTCTTGATGAAACATTGGCATTTCTAGGGTATCGAGTACAAGGCAGAATCCCCACAGCACTCAACAAAATCCGGAACAACTTGTTCGCATTGGATGTACAAGTTCAAAGTCTCCATTCTTGATCTTGTGACAGAGTTAGATGGCATCGATTCGTTCCCACCACGGGAAATCCCCACCTGCAATCTTCCTGTGATGAGAAGGAGTATTTCCCCTGTAGTCCGCTCACTGCTTGCTCGGAAACGATTCTGTTTCCTTCTGCATGCCTCGCGCGTGGTATCGCCAATCGTCTCAGTCTCTCCAGACCATGGCAAATGTTTTCCCGTAATCTGCTTCTTGGAGGCTTTCCTCAAAACCTCAATTTGGGCCCCACAAACACCAACAAGAAAGCCGCAATCCACAAGCCGGCGATAATAGCATACAGTTTGATCCTTCCCCACCAACCCTTGCCCTCTGTCATTCTCCTCAATGCACCCATTCTGTTTCCCGCAGCCTCCATGCCCATGGAATTTTTGTCCAAGCCGGACTCTGCTCGACTCAGGACTTCCTTTTCGGATTCGAGGGACGAGGCGAATTGGAGAGACGACTGTTTGAGGGAGCGGGCGAGGGTGACGAGGGAAGTGGTCAGGAGGTCTTGGTCGCGGGTTGCCGAGTCGAGGACCTGTTCTGTGGAGAGAGGGGTAGGAGCAGTGCTGGGGTTTGATTTGCTGAAGAGTGCGGTGGTGGTTGCAGAGTCGGGAGCTGCAGTGCTGTTTGTCGCATTTGTTCTGTTTCGTAATGTGGAGGCTAGATCTTGGGCTGCTTGTTGTGGTGATGTGAGGGAAGGGTCTGTGTCGAGGGTATCTGATGTCGAGACTGCTGGTGCAAATTCCCTGGGTCGTTGAGCTTCGTCTTCGTCTTCTGAGGAGGACGAGTCGTCATCGTGGAGAGCGGCTAGTTGGTTTAGTTCTAGCAGGCGAGTGTTTAATCGTTTTACGAGGTCGCGTTTTGTGGCTAGATCGGCTTGAAGTGTGGTCTTTTGGGATTGGGTCTTGATGTCTTGGGTGTTGTGTTCGAGGCGGAGGACGAGTGTGCGTGCGTATTCAACATTNNCTGGGCAGGGGAGATTAGCTTCTAGGTAAGAGAAGGACAGGCATAGTAGTGGAGTAGAGGGAGTGATACTCACAGCACTGATGCGATTGCGTTCATAAGGTGTGGTGCGGAGATGCGTGTCATCCGCCGTCGGCGAGAGCAGCGTGTCTGAAAGTCTTGCGAGGAGTTGATCCAGATCCACCGAGAGGTTTTCCCGCATTGATGTTGTTGCCATTGTTGCTTGCTCTTGTTTCAGTGTTATCCTCCAAGGTTGTGGTAGAAGGACAGAAGATTGTCTTGTTGTCCAGCCCTTCGTCATCAGCGAAGTGCCAGGCGAGTCATTTACCAATCACTTCTCCAAGTTTCTTGACTCGAGGACAGCAATGAATGACATGTGTGCAATCACATGCAAAGCTTCCATCTTTGAATCAACCCTCCATCCTCCATCTCCCACTTCGACATACTAAAACCAATAACATCAGACGTCCTCAAAAATGACAACGCCATCACCCCAACCCCCGCGACTTCAACAGACACATACCCCTACCCACCCCACCACTCCTTCCCCCCCTTCTACACCCTCCAACCAAATCAATCGACCCTAACCCGCCAACTCCACCTCTGGTCCCACCTAATCCAATCCCACTGCTCCTACCACCACACTTTTTCCCTCTCAATCTCTTCCTCCACCACATCCCCCCTCTTCAGCAACCAAGAGATCCACCGCGCCCTCTCCACCCCCGACATCAAAAAGGTTCTCGACTACATGAGCACAGCAGAAGGAGAATCCCGCGCGGAATGGCAAAACAAAGACCGCACTTTTGCATGGATATGGTGGAAGAGTGCTACCGAGTGGGCAGAGCGGATTGCAAAGTGGGTGGATGAGACGGGCCAAAAGGGAGTCGTCTTGACCATTTATGAATTGAGAGAGTCGGAGGCCGTGGAGAAGCAAGAGTGGGTGGGTATGGATGAGGACATGTTGAGACGATGCCTGGAGGTTTTGGTCAAGAAGGGGAGGGCGCAGGTGTTTGGGCAGCAGGATGGGAGTGGTGTCAAGTTTTTCTGATGGAGCGGTTGCTGCTATGGTATAACTCAATGCGACAGAAGGAGTTGTCGAGAGACTTGGACAAGGCAACGAGGTCAGGGCCAGATTCGCAAAGTGGACGTGACGACATTACTCTCACTAGCCTGTGAACATCCCGGGCCACTCGACATAGCAGGACTCGGCATTGGCAACATCTCAGAGTCGAACAGCGGATTCAATTGAAGGCCTGGACAACCAATATGCTGTACTGGATACGACATTCTACATGGCAGCCAGCCATCAACCATCTACTTTGTCCATCCAGGCACCAACTCCTCCTTCAACTCCCACTTCTCATCCCACTCCACCCTCTGACTCATGGCAAGATTGATCAACCAATCCGTCTTGACAATCTTGGGCTCCAATCCCTTCTTCTCGGCTTCCGTCACAAACCTCTCCCATAACCGGACCTCCTCATCACTAGTGCTGGAAATCAGGTACACTCTATTCAACTCTTCTTCTCCACCTTGATTTTCTGCTTCGTCACCTGCTTCTGGGTCTTCTTGAGGAGCAATTCTGGGTCCGGAGATGACGTTGGAGCGGCCTTTGTATGGTACCGCCGTACCTCCATTGATGGCAATGATTTCTTTGTATGTCTCAAACTTGCCGCTGACTTTTTCCGTCACGAAAATCGTCCAGCCGTGCAACAAACGATTTGCATTCGTGGCTCCGCGTTCGATGGCTTCGTTCATGAAAAACCCAAGCCTTTCTTCGGCTTCGTGGTCTTCGAGTCTGTACCTTTCGACGTCTGGGAGTGTGGGTTTGGAGAGCGCGGTATCGAGGTATGAGATGTTGACCACTTCTGGACTGTTTGCGAGCGCGGCGATGAATTNTTTGGTGCGCAGGATGCGGGGCGCGCAGAGGAGGGTGCATTCTGCGGGTTCTGTGGTCAGTTTTATACCCAGAGCTCGTAATTTTGCCTGGTTTTTTTGCTTTGTTAGTTCTTGGTTGTTGGTATCATTGTGGATGAGGTTTGCAAAAACTCACGGCGTCGGCGGCTTCTTTTTTAGATTGCCCATCCATCGTTCATCTCCCGTCACCATCATGTTGTACAAGACCTTGGGACCAGTGTCGGNTTTTGGCCTTCTTGGCCTTGTTGCCTTTGACACCTGTAATCTCCGTCTCGCTGATTTCAGCATGGCTGTCGCCCATATCATCGCTCTTCCGTTNNTATTCCTCGTCGTCTTTGTTGTCTTGGTCGTTATGGCAGCAGGAGCATCCTCAGGCTCAGCAGTCCTCCTTCCTCCATGCACGACACCGCCTTTTCGTTTCCTCTCGCGTTCATACTGCAACACATCATCTTTCAACGCATGCAAATTGCTCAATGCTTTTTCCTTGGAGGCACGGCCGGTGGTCGGTGGACTTGATTCTCTTTCCTGTCGCTTGCCCAACATTGCAGGAGTGGTAATCGCTGCGTCAGAGCCCACGCGAGATTTCCTCTTCTTTGCAGTTTGCGGTGCTTGAGGGAGAAATTCACTAGTCTCGTTGTCGTCAATGTCCATGGCATCTGTTTCTGTTCCGTTTGCTGCAAAGGACGATCTTGCTGCTCCTGCGCTGGAAGCCGCGATGCCTCTTCTAGGCGATGTGTCTGGAGCTCTGACTGCGCCGCGGAAAGGATGTGGTGTTTNTTGGCCTGGCTCTGTGTCTTTGATTGTCTTTTCGTTGCTTGCAAAGTACAGTTTGCGCACTTTGGAAATGTCAATGTCGGTCTGTCCTACAATCTCGCCGAGATTTGTTCGCGGTGGGAAGTGGGTGTAGCGTTTTTGGGTTAGAGCTTGTACGGAGCATTTGGCATAGCTTTCTTCCAGCCAGAGGTGGTTGACAATGGCAATATTCCATTCTTGAGCGGCGTCGCATTTTTCAGAGTGCGTGTGGGCGGTGATTAGATGGGTATTGTCTTGCTTCATGGTCTTTGTGAATTCGGCTCCTGCTTCCTTGCACAAGTTTTCGAGGTAGATACGTGCTTCTCCGCTGTAGTTTGAAAGACTAATTCTCATGTCTTGGAAACCAGGGATGCCGCCTCTGGGTACTGGGTAATGGAGAAGTTTGCTGAGGGGATTCGTCCATTTGTTGCGATTGATGACATTGTAGAACCAGGCGAGATTTCCGACGGTTCGTTCGGCGCGCGAGGCGGCTATGTAGTCCATGCCGTCGCGGTAATGACCAATGTATACATCGGATTCATCCACGTTAGTGGTGAGAGAGCCTCCGGCCTGGCTGACCAGATGTCTCAATGTCTTTGCCAGGTGATCGTTGATGTTCAAGTCTTTCGAGAAAAGCACCTTCTTATCCTTGAAGACGACAAGCTGCTTGCGCGAGTCGGATGGAGAGATGGGCGGGTTATATGCTGGCGGTGCTCCTGCTACGGCTGATAGTGCACCGTCAAGGCCGGGAGTCAATCGTGCTCGGACGGGTTCGTCAAAGCTGGGGCGAAGGATCTCGGGGTCAGGAAGGAGGTAAGGACCTTCGTTGATCAGCTTGCCAAGTTTCAAGCAGTCGTCGAACCTGCAATGGTCTTGTTAGTACCCCTCGGAAGAACTTCAGGAACACATCCAAGCATACCAATGTGGCAAGACAATCTTGCAAGCCAGATTCTTCGCATGAACAGTCCGACACTTGTCATTATGCATATCCATAGCCACTACATGCGTGACCAACTTGGTCAAGGGCGCACTGTACAAGCCTCCCAGCGCCAAAGTACCAGCAATGATGGCATCCTTGTCGCCCTCGGGCAAGTCTGCACACGAGACTATGACGTCTCTAAAGAACATGGACGGGTCTGGACTGTGCTGGCGCGGTTGTGTCTGTCTTCCCTTCTCGTAGCTGGACTCTACCCAGGATGGTCGCACGACGTGGACGTTGCACTCTAGTGCTCTGTTGTATTCGGGAAACTCAATGTCGCCGGTGACGATGTGGGTGTGGCGGATGACTTGGTCGATTGAGCCATCTTCTTTGCGAGGGATGTAGGTGGCGCCGTTGTTGGTCAAGAGGTTGATTANACTGTGGGCAGCTTGTCAGCGTCTTGCGTAGTGAATGTTCTGTAGTGTGTTTCTTACTCGCTCCTCTTGATCCGAGTCAATGGTCGGCCCAGTAAAGATGGTAAACACCACGTCGTGGAACAATAGATCCTCAGCTCCAGCCATAATCCTATCGCATATCTTGAAAGCGCGCGCGTGCCTTTGGAGGTGAAGATTGGTGTATGTAGCTCGTTTTGTGCGTAGGAGAGTTGTTTAGGTACTTGCAAGCAATGTCTCGGATGCAACACGCTCAGATACACGCGTTATATCTCTTAACTCTGCTCGTCTAGAACCTGCGATTGAATTGACGAGATTATGTCGATCGTGAAACCCGCGTCGAGCTGCTCACGCTGTCACTTGACCCGCACAGACCATGCAATCTATATCACTCCGGCAAGCATGTCACTGACCAACACTCGTCAAGGAAACATCATTCTATACAAAACTTGCAAAGAGAAGGCTAACTGAGTAGTGTCACCTCTCATGTCTGATGGTACAAAGCCAAAGAAACTACCTGCCCGAAACGCCTTCTGAACCACCATGCCATAGTATCCTCTCTTTTCACCTCATATTAGTACAAGCAATGAAACCATTTCCCATTGATCGTCGGCTTGGTGAGTGACACTCAAGGACTGCGGACAGAAGCAAGACTGCTGGCTTTGGAGGTAGCACGGCTTCTCATCAGCTCATCCTCAGCTCTCTCGATGTCACGTCTCTTGCGCTCCTTCTCAGTACCAGTGCCTTCCATGCGCCTGCCTTCACTCTTGAGCTTGACGCTACTGCCGCTGCTGCGAGATCTCTTCGACTTCTTATGCTGAAGGATCTCATTGTTGATTAGGCGGATCTTGCTGTCAAGGTTCATTGGCGAGGCAGACGATCCAATCAGAGTAGCACTTCTAGTGGCAGCACCGTTGAGGCGTCCTACAGTGGTGGGCGAATTGTCGGTAGTGGGCGACTGTGAGATGGCGAAACCTTGCATCTTGTTGGTGTAGGGGCTCAATGAAACGCCGCCAGCTGGCGACTGCTGCACTGGCTTGAGAGGCGAGGAGTACTGCGAAGAGTTCTTGTCGCTGCGATCGGCTCCAGCATGGGCAGAGTCGCTACGGATGGAGGTCTTGTGCTGACGAGGGGAATCATCGAAGCGTGCAGGGCCATTACGCTGCCGAGGCGGACTAGGGAGCTCACGATCAGGAGGTGGGTACAGAGGAGGAGAGTTGACCTGCTGAACTGCAACGAGACGCTTTTCAGGCTGCAATACCTGCTCAGCTCTGGCCACAATTCCAGTCATGTCGTGCAAGATCTTCATTGCATCAGCCTCGTTGGCCTTGGACACATTGCCGGCGTGGACAGTAGCGCGAGCGGCCTTCTTGACCACCTTGTAGGATTTGTCGTAGTCTCCGAGGCAGTCCATGAGGAAAGTAGCCTGCTCCAGAGCCAATGAGAGCACCAGCGGGTGTGCTGGATGTAGAAGGTCCTCTGCGCACTTGACTGCGCGCTCGAAGAGTCTCTTGGTTTCTGGGGTATAATTCAGAGCGGGCATCAGGAAGGTACTGGCTGAGACGGGAGGGTCATACTCAACCACGGTGCTTCTACCAAGACCGGGAGGTTGTGTAGGGGTTGTGTAGGGCTGAAGCGAGATCTGAGGAGGATCATCGGCTGGGACGTGAGCCAAGACAGGCGGCGCCTGGCCATGAGTAGCGTAAGGGTTGGTGGCAAAAGACTGCTCAGATGGGACTGGAGAACCAGCCAGGTTGAAGTCTTGGTCCTGTCTGGAAGCCATGTAGTATGCGCTGAATGCGCTGAGCTCTTCCACGTTTCTCTGGCGCAGTATGCGAACTGCAGGGGTGTTGTGGAACTGGCAGAGGATGTGATGGAAAGATGCGCGCAGCTTGAGGGCCATGACCTGGTAGACTCCATCTGCGCCCTTTCCACAGTATGGCGCGATGTACACTTCAGTGAGAGCCAATCCTTCCTTGGTCAGATAGAGCAGCTCCTGGTAGATCTCCAACGATCTAGTCTCGCGTTTGATGTCGAACAGGCGAAGCCTGCGGGCGCGAGCGAGTTTGTCCTCGAGTCTGACAGAGATACCGAGGACTATGCGAAGGTTTTCGACAACGATCTTGTTGTCAGAGACATAGTAGTTGATGAGGTGAGCCAGCACCTTGCGGTCGATCAGAGAGATCGCCATGGTGAGATCGTTGGGTGTTGAGGTGTGAGATCGCGGGACTCTCAATGGACACTGTTCGCGCGAAGTTTAGATCGTGGGAATTGATGGCGTGTTAAGAAGCGGAGGTCCAGTAATGGAGCCGAGTGCCAAGCTTGTTATATGCACTCCCGTGCAAGGGTGTCTATCTAGTAGGGGTGTGGTCTAACTCTCTTCAAGCTCACTACTAGCACTGGAGACCTCGAGTGTATACGGGAATAAGGTATCGTTTGTAGTCGCTAGGATTGGAGTAAGGCACCGTAGCGTAATGCCCCTGGAGGCGCGATGCTATGTCCTTGTCAAGAGGCAGAGATTGGATTGCCAGAGGCCTGACTGGAGATCGACACGGTATGGGGATGGGACACAGTGTATCGACACGAACGGGAAGCATTCGGGAGATGGTACTATTATTGATATGATAGTCTGGTCACTGTCAGCCTGGATACTTTGAAATCAATATCATCCTGGGTATCGCCACATTGGCCTGTTCCCTTCAGCGCAGCCCGGGGCGACGAGCGTTGACCGTCTTTTAAGATGAATTGACGCAGTGTTGTATTCTGCTCGCCATGGCTGAACAAGCAAAAACCAACAGCAAGGTGTACCCAACCAGACGGTACCCTGCAGGCGGAAGCACTTACTGAACATGAAGGCTAACGCTGCTTCGCAGACAATGACCCTAGGTGCCCTTGCTCTTACTACAATTCGTCAATGGCCTGACGTACAACGCTTGACTTTGGAGAGGCGTCGACGACCCAACAGCAAGCCTTCTCAGATGTGGATATCGCCGAGTATGTATCAATGCCAGGATTGGATGCAGCAAAACAGCAGGCACTCGGACAACACGAAAAACATAACCATAAAATGTCAAAAGACCGCAGAACATGCGAAAAAGAGATATGAAGGTATGAAAGAGAAGTTGGGCAGTGGCACGGTGGAGCGCCGGGATCGCGCAGCCTGCATGCAAGCATTGCATTGGTGCTACGTGTCGACCTCGCTTGTTGGCAAGGATGTTCCTTTTTGGGGAAGGGACCAAGATCCGGCTCTTGATCATACCGTCATGGGTGACATCTATTCAAGAAGATGAGTTGTCAGANNCCTGCTGGAGCCTGGGAGTGCTGATGATTTGAGGTTCCAGAATCCGGTCTGCTCCCACCATATTGAGGAGCATAGTTCGCATGACAGTTAACAGTTCTGCAGGAACCGACAGCAAACCTTCGTTCTGACAGGAGATCGAGCCAACGCCAATGCGGCCCTATCCGGGTCACTGTCTAGCAGATGCGCTGTGCGGTGTAGTAGCGTGCTNCAAAAAGGCGGTCAAGAATGAGTATCGACGATGTGATTGGCGGGCGGTGTCAGGCAGCGATCCACTCGGGTGGCCCAACGTCTGCCGACATCCAACAGACAAACACCTGAACATCGCCGCACCAATGAGTACTTCTTGAAGTGTTGGGTACGAACAAAGAAGAGACGGCCAGAAGATGGAGTCGCAATCAAGCTTGGAGTTTTCTGCCAGGCGGTGCTGAAAGGTCACACAACAAATCAAGCATGTGATACAGAGGCTGCATGGAGCAAGCACGATCAGCTCGAGCTCATTCCTCCGGCAGGAAGACTACCGGGGCAAGAGTACTTCTCTGAAGCCTGGCAAGAACGCATGATGGAGCGCTGCTTTCTCTAGTGGTCAGGCACCAAAACGCGTCGAATCCGAGCTGAACCCTTACGGATTGCCACTCAGCCTGCGCAAGCCACAACTCTCGTGGTCAAATGGGACCATCACGCGATGATCAGACTATAGTTCCAGCGACGGAAGGCGAGTGCTGTGGTATAACGTTTCGCAAACTTCAGTTGTCCCACCTCTGAGGTCGGCTCTTCGTCTCCGGCCTATCTTCCCAGCTCAAATCAAGGATGATCTTGAAGGACATCGTTTCATTCGCGTTCCCAGGATCCGATCCAAACTCGCCCGAAACACGGCTGCATGCCTACATCCGTGACTTGCATCAGATCTTTCAACCTCTCGTCTGGCGACATATTTCCTTGGTCGGCCTACGTTTCCGGTATCAGAAAAAATGAGGCAGCTGGTCGCCTTGTATGCACGACATGCTTCCACGCGGCTGGCTCTACCCCAGTTTATTGCAACGCACTGCGTAAAACGTTGTACCTGACTACCACCTGCAAGTGATGCCGACTGTTTGAGTAGCACATGCCGTCAGAGCCTGATATCTCGCAAGTAAAAGCTGACGAATTCGGTTGTAGCAACCAAAGCAACCCACTGGTCATGTTCTTGGCCTAAGTCGCATTCTTTGCCATGGCCCGGAAGAGGAGCAGATTGGTTGCTATCTAGCCTAGCATCGGCCGAGAGATGCTGGATGCACACAACACTCGCAGTAGCTCTACAATTACAAAGGCATCATGCAACTTTTCAAAGTGGACCGCCTATAACTCGTGCCTGGCTATGAGTGACAGCGAGTATATATACACTGATAACATGTTCTGAGAGAGTGTCACTTTTTGCATGCTCTCTTCCTGACACTCTGGTCTAGTCTGGCTCATCAGTATTCAACTTGCCTCTTTTATACACCACCATCGCAGGAAATGTGTCGCTTCTACGCCCACACCTATAAATGCGGACACACCAGGACCGTGCTTTCCAACCACTGTTCGAGGGCAGCTCTGATACAACAAGCATGTCGCAATGGAGACATTTGCGCCAATGTTCAAGTTGACGAGAAATGCTCATCTTGTCACAAACCTGTCAAGATTCTCGTTCAGACGAGACTGGTCAACGAAGATGTCAAATCTATGAGTCGTTGAGAATGCCGAATCATGGTGAGTGCCATTTGGTTCCCACCATTGTGCCGAAAACATTGTCTGACGGCCTCTTGAAGCAGTCATCCCCGAATCGAAATGTTTGCATTCCTGTCAGCTTATGCAAAATCGACAGACATCCACAGAGCATCCAAAAACTAGAGCAGTCCATCATCACTTCGCTATCTTCCAATCAATATCTTGGGGTCGTCTCCCCGGCAAACACGTTCATCACCATACAAGCGCTTCTGCCTTTTAGCCTTCTCACATTGTTCCTTGTTTCCAAGACACAAGATCTTTTCTTCTTCCCGCAAGGCTTTCCAGTATAGTTATGCATCGCATGGCGTCGTTTTCTTCTCCCTCGTCTGGAGTCACGAGCAGTCACGAGTAACGTACCCAGCCATTGCCACATCAAGCAAATTGGCATGACACCTCATTCTCTTGGTGCCCCTATGCTTCGCGGGACCAATGCTGCCTCATGGCCTTGAATGCGACTGTGACACGCACGTCTTTGTATTATTAGTTGCTAACTTTGTGCCGGACAAGGTACACAACTTTATACATTTCTTCGCTTCTTCGAGTTTCAACTTCTACATTGTCGACTTCTCTGGCATTCCTCATCTTTCATCAAACCCAGAGCATGATCAAACAGAGATGCCCCCATATATAGAGGGTATCGACATTCATACCGAATATGACCTGGATGAGGCATTCGACAAGAATAAGGGCGAAATGGATGTCGTGGCGAACGAATTCATTTTGTTGCTCGAAATGACATACAGACCAGAAGTATGTCGTCTCGTTGGGGCAAATGGCGCTCCCGATACTTTGATGTTATGGTACAAGCGACGACTCTGGTCAGCCTATGGAAAACGCCCATCAGACGCCTGAGGAGTATCACCGCATTCTGGACCAGTTTCGAGCTACAAGAGGCTGGTCGCCTATACACGAAGAAGAGACGCAGCAGCCTGAAGACACCTCATCCGACACTGATATCCTCGAGGATGAGTTCTTGGAGGCAGAGTATCGTGCATACTTCCCAGACACCGAAGAACTTGTCAGCCCTTTCCGAGCTCCCAACATCTTTGACTATCAGGACACTCCCTCAGACACAGCACCAATCCCATTTCCACCATCACCTCCGCCTCGCTTGGCAAACTACCACATCATCAGCAGCTATCTCAATCTTGACCCCAATGTCGGAGATGCAGATGTGGCGCACTATTTTGCAACTGAGCCAACTGTGCAGAATCGCAACCCTGAGCAAGAACTCCAGGACCTCCACAATGAGCTTCGGGACCTTGTCACCAGACACTCAAGTCTTGTGGCAGAACTGATGTCAGCGACAAGCCATGGATATCAGGACACAAGTGTACTCTACAGGTATTGGTACACTCGAGTGCTCAAAGACAGACCTGGACTCGCTTTCGACGCCATGGACGCTTTTGTGAGATACATGAGAATCCGCGGTATTGAGCACTGCAGACAAGTGCTCAGGGGCGACACCAGCAGAGCAGAAGCAAGTCGATGGCACACTATCTACGAGTCTTTTTGGGAGACACTCTTCGATTACTGGATGGATTTGGATCGCGAGTATGAAGCTGCACAACGTCTGGACAATTTCCGTCCTCAGCTTACGCCTCACGTCGTACTGACAACTCTGGCGAACATCAATACGCGCTTTGCCGAACAGACTGTCTCCATGCCCGAAGCCTTCAGATTGACTAGAGAAGCTTTCCTAGAAGAAGTTGAGGAACGCTCTTCATCCTACGTCTTCGAACGAGACTTCCAAGAACAACTACGAAACCTTCAAGCAGTGGAAGAGGAGATCAGATCAAGATACCAGGCTCGTCTTGCAGAGCGACAAGCAATCACACAACACGGATACCACAACAGCAGTGTACTCTACAGACACCGTTATATATGGATTTGCGGCGAGATATGGGAGGCCATTTCTAACACCCAAGACGCTTGGGATGACTATACCGAGCTCCGCGATCTAGAACTCAGAGAAAGATTGCTTGCGGATGAGATCACGATCCAACAAGTTCAGCATGCCAGAGATGAGACTGAATATCATTCTGATACACTTTCCATCAGATATGAGCGAGCTTGGATTGCTTATATCGAAGCAAAACGCCTTGTTGGATTTGATGCTGTTGCTCAACACGTGGAAACAGCTGCGATCCCAGGCTTTTTGTCATTCATCATGTCTTTCCTGGCTAGACTCCACAGAATCGTTTCTGCAGCTCTTGGACTTTGATCGCCTCAAAGCTCTCTAGAGGTAAGAACTTGTTTGCACGTCAAAGGTCATGATGCACATACCTTTCCACCTTCCTCGTGCGTATTCGCTGTCTTTTGCGCATGCGGATGCATGAGACTTCCCAGTCTCCTTTGCTGTCAGTTGTTTGGAGCCCAGCCACACAAAGCACACTCCAAACACATCGGTTACATCCAATTGGGAAAGAGAAGTCTTCGCCACACATCTACCAAAATCACTGCTCTGAAGAATGTGGTCAGACAGAATGAAGACGAGGTCAAGAGTTCGGTGGAGGGGTTTTGCATAAGCTGGGGAATGAGATGCCGGGGTGGACGAGACAGATTGGGTGGATGATGCGGCGTATTCCTTAGTTTGTGAGAGGATTGGAATGGCAATGGGTGCTGTGGATTTTGATGAACACAATAGTGAGGGAAGAGATCCATCCTTCCTGATATGCAACACGGAAGTAAGTTGTGAAGATATACTGATATGATGCATGGAAGGTCATGCGAAGACCAGATGAACGCATGAAATGCCATACCTATTAGCTATCTGACTTACCTGTACTTGTGAGCAGATGTCATCGCATCTCCCTGTGCTAAGCGTCTATCATTCACACTCTCCCTCATCAATGCATAGTGATGGATTGCCTATAAAGAGACACAGACTTATTCTGACTAAAGCCGCGTCCAGAGAGAGTCAACAGTCTGTCAGCTCTCAATGAGCATTGCCCTCTATCTCAACAACTCTATGCAACTCTATAGTCGCATGTGATCTTGACAGTCGAAGAACAGAGACGGTGAGCGAGAAGGACAGTCGAGTTCAGGCTGATTCCCCAGATTCGACGGCGAGTCGGGAGCGGCAATTGCGTCGGCCGTGCTGGACCGCCCAGGGTGACAGTCAGCCAGTCGACCTGGAGAGCAACAACGAGTCCTGGACATGATATTGTTTGTCTGTAAGGATCAAAAGTACGAAAGATTCAAGTTTTCTACATGATAACTGATTTCAGTTGATCTGTTAATCAGTTAATTGAGCAAGCTGTATCAAGAACACTCAGACAGCATCTCAATCCAGATAGCCGATCGGCATCTGGCAAGAGCAGAAACAAGATGCGTGATTTGCCGATCTCTCCTCGAAACCACGAAGAATGCGGGACGAAGGGGGATGTCGATGCTGCAAGCTGTGGAGAAGATCCCGACTTTCAGGAAATGCTGTAGTTTCGGTTTCCGGCCGATGCGCATCAAATAAACATGCCCTCTACATGCCTTTGGCTCGAAGCCTTGCACTTTTTCTCCTCTCTTTGATTGTCTCTATACTGATTTCACTGTTGCTACTCTCGACAACTGTCTCATAGCACGGCTTCCGAGACAAGGACTCGACTTCTTCCCCCCACGACAAGCACACGAACATCTTTCTTTCCGCGACCATGCTGCATTACGAAAAGACGCCTGTCATGCCTTCTGATCACCTTACGAATGCGCCTGCGACACCAATGCCCAATTCTTCGTCTGTGAATGCCACAGTTGCTGCCGGCACGGCTGTGGTGCCGCAACACCGACACATCTGGATCATCACCGGACCAGCAGGATGCGGAAAGACGTCTGTAGCAGAATACCTGTCCACAACTTTTGCTCTACCCTACCTAGAAGGCGATAGTGTGAGTCTGCTCTTCTCCTCCAAGGACTTCGGAAGGTCTGTCTTTTGCTGACACGTAAACGCGACANNGTTCCACCCACAAGCCAACATCGAAAAGATGGCAAACAATATCCCCCTCACCGATGCCGACCGCTGGGACTGGCTCATCCTCCTGCGCGACCAAGCCGTCTCCGCCCTCTCCACCGGCGCACCCGGTGTCGTCCTCACCTGCTCGGCTTTAAAACGCAAATACCGTGACGTCATCCGTGTAGCGTCCTACAACGACAACAATGTGCTCGTACACTTTATCTATCTGTCTGCGACGCAAGAGCTGTTGCTACAAAGGGTGCATGGCAGAGTGGGACATTACATGAAGGACTCGATGGTCAAGAGCCAGTTTGAGGCCTTGGAGCCGCCGACGAAAGATGAGAGGGATGTCATGAGTGTGGATGTCAGTGGCGATTTTGCCAGTGTACAGGCTCTGGCTGTTGAGGTTGTTAATCAGGTCATGGCTAGTGATGCTGTTATTGTTGAGCCTGTGCAGGCATAAACTTGTAGAGGGCTAGAAGAGATAAGCTGGAGTTTGGGATTGGCGGTTGTTTTACTGGGTGGGAATTGGGGGTTTAGCCTTTGTATGTATATCAGCCATGTCATCAGAATCATCACATGTTTGCTTTTTAAGCACGATTCATGAGAAAGCAGTGTACAGGTCTCGAGTCTCCTTTGAGTGTCTTTTTTTTCAGCAAGTCGAGCCAGTGACCCTGGTCGTATCTTGCAAAGACCTTATGTCCTTCACTTGATAAAGACGTTCGACTGCGGCGTTTCGGTTCCTGGAAGCGTCTGATTACATGGGACGAATTGCTAGAAGGATGCAGATTGAATTCCAGTGCCGTGGTTGTCGGGAATATGTAAATATGCAACTGGGCTAGATATTGCTTCTCCACAAAACACACCCCAAATGCTTGTCGTGCGTCAATTCAAGTTTGTCAAGACACCTATAACATTCTGTTAGGTGACTGAGTAATCACAAACATAGAAGGCATGTTCGGACGTGGATGCCTCATCAAGGGAATGTAGATAGCCAGATGAAATTTCATTGTGCCAGATAACAATTCCGAGGTTCGACATAATCTCGAACCTACATCAAGGAGTCCTACCCATGCGCTATAAGAACTTTGATAGTAATCCACGACTGTCTTGTTATCAGCTCTGTGGCTATGGAGGCACTTTGAGATCATATTCTCCAAGTGAAATCCATCACTCGGGAACTGTTGTGCTTTATAATATTCATAGGCCTGAGATCAACTCCGGAGGAGAAGCAAGCCTTGTGAAGGTGGGTTGCAGACCTAAGCATGCCATCGGGCATGGACTCGGATAGTTGAGAAAGTCTGGAAGCTGCATATGGCGTGCATGTTTGCTTGCTCGACAACTAGATGACATGTTGCTTGCCTGGTTTTAAATTCGATGATTCTCAGGTAAATCGGTGGGGGATCGTGGAAGCGAAGCATAATTGGCAGCCGAGCAAGAAAGTCCACTCTTCATACTTGGTCAAAACTGCGACAGCTGATATATGCCTGGTTGCGAGCCATTCCGGATATCTCAGAAGGAGGGTCGAATGGGGACTTTCGAGCTCTGTAGGTTCGCTGGACTATTCTTGTGAGTACGGACTTTCGTATATCATCGTAATGATGTACGATGAACCACACAGAACGGATCTGAGGCCCGACTGCCCGAACAGCTCAGCGACTAACGCGGAACTGCGGGAGGAGCACTGTCAAACGAGTCATTGGAGTATGACAGAGTGAAAGGTCAGACAGGGAACAAGCAAGGACAACTGCCGTGAACCAAATGGTGAAAGGCAAGACTTTGATTCCCGTGCCCCCAAACGAGCTTGGCCGGGCCGAGACACGGTACGAATCCCGGCATCCTCTTCGCGAAATCAGCGATGCCACCGGATGCCCGCCTTTTTGTCAGTAGATCATGTGCCTCGGTGTGAGCCAAGGCGAGTGTGGAGAACCCCAGTGGGGAGCACAGTGGAGTCTGACCACAGAAGGCGGGCCGTGGAAAGAAACCGTGTATAACCGTTGGAGTGGAGTCGTGTATAGTATGTAGCGTGGTTGGTCGTGCGGTGCAGCCAGAAACCATCATCGAGCACGGGCAGATCAACACTCGTCGTGAGCCGGCCCAGAAGGGTTTATCGAGGTTGTTCAAAACCTTCCAATGAGCGAAATGAGGTGAACGTCTCGGCATGTCGTCTTGGACTGAAGGCCGGTGTTGCCCACATAAAGTCCTGACCGAGCAGGTAGGCAAACATGGCATATACCATTCAAAAGAAACACAAGAACATGAGCTCATCTCGAAGCCACTTCGTCGTCGAAAGTGGCCTGGATGCTGCAGGCCAAGGCGTGCACGAATTTGGCTTGAAGAAGCGAAAGAAGTCCTCTGTGCGGCCCCACCATCGCACTTTCCGATGTGGAGGAAGGGACCCACAGGGCGTTCCTGCCGTTCTGTGGAGGAAGCTGGAGTCTCTCCACGTTGTGATCGACCTCACATCGAGATCCTCCAGCGAAGGAACCATACGAGAACCTTGTTGATCTTGATAAATCAGTTCAACGATGCGACAGTAAAGTCCACAGTAATGTCGCTGATACCAGACTTACCGGAGCTTGAACATGCAGTCTTCACAATGAAGAGATTCGGCCACCCATCATCTCAAAAGGATGTGGCGCAGACCCGGCGACTTAATAAACGCTGCTACTGTCGAGCCATGAACGCTGGGGTTGACTTGACTCGAATACACTCCGTGCTGCCCCACAGACTGACCTTGATTTTACATAGTCTAAGCCATCCGATGTTGCCCTAAGCATTTGGCATGGTGCCAAGTACAATTCCCGTTGTCTTTACCAACCTCACGGACTTCTTTTCATGTCACAAGACATGGAAGTGGCTTGTTAGAGCGGAGAAGAGACATCGTAGAGGGTTAAACATCGGCAATAATCCAAGCCATCACCACGGCAGTAATGTCTGGCAGATGAACCCGACCACAAATTGTAGCACATTGTGGGTGGTTTCCTAGACTGCAGACCACTTTCGGTCTGATTCCCGGCCCTAGAACCTTGACTTCCGGTCCAAGCACTCGCGAGAATCGGCAAGATCGGTTAGATCACTCCAATCCATGGTCTTGATCTCCACGCGAGCACCCCGCTTTAGGTTCTTGACCAAGGGCAGAGGTAGACACGATGCTGGACTATGCTTCTAAGGCCCTGGAAGGTAATTTCTGCCACTCGAACTCTGTATGATATAAAAGCACATCATGTCCGCTTCTTGCTATCGATCAGCAACAGCCAACGCCTTCCATATCGACAAGAGATTGTACCAGTCTCATTGACAAGGCTTCTTCATCATGCGTTTCACTACAGAGCTCCTAGCCGTTGCACTAGCCCTCGCAGATATTAGCTCTGCACAAAATTCGACATATAATGCTACTGCAGTTGCTCAAGCTCAACTGACGGCCGAGCTGGCCAACCTCGAGAAGTTCTGGTCGTACGGCAGATCGCCGCCAGTCTATCCTAGNCCGTATGAACTGTCTGTCTAATCAATCATATCTGTATACTGACTTCAATCAGCTCAGGGAGCGGGCAGAGATGAGTGGGCCACTGCCTATGAGAAGGCAAGAGCCCTGGTCGCTTCCATGACCGACTTTGAGAAGAACAACATCACATACGGATACACCTCCAAGTAAGTCAACTGTATAAGGCTATACGGGAATCGGAATACTAACGAGAAGTACAGGACAAACGGATGTGGTGGTAACAGTGGATCAGTACCCAGACTTGGCTTCCCTGGTCTCTGTCTCAGCGATGCTGGAAACGGTCTTCGTGCTACTGACGGTGTCACTGGTTTTGCTTCAGGAGTTCACGTCGGTGCTACATGGAATCGCAACCTTGCTTACGAGCGTGCTCACTACATGGGTGCTGAGTTCAAGGCCAAGGGAGTGAATGTTCTCCTTGGTCCCGTCGCTGGACCCCTCGGAAGAGTAGCTGAGGGTGGTCGCAACTGGGAGGGCTTCAGCAACGACCCCTACCTCGCCGGTAGTCTGACTTTTGAGACCGTCAAGGGCATGCAAAACAACGTCATCGCTACCATCAAGCATCTCATCGGCAACGAGCAAGAACTCGATCGCAACCCAGCTGGTGTCAACGCTTCGATGTCTGCAAATATTGACGACAAGACTATGCACGAGCTGTACATGTGGCCTTTCCAAGACGCCGTACACGCAGGTGTCGGATCTGCTATGTGCTCGTACCAGAGAGTCAACAACTCTTATGGATGTCAAAACTCCAAGGTCCTGAACGGCCTTCTCAAGGAAGAGCTCGGGTTCAATGGAATTGTAATCTCGGACTGGGGTGCTCAACACTCTGGTGTTGCCAGTGCTGAAGCTGGACTTGATATGGCCATGCCCAGCTCGGCTTTCTGGCAGAATGGCAACCTCAGCCAAGCCGTCAACAACGGTTCGCTCTCATCTACTAGACTCGACGACATGGCTACTCGCATTGTCGCATCTTGGTATCATCTCGCCGAATGGCAGAACCCAGGATTTGGTATGCCCATCAACCTGACCCTTCCTCACGAGTTCGTCAACGCTCGCGACCCTGCTTCCAAGGTCAGCACCTTCCAGACCGCTGTTGAGGGTCACGTCCTTGTCAAGAACGTGAACAACGCGCTCNNCCCCCTGAAGAAGCCTAGTTTCATTTCCCTATTTGGTTACGATGGTATTGCTCCTTCGAGCTACACTCCCGACAATGCGGCCGCTTTCACTCTATCCAACTTTGGCTTCGCCCCCGTATCTGGTGTCAACGCCAGCGAGCTCTTCATGCTGTTTGTCAGCCCCTCGTCCATCACTAAGGGCCTGCCCGGCATCGCCATGAACGGAACTATGGTTACTGGAGGCGGCTCTGGTGCCGCTCAGCCTGCTTACATTAGTGATCCTTTCAGCGCCATCACCGAGCAGGCAATGCAGGATGACACTTGGCTCCAGTGGGACTTCCACAGCCAGAACCCTATTGTCCAGAGAGGATCCGAAGCGTGCCTTGTCTTCATCAACGCCTTTGCCACCGAATCTTACGATCGCCCTTACCTGGAGGACGAGTACTCTGATGACCTTGTCATGAATGTTGCTGCTCAATGCAACAACACCATGGTAGTCCTTCACAACGCTGGTATCCGCACTATTGACGCCTGGTACTCCAACCCCAACATCACTGCCATCGTCTACGCCCATCTTCCTGGCCAGGACTCAGGCAAGGCTTTGGTCGAGGTCCTGTACGGAAAGCAGTCGCCTAGTGGTCGCATGCCATACACGGTCGCCAAGAAGCCTGCTGACTATGGCAACCTCCTCTCCCACCTCACCCCCGACAACACCAGCAACTACTACACCCAAGACAACTTCACCGAGGGCGTCTACATTGATTACAAGGCCTTCATCGCTCAGAACATCACTCCTCGCTTCGAGTTCGGTTACGGCTTAACTTACACAACCTTCAACTACTCATCGCTTCAGACCAAGGTGCTCAGCAATGTGAGCACCTCCGAGTTCCCTCCCGGCAACACTATTGCTCAGGGTGGCGTCACTTCTCTTTGGGACGTTATCGCCACAGTCGACTGCACCATCACGAACACTGGCTCAGTCACTGCTTCCGAAGTCGCCCAGCTGTACGTGAACATCCCCGGTGGCCCTGCCAAGGTCCTCCGCGGATACAACAAGCAAGGCGTCCAACCCGGCAAGAGCGTCAACTTCCACTTCGACATCACCAGACGTGACCTGAGCGAGTGGGATGTCGTCAGCCAAAAATGGCGTCTGCAACAGGGCAGCTACCCCATCTATGTCGGCAAGAGTGTTCTAGACATTCAGCTCACCGGCAGCTTGAGCATCTAATTTCGCCTATAAAATGAGGCAAAACATGATAGAAACGATTTAGCGTTATGATATCCTTTAATGTATTTAAGCAAACAATTGTATATATAAGTTGAAGCCAATCGATTGCGTAAAAGAACGTTTGTGTGTAACAGGCAGATTTGATTTGAGAACGGCTGGGTGGGCTGTCATGTAACATGTTTGACGGCTGCTCGTGTGCCGAGGCTTGGAAAGGCGCGCGACAGCTCACGCGTGACAGAACAAAGCAAGGTGCGTGCTTGTGTCGCTGCTCGGAGAGGTGATTGGAGAAAGTTGTTTGGGGCAAGTCTGGAGAAGAGGTGCAAGATTGACGTAGCCATGTGAAAGCGCGCAGAAGAAAAAGCCATCAAAGTCAGTCTTGTGGTGGTGGAAGTGTTGACTGCGACAACGGAAAGGTTGTTGGCCATGAACGTCTGCGGCGCTCGCAGGGAAAAGCGGTTCGGGCTCAGAAGCAGCCGGTCAACGGGCAGGGTATCGGCCAATCAAGGACTCGATTTGGGTGTGGACGGCATCATGATTCGAGCAGCCTTTCTCCGCAGCAAGCCAAGGCGCAACCATGTCGAGTCACCTTGATCTTCTTTCCACTTCATCCCATCTTCAATCAGACATCTTCTTACAATTGAACGACCATAGCGCCATCGACTTGTCTTCCCCAGCATCGACTACCCATTACCGCCGAGTGACATTCTCCCCGCACGGCCGCCGCAGCCCTCCGCCCGCACTATATTGCTTCCGTCGACTTCTCAACACCATGCCCATCATCAGGAATCCCTTCCGTCGCACCGAAGAGGCTGCGCGTGCTGTCGAACCCCAACCCGACCGTCGCAATGTCTCTGCCCCGCGTTCAATCGAGATCAAGGAGCCTGCCGAGTACAAGTTGAGCGGTTAGCATGCGCCTACACTGCCAATCTTCTTGCGACCGTCCCAACTGACATGCTTTGTAGAAATCAACGACAGCGGTGTCTACCTTCCTGTATGCAATCCCTCTTCCTACTCGTCCGTTCCCTTGCTGATGCACCCTTCCCAGCCTTCTCCGACCGAGCGCAAGAACTTCTGGTCAACCAAATCAAACAGCTCGACCAACTCCTCTACCAACCACCGCGCCATGCTCAGCGAAGAGCCATTCAACATTTCTAGNAGAATCCTTCGACTCATACAGGCGCTCCTTCGTACGTCGCGACACCCGATAGAAGCACTGTTGCGAATACTAACATGACTTGCACAGGACATTTCAGCTCGCTCGCCCATCATCCCACCAGAGGGCCGTCCTCGTCAATCTCTCGACTCTTCGTTCCACCGCCAGCCCCCACGTAGCTCCTTGGCCCTCAACAGACCCCTACCAACAGCAGACGAAGGCTTCGAAGATGTCGGTCTCGAAGACCCCAAGCCAAAGAAGCGCGGTTTCCTGTCACGTCTGACAGACAGCAACGACGATGGCCCGGATTCTAGACCCACATCAAGTCACCATGGCTTCCACTTTGGCAGCGGTCGCAAGAGAGGTCAGAGCGGTCAAGGTGCCGAGCTGAAGCCCATGACCGACAAGGCAAATGACGAGTGAGAGTGACTCTGACTTGTCGTTTGCTGTTTGCCACTTTGTGATTACGGGAGATCGACTCGGGACAGCCTACGGGGAAAGGCGAGGCAAGGATTGGGACTAGGCGCTATCCGAGGACAAGGGAATCACTTTACTGGAATTTTTACAGGCGTTCTGAGTGGGAAGAAAGGAAGTGGTGTCTTCCGAGTATTGGGTTCACAGGTTGAACAATCCGTTTTGAAGACGGACGATGGACACGTACATTCATCCATGGTGTATACTTATTGTACACGATTTAATAAATGCTTTTTGAATTGCACTCGATGCCGCTCTTCACTGTTTGAGTATATCTCTTGGCACTTCCAGAAATGGGGCAAATTGGTGCAACGGACCGCGACTTCCGCAAGCGCGCGTCTCAAAGCCCAGAACCAAACAACAACAAATCTCACATCAGCAGGTTTTACGCAGCATTCGAACAACCAGACCGAGAAACCTAAATTGATTGCGAGCCAGGATATTTTTCTTCCCAGTCTTAGAGCATCCCTCCCTGCCGCATCGTGATAGTGAGGGAGAGCCGCAGCTTTCGGAAATAACGGAGTTCAAAAGTCAACAACGACGAAAATATTCAAAACATGGTAAAACACAATCACTTGATAATGATGTGAGTGTTGTACATGATTTGCTAACTCACGATTTGGAAAAATCAGAACTCGCGAAATTTGCGACGATTGGCTGGTGATCACGCGGCTCTACACAACCATCCATTACCGCCGAATTATCTCTTCGACCCGACATCGACATCAGACTCGGAGCTCACTTCGCTGGATATACTGCTAGCGGGTCCACGCGCGACACCCTACGAAACCGGCGTCTTCAAACTTCATCTCACTATCCCTACCACGTACCCCCATGAACCTCCCAAAGCATATTTTCGCACAAAGATTTTCCATCCGAATGTCGACGATGGGACGGGAGCTGTGTGTGTGGAAACGCTGAAACGGGATTGGGATGCAAAGTTGACGTTGAGAGACGTTTTGGTGACGATATGCTGTTTGTTGGTTCAGCCCAATGCGAGCAGTGCGTTGAATGCTGAGGCGGGAATGTTCTTGGAGCAAGGGGACTGGAGTCAATTTGAGAGGAGAGCGAGGATGATGACGAGGTTGCAGGCAGGTGTGCCGAAACATCTCAAGGAGGCTGTTCTGGAAGCTCAGAGGAGGGGCGAGGAGAGTGAAGACTTGGTGCGAAAGGACTCGGCGTTGAATATGGGAGAGGCGAGTAGGACGAGGAGGAGAGGGACGCCTTTGCCCAGAGAGATGGTCGAGACTTCGGTTGAAGGTGGAAGGAAGACAACAAGAGATGTTACGCCGCCGCCGCCTCCGCCTACTCGAGCGCCTGCGACATCACGTCCTTTCGTGCGCCAATCTGCCAGAGATGATGTGTTTGGCGCGGTGCGTCTGCCCATGCCACACGGGACACCTATCATGTCGGATGACTCGTCTGAACTTCTACCTACGAATCAAGGTAATGGTTTCACAAGATCTCCAGCCATGCAACCAATTCCCCGACTGTCACCTCGCCGACAAGGCCCTCCAGCACCACTACGGGACCTCTATATGACAGAGTCCGAAGCCGAATACCCACCCTCACCAAAAAAGAGTCCTCAAAAGCAAACCCGAGATGCCAGCAATGCCAGCGTAGAATACCCGCCCTCACCACGGAAAAGTCCCCAGAAGAAAGACTTTGATACCCTTTTCCAGCAGCCTCCCAGGCCGGGACCCAACAGAGCCGAAAGTAGCCGCACAGGCGCAGCGAGACGACTGCAATTCAGTGCAGCACAAACACAATCCCAAACTACACCAACCATCCTCGACTCGTCATCTCTGCTGGAACCCAATGTCACTTTTGACCTTGCAAACGATACCGAGCCAGACACCTCTGAGATCGAAGCCTCCTTTGAAATGCCAAAACGCAGGTCTGCAATTGCTGCAAACAAAAAGCTCGCACAAGCTACCCAAGCAGCGCGCACTTTACGACGAAAACCTAAAATGGTGGTCTCCCAAGCTTCAACACCTGTCACCATTCCTGCTCCTCGACTGGCAAAACCTCGCAAGTTGACGCCTGTGACGAGGAGGACTACACCACAGCGACCCTTGTCTCCGCCGAGTTCTTCTTTTGTGGCTTTGCCTTCTGCGGAGAAGGAGGATAGGAGTGTGATCGTTGCACCAGTGGAAGCTTTGCAGGATAAGATCCGAAAGTCTGATACACAGGTGCGAAATGAGAGGTTGGAAAAAAAGTTGTGGAGGCTTTGTGGTGGGGATGTTGCAAGGTGGAATAGAGGTGACTTTGGAGGCCACTTTGAGGTCAAGGGAGCCAGATGGTGAGTGTTTCTGCGATCTCTTCGCGGTACTGGAGAACTGCAGGAGCGAGAGAGCAGAAGCTTTGCGTTCGCTTCGTTAATTCTCCTTGGACAGTCTCCTAGCTCTTTGTATTTTCTTTACTCATTGCAAGCATGGCAGGGAAGGCATTCAAACAAGGTTGGTTTTGCATTTCACGCTTTCCGTCCTGAGCGCATTGGAGTTTTGTACCTTGGTTGCATTGTTATCTTTATATTGATCAAATCGTCACTGCTACTGGTACGAAGGTGCCCAACTATCGAACCAGTGGACCGTGCACGCATCCTTCCAATATATTTTTGCCTCAGTCCCCCATGACTCTGGCAAATCACTTGTCCCTTCATCCAAAAGCTATCTCCGGATCACTCTCGCCAGCTCTCTACAGGCCATGGGCAATATTTCTAGCAGCCAAAGGGCCACTTCTCCAGAATCTGGTGCACTTGCTCCTGCACGATCTCTTGTAGATCTGTCATTGGAAACTACGCTGGAAATCGCTTCCCATCTGTCCAAGCAAGACATCAAAGCTCTCCGGTCAACATGTAAACACCTGGATACTCTACTCCTCGACACTTTCGGCAAAGTATATTTTGGATCTGTGTATCTATTGCCAACCTCACATGCCCTGGATATCCTAGCCGAGATCTCAAAGAGTAAACGCTTGAGTTGTCATGTAAAGGAGCTGTGTGTATGTTCTTCTTTTCACCAGGGAGGAATGACATTGTATAGAACACCTCCTGGACATTCTGGAGCTTATGACCTGCGGTTACTGGGTAATGACGAGTTGCCATTTTCGGAGGACTGGGCCGAGAGGAAAGCAGTCAATGAGTCTGTGGCGCTTGTAAGANNGGGGGGATCGTTTGGCAGGAAACTCGCTGTTGTGCTGCAAAATCTGAAGGTTGAAAGGATGAAGATACATGCGTGGCCTAGAATGGCAAGAGAACAAGAGTCATCTTCTGCAGTACCAGGGCGATGGTGGTTGAAGCAATTGACCGGTCATGATGCTTTTCTGAGTGGCTCTTCTGGATTTCAATCGTGCTGGGAGTACAGAGATGTTGATATGGTGACGTGTATGACCAATAGTGTCATCTCTGCTGTGGCAGAAAGCTGGACTATGTTGACCGCTCTCACTATCGACAAGATTCAGATCGATAAGTTGGTCTTGAATGCCAGTCCGCTACTTGGGCATGGATTGGAGGATTTGCGATACCTGGACCTCAAAATCGCCCACTCGGATCCCGACACCAAAGCCTTCTTCTCGCAGCAAGAGCACATCGATTTCTTCACTATGCTCAACAATCTTCCTCGGTTATCGCACTTGTCATTGTCAAATCTGCCGTACAATAGCGAAAGAGATCATTTGTCGCTAAATGGTCTCCTCATACATTTGAAGCCAGGAAACCTGCACAGTTTGTCTCTAACTGTCATCGATGGCGCTTGCCCTAACCTTCCCACCTTCCTTGCTTCGCTGCAGTCTTCACTGCATATCCTCCACCTCACCTTTAGAATCTACACCCACCTCTCCAATACACCATGGCTTCACCTCTTCTCTTCGCTGCAAACACCTCTGTCTTCTCTACAGGATCTGCAAATCTGTTTCGGGAACGACAGCTATAAAGCCCATGGCCACACAGGAATCACAGAAATGTTGGGTTGGTTAGGAGACAATATACAAAGTTACTGGAACGAAGGAGAGTTTGGAGATGAGAGTGAAATGTTTGCTTGGTATGGGGATGAAGAGATTGATCATGAGTTGAAGCCTAGAAGGTGTGGCAAAATGCCTCCAAGGCTGGACAAAAGAAGGTGGAGGTATTGGCCTGGCGACGGGGGATGGAAGTGGGAATGACAGGGTTCGGTTTTAGTAACGTTGGCAGAGTAGTGTTACTGGCTTCTCATCAGGAATCAGACGAGTCGTCCGTGAACCAGTGAAACCACCATCCTTAATACTCATCAAACTCTTCCTTGCCCCACTTGTTGAATCTCTCATGAANGTCCCTGTTCCTTCATCAGTACATCTCCTCCCATCCCACATTATCACTTACCTTGGGTAAATTCACTCCAGGCACAATCACAGAGTTCAATGCCTTGGGCGCATCCTTGATCTTCACATACCCACTCCTACTATCAGTATACCTATACTTTCCAGCACTTCCCTCAGCACCTTCCTTCCACGGCTCCGTGTGAGCAAGTTTGGTGGTCTCGCGCTCATCCCGATCTGCAATTTTGTAGCGGGCTAATTGATGGCCTCCGAACCAGCCGGCTAGGGCAAAGGTTGCTGCTGTGATGGCGTAGAGAANCCTATAGCAAAGCGAAAAAAACAGGTTGTCAACTTTGATGTAAGAGAGGTATGAAGAAAGGGGGGCAAAGTAGGGAGGTCATGTACGTACGTATAATTCTGGATCCTTTTTCGCTTCTTTGAGCAGTTTTTTGTGGTCGGCGCGTGGGTCCGTGTGAGTGAGCATTTGGGATGGTTTTGCGCCGCCTTCGCCTGCGTTTATACCAGAGGGGCATCGATGGGATTTTGTTGCTGAGAATAGTGGGCGGAAGAGTTGTTTCGACATTGGGAGTGTTTGATGTTTCTGGCGATGGTGAAAAGTTGACAGACTCGAAGAGAGGGGTTGGTCTTAAGAGGATGTTATAGATACTGCTCTGTCCGAGATGTGATCATTATCACAGATGTATGACACTGAATACATCAGTGAGTGCTATATGTCGCTTGAGAAGATAGCGTGACGGTGATGTAGATGGAGATGTAAACGAAAATGCAAATGCCTTGGACCCTGGTTTCTCGTGCATGAACGAGAACGATGTCGCACAACTCCAGCCAATTCGCTTTTCTCTCAGCGGGGAATCAGTGTCTCAGGAACAAGTTGTTAGGCACGGCGTATCCGAAAATATGCCAGTGTAGATGATGACCATCCACATACAGAACTTACTTAATCCGGCAAAGATGCGGACCATCGCCTTCAAACGCAACGATTCCACCATCAGGAAACACCACGACACCTGTTCTCTCTTCAGACTTCCGATGCGTGTTGCTGTACTCGTTTACCGAATCTCTGTGTGCGCATTCGTCTTGTCCAATGACACTCTTGACTTCAACAGATCCATCAACCACACCATCCTTCCACTTGAACGCAACACTCCAGCCGCCTCGACATCTGACCCCTTTCACCTCACCATCACCCCACTCTCGAGGCCAAGAGGGTAAGATTCTCAAAACCCTCTGGCCTTGTCCAGTGAGTTCGAAACTCTGTACCAAACACTCAACCACAGCCGCCGCAGCGCCGAAGTTGCCATCAATCTGGAAAGGCGGATGTGACGAGAACAGGTTTGGCAGAGTGGAAGCATCGAGCAGAGCAGCAAAAGATTCGGCCACTTTATCTGGCATTCGAAGGCGACTGAATATACAGAGCAGATGTGAGCGACTCCAACCCGTGTGGCCGCCACCATGGGCTAGTCTAATCTCGAGTGATCGTAGCGCTGCACGGGAGAGTTGAGGTGAGGCGTCCATATCTATACACGTAAAGGGGTACACCCCAAGAAGATGCGAGATATGGCGGTGACCGGGTTCAGCATCGGCGTGATTGGCGATGCCCCATTCTTGCAATCGGCCAGTCTTTTTGCATATCGAGGGTGGAGGAAGTGCGAGCATTGCCTTTCCCACCTCGCGCAGCAGGTGAGGCTTGAGATGCAAGGTCTTGCAGGCCTTGAGATAGTCTTCGAAGAGGGAAGAGATGATCGTAAGATCCGCCATACTGCCTCTGCAGAATACTCCATTTTCTCCTGTGTGCTCGTCAAGAAAAGTATTCTCTGGCGAGAGACTAGGATTCGTTACTCGGTAGTCTTTGCCATCTGGAAAGGTCTCCGAGACAAGCCAGTCCAGGCAGAACTCCACTGCGCCTTCGAGCACAGGGAAGTTATTGCGCAGAGTGGAGATACAGCAGGTGAAGAGATAGTGCTCCCAGATGAATGACGACAACCAAGCACCTCCCAAGGGCCAGAGGGTGGCAGGTGGCCATCCTTCACAAGGTGAGCAATCAGCCCACAAATCCGTATTGTTGTGGCAGCACCACCCTCTTGCGCTGTACATCTCCTTAGCCACTCTACCACCAGTATCCGGGAGAGCAAGTCGATGGAGGAGAGAGAAAAGAGGATCCATACAAGGAGCCAAAGACAAGGGGAGACAGCCCCAGTAGTTCATCTGTAAGTTTATGTTGAGAGTGAACTTCGAGCCCCAAGCTGGGTGGAAAGACGGATTCCAAATGCCTTGGAGGTTAGCTGGCAAGTCTAATGTTTGGTTGTTGCCTCTACTCGGTCGGCTGCTAGAGAGAAGGAGATAGCGAGCATAATCCGTGTATAGAGCTACTAGAGCTGGGGTGGTGCCTTTTTCGATTCTTTGGCTGGTAAATAGTGCATCATGGGGCGAAGGTGGACCCAATTCTAGTTGCGTCTGATGGTAGAATGATTGGTAATGTTGAACATGATTGCTCCAGATCTTTTCTGCCCCACGTTCAAGTGCGGCAAAGACGTCCCCGACTGCTACAGCTTCAAAGTCTTCGTGGCGGAAGCTCGTTCTCGCGGCAATCACGACCAGAGCTTCTTTGGCAGTGATAACCAGCGAACCACCTTGAGCTTCCGAAGTGCCTTCATCGTCCGATTTGACTCCAAGAGCACAGCAAGCCCTGACGCTTTGATGGCCTCCTGGAGTCGCGTGCATGACGATCTGATGGTCGGATGTTCTCACAGAGTCCAGATATTCATGACTTTCGCTCTCAACCTCACTCTCTCTTGTCAGCCTGACGGCGAACTCAAACTTGGTGCTGCTTTGAACACGCATGACAATGACTTGGTCAATCGCACTTGTCAGAATCTCCACCTTGACTTTGGCACCTTCACAGCTATACTCCGTTGTGTGAATAGCAGTATCCAGATCAAGCTCTCTGCCATAATCCGTCACTTTATCAGCATCATGACCGAATTCGACTTTGACATTTGCCAGTGGTTCAGAATGTCTTTGACCACTAGGCGAAGCACCAAAAGCCCGATCGACGAGCTTCTCAGCCTCAGCGTGCCGGCCCTCTTTTACGAGCTCTCTCAACTTTGGAAGATTCTGCGATGCGTTTTTGGGTACTCGATCTTGTGGTCCGCCGTACCACACAGAATCTTCATTGAGACAAAGTAGTTCAGTCGTGGTTCGACCATGTATCATACAACCCAGTCTACCATTTCCGACAGGTAAAGCTTTATTCCATTCGCTAGCAGGTTTGTCGTACCAGAGTTTCGATGATTTTGTCATGTTTCTCGATACCAGATCTGGGTGGTCGAGAGTGATGTTGAGTCAAGAAACATGTCTCGGTGTACATTTTCGCGTGAGTAGGAAGGTCTGCAGCAGATGAGGGGTAAAAGGAGTTCGTGGCCTGAGATGGTGTGGTTGGTCGATCTGGCGGGGTCCCCGTGGAACAGAAAACGCGGGGTCAGGGTTCGTCAATCCTGCGGAGCAACTCCGACGAGTTGCATCCCAAGCCCGACGGAGACACATCTGATTAATGGAAGCGAGACAGATTCTACATCACGTTAGCAAGGGTGGCACATCTCCTCCGCTCATGAACAGTGCCCTAATCGACCCGTACGCAGACATGCCAATCAGGCTGTTGATATGCGAGCAGTACATGCATACCTCGTGTTCGCCATGCTTTCGACGGTTATCCAGGGCTATATTTGCCTGCATGCGCGTGGAGAATAATTTTGCCGTTCTGTCGTGCTGTATGTTGGCAGTTCTACTGTCGATGAAGGCCCAAGCAGGAACCGCCTTAGCTTCTGCCTTAACCAACAGCAGCACAGGCACGCTCGCTTCTGAACATGAGTCCCATGACTAGAGGCTTAGGGCAGAATGCAGGATGGAGGACGTGGGCATGCAACAGCTCCAGACAAGAAAGATAAGATCTTGCTCTGTGCCCCTCCACATACTTTGTCTCGTGCGCGTCGAAAATATATGATCTATTCCGTATTCGCGAACCAGTGAATCAGAATGGGTGATACCGGCAAGGAAAACCGCGAGCTCGGCGACATTGATAACCTCAAACAAGCAACCGAATACACTGAAGCAATCGTCATAACACGACTCACAGAAGAAGATGTCCACAAACTCTCAAGAGAATCTCTGACCCTCAAGTCCCGGACTGGATGGCGTCTTGCCATGATCCTATTCGTCCAGGGTTGCAATCAAGCTGGATATGGTGTTGACTGGGCTGTCATTGGAGGTATCAACGCTCTTCCAGCTCTGCATGCCTATTTCGGGTTTGGATATAGCGGATCCACGATCGGTGTCATTAACGCTCTTATGACCATTGGTACTGTTTGCGGTGCTCCGTTTCTGGGTCTTGCAGACGTGATTGGTCGACGTGGTGTCAACTTTGCTGGCAACGTCATCGTCGTCTTTGCGGCGCTATTGCAGGCTTGGGCGAAGAATACTGAGATGTTCATGGCTGGAAGGTAATTGTCCGCGGTCCATGCGATGTGAGCCTTGCTGACGTGTCCCAAAAGGTTTTTTATGGGTTTCGGTACAGCTCTCATGAGTTCCAGCCAATACATGGCTGAGATCTCGCCGATTCATCTGCGCGGCAGATTGGTAGGTGTCTTTGGCGCATGTTTCCAGGTTGGCTCGCTTGGTATGACAGGCGCCATGATCGGACTCNNCACCACACTCGAAGGCAACTACTCCTGGCGCATCCCATTGCTTCTCCAAGCTGGTCTTGCTCTGGTTGTTTGCGTCACCATCTATCCTCTGACTCCTGAAAGTCCTAGGTACTTGGTCAAAGTAGACAAGAGAGATGCTGCGAAGCATGTTGTCGCCAAGTACCACACCACAAGTGGCAACCTCGATGAGCCTTTGGTCAACGTGGTAATCAACCAAATCGACGAGTCCCTTGAGAACGAAAAGGCGCTGGCTGGCGCGTGGTGGGACTATCGAGTTTTCTTCACCAAGACCGTTGGATTCCGTATGGTGGTTCTGACTTTGTACTCTGTCTTCCAGCAGTGGAACGGAGGTGGTATCATTACCTATTATCTTACTCCAGCTTTGCTCATGGTTGGCATCAAGAAGCCGATGGAGCAACTTGGCATGTAAGTGATCGTCCAGTCTCAATTCAATACCGTCTTCGCTGACAAATGGCTAGTNCAACTCGGATCGACAGCCATATACTTTGTCTTCACACTTTTTGGCTCCTATATCATCGACAAGTTTCGCAGACGAACACTGATCTTCGCCGGCCTTATCAGTATCATCATCTTGCAAACTGCGACCACGATAACATCGTGGCAGTATAGCCTCAACCCAACACGTGCAGCAGCGGGATTGACGATCCTGTGGGTATATACTTTCCAGGTGTGCTCCGCCACTTTCATCGCGACAATGCACAACCTGTATCCAGTAGAAATCTTATCGCTGGCACTTCGAGCTCGAGGTATGGGTGTCTATTCTTTCATCCAGGGTGCAGCAGGAAGCGTCCAGAACTATGGCATCGCGGTCGATATCGACAAGCTCGGATACAAAATTTGGGCCGTCTATGTTGTGTACAACACTCTGCAGCTCATCGCGTCATATTTCGTTTTTCCAGAAACATATGGGTTGAGCTTGGAGGAGATTGACGTAGTGTTCGAGACACCTGGTGTCAATCCAGTCAAGATCAGTTTGAATATTCAGAAGGCCAAGAAGCGACGAGCTGTGCTAGAAGAAGAGGTTGACACGGTTGGTGCGAAAGCTTGAAGTGGAGGAAGGTGCGTTTCGGGGACCGAAGATTCCCGCGGTTGAGCCGTGGGCGCATGCGACTTCTTTCAATCATCCTGTTCCGACGCGCATACATTTCGAGTCTCGTTCGTACAAGCAATTTCATTGTTCTGAATTCTGTCAATGTATGCGTGTCCGTCTATCGGGAAGTTTCAGAGTCGTGAGTCAGAAGGGCCGAGGGAACTCTCATGAGTATTCTGCATGGCACTGCAGCTCTTCAAGACTCGCATATCTGGGAGATTTTGACAAGATGACACAAACGTACAAGACTTCGAATCATGCCGCCATATACCACCCACAGCCCGATGAAAGAGATGGCGATAACGAAAGCTTTTTTCACCATCACTCACCTGCATCCAAGGCGAAACCCAAGCATCGGAAGTTCGGCCCGCATACCCGTACGAGCATATTGCGTATCGTATCACCAATCCTTCATGCATGTCGTTCCGTGCTTTCGAAAAATCCTTGAGCGACCTCTCCCAGCCTTGTTCCTGATAAGTCCTGAGTTCTGGCCACTAACACAGTGCCTTTGTTTCTCCCTTTCGAACTACTGACAGACCCTCCTCACCTCACGTGCTGAAGCTTGTTTTCCTATGACAACCCAGTAGGGCTTGGATATTTTGCCGATATGGAGGATCCACCAGATGCCTCTTCGCCAGAAAACGCTTCGATACTTTGTCCAGACTTCCATTGGGGCTTTGCAACAGCTGCTGCCCAGGTCGAAGGGGCATGGGACGCCGATGGTAAAGGCGAGTCCATCTGGGACAAGTTCTCACGCATCCAGGGCAATATTATTGATGGAAGCACCAATGCCGATGCGACTCGTGCTTATGATTTCTATAGAGGAGATGTTCATCTACTCAAAAGGTTGGGCGTCAGTTCCCATCGCTTCAGTCTTGCTTGGAGCCGTATCATTCCTCTGGGTGGTAAAGACGACCCTGTGAACGAGGCTGGCCTCGGATACTACAGCAATCTTATCGACGAACTCTTGCACAATGGCATCACTCCTTTCGTTACTCTGTTCCATTGGGATACGCCTCAGGCACTCGAAGATCGCTATGGTGGTATGCTCGATCAAGATCGTTACACGCAAGACTTTGAGCGCTACGCCCGAGTATGCTTCGCTGCCTTGGGCGATCGCGTCAAGCACTGGATTACCTACAATGAGCCAGGAGTCTATACGCTTGCTGGTTATGCTGCAGGCGTTCATGCTCCTGGCCGCTCATCTCTGCCCGGTCGCAACGATCCGGGAGACAGCAGTACTGAGCCTTTCATCGTTGCTCACACCGAGCTTGTCAGTCATGCTCATACAGTCAAGATCTATCGCGAAGAGTTCAAAGTCACTCAGAAAGGTGTTATTGGTATCACTCTGCATGGAAACTACAGCGCACCCTGGGATAAGGATGACCCCAAGGACGTCGTAGCCGCCGAGCGAGCTCTACAATTCGAGATCGGCTGGTTTGCCGATCCTGTCTATGGATCTGGCGACTACCCAGCTTGTATGCGAGAGCAACTTGGCGACCGACTCCCACACTTTACACCCGAGGAAAAGGCACTAGTGCGCGGTTCTTCCGACTTTTACGGCATGAACAGTTACACCACATTTTTTGTGCGCCACCGCGAAGAGCCAGCAGATATCAACGACCACAAAGGCAACATCACCACGCACGATACTAACAAAGCTGGTGTATCCCGAGGTGCAGAAAGTGCAACCACATGGTTACGAAGCAATCCCGCCGGGTTTCTGGCTTTGCTGCATTGGATTTGGGATCGCTATCGTACACCCATCTACATCACTGAGAACGGCATTACTGCAAAAGGCGAAGATACTTGGGACCCTACTGATGCTCATTGGCTTGCAATCCCGCTTGACGATACGTTCCGTCAAGACTTTTTCGAGGGATATATTGGTGCTGTGGCTGAGGCGGTTCGCAATGGTGTAGATATCAGAAGCTACTTTGCATGGACGTTCACAGATAACTGGGAGTGGGCTGCTGGGTTCACGAATCGCTTCGGCAGTCATTGGATTGATTTCAATAGTCGTGAGAAGACGAGGTATTCCAAGAAATCTGCCACTGAACTGGGAAGAATTTTTGAGCATTTGATTGGAAAGAAGAACGGCGATGGGGCTGGGTCACCGAAGTCGCCTGTCTACTCGCCTGCTTCGCCTATCTCGCTTGCAGAGAGTCTGCCTTCTGATGCTTACAACTCTCCGAGGTCTCCGAGATACAGCCCAAGCTCTCCGCCATATATCCCCGACGCCTGAAGGTCTGCCTTGGAGCCAAGGGATACAACGTTCAGATCCACAGCAAATCTCATTTCCAGGGCATCATCACTTTACAGAATACAGGGTGTGTCTGCAGCCGATGGATAGCGTGTGGCTTGCAGACTGCCTATTTCGACCTTGGTAACACTCGCCAATCGCTGTAATCATTGAATATGCAGACGCATGGATGTGCGCGCTATCCACCGGACGTGCGAATACCCTGTACAATGTGATTTGAACAAGTTTTGAGTTGCTTCTTATCACACTTGATTAAAGATGTATACTCATTACCTTCGTATTATTCGAGTTTACCCAAAATTGCTTAGATGACGATGTGGCTGATGCAAACATGTGGGGTATAAGTGTCGATCTGTATACCGAAAACAGTCAAGAAGGAAGATGAAGGATTTCTTGTCATCATCTGATCGGCGAAACAGCCGCGACCACTGACTCGCAGTGGATACAGTAGACATTCGTATGAGAAGCTATTTAGCGCCGCAACATCTTTATACCACTCACTCTCTCTTTCCACCATAACTCCAACATTGGCTTCCTAGCTTGCACCTACCAAACTCATTACTCTCATTTCTCGACATCAACATGGATCCTTTCGCAGATCCATCCCCTCAAACCCCACCGACCCTTCTCGCAGGCTTTACCCGCGACACCCCTTGCGACATCACAATCTACTGCCATGACCGCACCTTCAAAAGCGTAGACATCGTAGACTCTAAGACCAACACTCCTCTCTTCTCCGTCACCTCCGCAGGCGCAACCTCCTTCTCCTGGCGCCGCACTCTGCTCACCCCCGCCGGCGAAAAGCTCTTCGACCTCCGACACAAAGGCTACGCCATGAAAAACGACTGGAGTGTTGAAGATGCTGCCGGAAGACGCATCTGTTCACTCAAACATGTAGAAGGCATGGAAGCAAGAAATAGAAGTGTGTTGGATGCTGTAATTCATGGAGATGTACCTGCAGATGATGTGGGAAACACGATTGAGATTAGGCCGAAAGATAGAGGTGCTTTGACGACTAGTGTGTTGTGGCAAGGCAAAGAGTTGGGGCTGATTTTAAATACGGAGGTCAATAATGTGCGTGGGCTTGAGAAGAAGGGGGTGGATAGGACGGTGTGGAAAGCGCATATTGAGGCTGGAGTGGATGTTAGTNNTTTGTAAGTGTTCCTATTCCCAAGACTGGTGATACGAGAAGCAAGGCTGACTGGTGCATTACAGATGGTCGTTGCTGCGTTATGTCTTGCTGAGATTGAACATGTCTGGCAACAATAACGATACTGAGCAAGAAACACCTCCGAAAACTCATCATCCTTACATTACCTGACCAGTCTCAAATCAAACTGCCAACACCCTTGGCTGCATACACAGCACTGAAGCCCTTGAGTAACAATCCCAACATGGTAACCTCACTAGCAGCAAACACTCCGAATCTCACCATGACGGGGTTGGCGCTCGCCTGCACGATACTATGAACCACTCTCAGTGCCACATAACCCCAAGCCAAGTTGGCCTCTGTAGCCATGAAGCCTGTAGACAGCGCAGCGGGCGAAGTGCTAGCATACAGCGCAAGTCCCAATGCCACGGCATAGAAGCGGGTGGGTGCTTCGTGGAGATGATCGTAATTGTCAGCTATGACATTGCGGTTAGCATCCTTTTTCGCGTACCGCTCTGGACCAAAGTACTTACCCTTCCATCTCACATGAGGCGGGATCTGGTTGTTCAATTTCTCCTTGGAAAAGTTGGAGTCGACCTTGACTTTGTACTGTGTCATGGCTGGCAGGCGGGTGGCATACATCCAGCCTTCCATCGCAAAAGTCCAGCCAACGAGGGCAAAGACTGGTTTGAGAAGCGATTGTACTGCTGCCATTTTGATATGAGTAGAGAAGGCGCGACGAGACTCAATAAATGATCGTGAGTTGGATCGTTGTTATAAGCAGCTGCAAGAGTGAGGGAAAGGGCTGACTTTAAAGAAACTCTATCTTACTGCCTCGGGTGGGGGGATCTTGGCACGGTGGTAGATATGGACATGATTGTCTTGTTGCAAAGAGCAGCGTTCGCCGAAGCGATCAGAAGGGAATGAAGTCGCAGCACTCGAAGCTAAGCGTGCCAAAGCTGCTGGTGCAAAGGCTTACCCGTGACTTGCAGCAAAGCAGACATCCCTGATATTCCATAAATTGGTCAAAAATCACTAAGAGATGTGTTGGTGGTGTGACCCGGTCTTCCAATCCTAGACGTGGAATAGCGGTCATTTTGTGCGCTCCAGTGTACTTTCGGAGGTTTCAAGGGTGATATCAAGCGAAACTCGTAAAGTACGACATTCTATGTAGCTCCATTGTGTAGGATGACCCCAGTCCATGTATCATATCGTTCGGTGTGGGCGAGTTGCCATAAGCAGTGTGCGAAAGCTTGAACCCTCCGATGCCGCACTTGACCGCTAGACCACCGCATCTGCCAGCATATTCTCCCAGGTCCAGCCGATTTATTTCGTCCCATGAACACAACCAACAGCGATGCAACTTGTCCTGTCAAAGCACGAGATGGCTTTCGGCCGATGAACAGCGGTCAAGACGTTTGGAGTTTGCTACGTCATCGCCGTTGATGATGGGGACACCTTATCATCATGATTCAACAGAGACAGCTCTTAACTCCGGAGCTCAGCAACATGACCTACCTTAAGGAGATGGTTCGTGACAAAACCAGAGTCGCGGTGACATACTCCGTAGGGTTCCGTGGCTAAACAGACGGGCATACACTTATCTCCGTCTGGAAGCTCTAGATTTATGCTCGCCGATGAGATCACCAGTTTGGAGCTGTTGGGCCGTGGAGTTATAAGACAAGGGGAAGATGCTGCCCTTCTGCTCAACACAACCTCTTTTTGTCCCATTGACACATCTCAATCGCAACACATACACACATCAATTTCATCAACACAATGTCTGGTACCGACTACAAGTTTGAGGGCTGGCTCGGCCACGACCCCAGCTCCGTCAAGGGCAACATGAAGTGGGGTGAATTCGAGCCCAAGAAGTGGAGTGAGTTATTCTGATGTTTTGAACAATGCGGTACGAGCTGACTCTTTATCCAGGCGATNGACGACGTCGACATCAAGGTTTCCCACTGTGGTATCTGCGGTTCTGATCTTCACATGCTGAAGAGTGGCTGGGGCGAGACACCTTACCGTAAGTCGTTGCTGGCTGCACTTTGTTTCGCAGACTGACTAATCATTTTACCAGCTTGCTGTGTCGGCCACGAGATTGTCGGCAAGGCCGTCAAGGTCGGAAGTAACGTCAAGCACGTCAAGGTTGGCGACAGAGGTACACCCACTCGAATCGTGACCAAAGATCTCAATACTAACCGCCTATANGTCGGCGTTGGCGCTCAATCGAACAGCTGCGGCAAGTGCGACGACTGCAAGAATGGTGACCAGAACCACTGCGTGAACACAACCAACACATACGGCGACAAGTACAAGGACGGCAGCGGCAAGTCCTACGGTGGTTACGCTACCTATGCGCGTCACCCTGGTAACTTCGTCTTCAACATTCCCGAAGGCCTCGACAGTGCCGAAGCTGCTCCCATGCTCTGTGGTGGTGTCACCGTCTACTCGCCTTTGAAGAACTACGGTGCTGGACCTGGCAAGAAGGTTAGCTTCGAAGTTTTCGCAGACACTAAAGATTCATTCTAACTGTTCACANNGGTCGGTATCGTTGGTGTCGGTGGTCTCGGTCACTTTGGTGTCCTGTTCGCCAAAGCTCTCGGAGCCGATGAGGTTGTCGGTATCTCTCGCAAGGCAAGCAAGAAGGACGAAGTCCTCAAGCTCGGCGCCGACAGATACGTCGCTACCGACGATGACAAGGACTGGCAACAGACCAACCGCCGCACACTCGACCTGATCGTCTGCACTGTCTCCAGTGGAAAGATGCCTCTCGAGGGTTACGTCGGCATGCTCAAGACCAAAGGAACATTCATCCAGGTTGGAGCACCAGACGGTGGCGAGCTTCCCAACATCAACGCCTTCACTTTGATCGGAAACGGCGTCAAGGTTGGCGGTAGCGCTATCGGCAGCCCCGAAGAGATCAACGAGATGTTGAAGTTGGCAGCCGACCAGAAGATCCACCCCTGGATCCAGAAGCGTTCCATGAAGGACGCCAACGCAGCCATTGTCGACATGGATGCTGGCAAGGCTCGTTACCGTTACGTCCTGTGCAACGACGAGTAAAAGCTCGAAGACCTTATGATTTGAAGAAACCTTATTGGAAGAAGGATACACCATTGGAACTTTTTGACCTACATACATAGATGTAGACGATGCCATACAAAACATTGATCACAAGCCTCTTGACAATTACCCCTTCTGGACTGTATTGATGACTCACAATACATATCGGAAATGAAGGTTCTCTTTATCGGTGAGGTCTTTGAACGCAAGTCGATCAGCGTCTTCTTCGCTGAGATTGAGCTCATCTCTTCGCTTGTTCTCGCGCCACATAACATAGTACAAGACCAAAGCAGCGGCGATAGTGATGCAGTAAAAGATGATCAATCCAGTCCAGAGTTCAGGGTAATGTTTGCGGCGAGTCTCACTCTTGATGAGTTGCGGACCAACGATATTACCAACACAATAAGCAACAAAGATGGCAGCAGACATGAAACTCTTCTTGGTCGCGCCTGCCACATTGGACATGCCCAAAGCGATGATGAGCGACACGACAGGACCAANAAATCCGATGATAGAGTAGCCTACCACTGGGGCAGCGGCGTGATGTGTCCAGTCTGACTTCCAGATGAGAGCGCAGCCGATCAAGACAGGGAGACAACAGATGATCAGGATAAGGACTCTGACGTTTCGTACGTAGAGTGGAACGAAGCCGGCAAGTAAGATGCCCAACCAACTGATACCGCCGACAGGGAATTGGAGCAAGATGGACTGAAGAGTGTTCCAGCCAAAAGTGCTGACGATCAATGGTCCAAAGCCAGCCACTGCACCATTGACCGTATATGCACAACCCATCATGATGAAGACGAGGTACACCTTGACATCTAGCAGAGCTTCCCTGATCTGATACATCTTGATCTCTGTGCATCTCACGCCAGTCTGGCCTTTGCGAAGCCTTTCGACAGCAACAATGCGTTCTTCAGCAGTCAAGAACCAAGCACTGACCGGCGAATTTGGGACCAAGAAACACCAACCACCAAAAACGATAGTCAGCGCACCAGCAAGTAGATAGATATACTGCCAACGCCTTAAATCACCTCCAGTAATCTGGCCGAAGCCATAGTTCAACGCGCTTCCAATGATCGTGAAGAGGCCTGTGCCAGAAAACCACCAGGCCTGTCGGAAAGTCTGCTCGCGTTGGGTGTAGAAGCTGGATACTATGCACGAGAAGCCCGTAGGGATGATGCTTTCCACAAAACCTAGAGCGAATCTTTGCACAAACAAACCGCGCCAATCTTGCACGGTGGCAGTCAACATACAGATGCCACCCCAAAGCACCACGATGGGACCTAGAATCCTACCGATGTTGAACTTCTGTAATGCGAAACTCATCGGGTATAGGCCAGCAAGCATTCCAAAATAGAACAGTGAAGTTGCCCAGCTCAAGCGGTCTGTACTGGTTGTCGGTGGGGTAGTCGTGCGATCAACAACGGTGAGATGTAGATCTGCTGTCATGCCAAACAGCGCCGCACTGCCCAGGATAGCTTTGTCGTAGTAGACGAGTCCATAGCCGATGACCATTGCTGGCATGAGAAAAATGTCGATCTTTCTTAGGACACGGCGTTCGACAGCGGGATCTATTGCGCGTGCCGTTTCGCCGGCCAGCGCTAGAGCTTCATCTTTCGATCCTGTGGCATCTGTTGTTGATGTTTCGGCGGAAGTTCTGGTTGGTGTTTTCTCTTCCCGTGGTCGGGTGTTTGATCGTTGCTCCATCTTGGCTTTGGGCAAGCTGCCTAAGGCAGAGGAATATGTTCGGTGCCGGAGTACAATTTCTTGTACACTTATCTCTATGCTAGGGATTGTCGTTTGTTAGATCATAGCCACAATATTGTGACTCAAAAGGCACGAAAATTTTGTTGAATCCCACCTTGGTGATTTCTTCTGTGCCGTGTCTAGCCAAGTAATTTACTGCATCCTCTGCGTTGTCGGAAGTGTTGGAAGCTTCGGCTGTTCGGCTAAACACAGAATGCCCTATATCGTTGTTGAGCTGCTCAGGCATCTCGTCCTGCGCGATATTATCGAATATACTGTAAAGTCGGCAGGAGCACGGTTTGGTGAAGAAGACATGACTATAATAACATATAGAGAACAACAAACACCAGGGTAACTCCTAACGTGCGTGTAGGCCATGAATCATATCCAGTTGAAGAAGGGATATACTTGTGTGGTGGACCATGGCGTAGCGTCATGGTGTTTGACGACCTTTGAGAAGATAGGAACTACTACATCATCTGCGATGCTATCGTTCTAGACACACGACATACGAGATGTCGAGCCTCCAGGTGTTCGCAGGAAGAAGGCGCGGAGGTAGACCGTGGGGACATTATCTTATCGAATCTGAGATCTACCTCTCTTAGACTAAATGGCGTCGATCTAGCCGCCAAGGCCGCTCCTGGTTTGCTCCTTCCTCCTTGTTACAGTCCTCCCTTTCTCGTAAGTAGCAACTACTCGATACTCAACGACTAGATGAGTCATGCTTTTGGTACAAGTTTCAACCGCCCCAGATGCACGTACAAGTCTGTAACGAGGCGCCATCGTGGCTTGCTAGTGAATTCGGGCTTTGCAACGCGTACTCCTGCCGGGAGGCCGCCCGTGTTGTTACGAAGACTAGCGCGGGCCAAGGAATCCTCCATATGCGCCGATATTGTTTCCTTGATGTACATGCGGCCGCAGCAGAGGCGTTGTGGTTCATGAATGCCTCTTTCCTTCATCACTAACTTGACTCTCTCCTGGTGTTCCAGCATGCGCCGTCATGAGATTACCCTCCTGGAATGGTACCGTGAAGCGATACGCCCTTGCCGTATGCCTGGTGTTTTTACTTGAGATCTGGTTTCACTTATCGACAAGTCGGTCGACAGAGCAGCCCCGGATTCATGTTGACAAAACACCCTTTTCGAGTTGCAACGCAGATGAGCTTTCGCTGGACCACGACTCTCCAGCAGCTCGACAAAATGCAACCATACTCATGCTTGCCAGAAACAGCGACCTCAAGGAAGCCATTGAGTCTTTGACATCCTTCGAGTCGCAATTCAATCACCGATACCATTATCCGGTCGTGTTTCTCAATGACGAACCCTGGACTGAGGAGTTTATGCAAGGGGTATCGAGTATCGTCAGTGGACAAGTCATCTTCAATACTATTTCTCCAGATATGTGGGGTTACCCCGATCACATCGATCAAGATACTGCTCGAGCACACATCAAGGAGCAGGGAGACAAAGGAATCATCCACGCAGGACAAGAAAGCTATCACCACATGTGCCGTTTCTATTCAATGTCAGACTTTCCGACACGGATTCTCCTATCATAGACTAACACACGCTCAGGNAAATTCTACGACCATCCTGCAATGCAAGCATACAAATGGTATTGGCGCATCGAACCTGGCATCTCTTTCGCCTGCCCCATGACCTTCGATCCGTTTGCATACATGTCGCGCGAAAACAAACGCTACGCCTACGCGATTGCACTGCAAGAAGTTGGGTCCACAGTCCGCAGCCTTTACAGAGTGGTCAGTGACTACAAAGACCGCCTCAACATGACACCTTCACGATACTGGAAGGCCCTGATAAATCCCTCATGGGCACCCCTACCCATCCGCTGGTTATTGCGTCTAGCGCCCTACCGTGATATCAACGGCGACGAGTGGAACCTCTGCCATTTCTGGAACAATTTTGAGATTGCCGATCTGGACTTCTTCCGCAGAGAGGACTATAGAAAACTGATGGAGCATCTGGACAAACTCGGTGGCTTCTATTCCGAACGCTGGGGTGATGCTTCCGTACGATCTTTTGCGGCGACTCTGCTATTGAAGTCAGAAGAGATACACTGCTTTGGCGATAATATCTGTTATTGTCATGGCGACTTTTGCTCGCCGGGGATCAACTTGCTGGATGGAAACACCAGCTGTCCTGTGAAGCAGCCAGTGGAGGAGAAAGACAAGAAGGGCATGTTCAATCAGATGTGTCATGACAGATTTAGGCAAGCCAATGTGCTATGATTATGTATGTGATATGAATATTTTTAGAACAATGATTCCTGACAGTAGGTACTGGAATCATCGAATGAATGTGCAACAGGGTTGTGGCAGCTAACAAACAATCCGTTAAGCGCATTCTCACATAGGTAGCCAGAAAAGCTCACTGTGATCCTTGTTGTATGTGCTTCACCAAACAATACCGATATAACACAATATGTGACCAGAACTTTTCGGATGTGTGAGATGATCACAAGAAAGGCCTTTCTGCGAGCAGACTGTTCGCAAGTAAACCCCAAGAAGTACAGCTAGATTTCGTGATATGTCTCAAGTTCTTCCATGATCTTCAGCGCCTTCGAAGCCTCTCCACGAACAACTTCGTGCACCCTCACGTTATTCACGCTCCCTACGACCTCGGTGAAAGCTGTTTGCCACAATTTCCAATTGTCGAACGTCCATAACCATCCCTCAGACCGCGCGAGGTCTCTCAATGCCTTGTTGTTTGGAATTGTCTCGGCGGGCTGTTGTTCCTCTTGACTTTTCTGCTTTCCACCAGCACTCGAACCGGGCCCATCAGCTAGCCTGGGATTGTGTTTGCACAGCTTCTCGCAATCGCGACAAGCCCGCCATACCCATATTGCACGGTCTTTAGGAACAAACCACTGAGCCGCGGCGAGAATCTGACCAGCTAGGAATCCAGAATATCCTATAGTCTTCTGACTCGGCATCCCGTACTCTGGAAGTAATCGTTGTAGCGGACTACGCCAACCCACATGCTCGATACCCTCAATGGCTAACCTAGCAGAGAAGAACGACAGATTTCGCCACCGCTGTTGTTCCCGACTTCCACATTTCTCCACTCCTGTCCAAGTTTCGCCAATATCTGCAAGCCACTCACAGCTTGACGAGAATGACAAAGGACTCAAGTCTTCCCATAGCAGCACCGTTGGCCTCGACTCCTCTAGTGCATCGTGGTCTCCATACCGAAACTTGCCAGTACGATCCAGCATACTGTTTGGTATCGGACGCTTCTCGACCTTTACAAAGCTCCTAATCATGTTGAATAGCCGTTCGTGAACTATACTGTGTGGTGGAAATGAGGATATACAGCTACAAATCAAGACAGCGACTAATGCTGTATTCGTGTTGTATGGTCTGTCTTCGTTGTGCAAGTCGATCTCGTCCTTGTTCTTCCACGCCTCGTGGGCCAAAGTATCTGTGATTTCTTGAGCTGCGGCAAAGGGACTGAGATGGTTTTCTGCACACGCTACCACAAGATTCGCGTAAAGACTCATTTCGTCTGGTTCGGCGGCCCAATAGGCATCTTCTTGAAAGATGTAAGGTAATTTGTGGTCCATGGCGATGCTTCTCTATGCTGGTGTATGTTTGACGCGCTCGAAGATTCGGATTTAAGGTGAGAATTCTTCTGAACTAGGAGTCATGTGTCTCAGACAGACAGGTGGATATTCCCAAGTGATGTCAGGCCATGTGCGATAGTCGGCAATAACCCTGCGATCAAGTGCTCTCACAGGGATGCACTGTGAGACCGTAAGAGTACCTTCAAGATGGGACTAGCATCCAAATGGAGTCGTGCTCACATCGGCTCCTTTTCGATCCTGCCCGCTGTTTAATAACAGTTGTGCACTCCAATAGCCGCAATGTGACTGTCTTTAGCACATGGAGAGGCAAAGACTGGAAGGTCGTCGCTGGGGGTCGTGAGTGCGACGTCGAGAGGGGGCGTCCATAAACCCCGGAGCACGATGGTGGCGTTCCTACCTCGGAAGCCCAGAGCGTCGCGGCTGCCTCAGCACCAAGACGCGCTGTTTCCTCGCGAGTCAAGAAACGCTTGTCGCCTGGAGCAATCTCCCGGATGGACGAAGTTCAAGAGGCTGAAGCTACTCTCAAGTCGCAGCTGCCTGTGTAGCGTGCCGAACAACATAGCTCTACCTTCAAGCACAGACACGGAAGGATGCATAAGTTCATGCCCGCCCCCTTTCTCTACGTCGTCTACAGCAAAGCATCATTACTTCTTCTTCCAGATCATTCAACTCAGCAACAATGGCGCGAACCTCTATGAACAAAGCTGCCGCAGCGCAGAAAGCCAAGGACCGAACCCCAGCAGCCGTTCCTGACCATTATGAAGCCTCGTGGATCGGCGAGGAAAAGCTCAATGAATTGACACCTTGCGTAGCCGAGGACGGTAGAATCCTCCTGCCTGGATTTGGCAGGCCTCTCAACTATATGCTCGAAAGAGAGACATACGGCTACCAGCATGGAGGGGTGGGCAATACAGTGAATCGCTGTCCCAACGCGCTCCAGGAATGGGGTATTGAGCCGCTTACCGTGCGGGAGAGGAACATGATGCAGGTCGTCAACGCTATCACTGACAAGCCTGACTGGAGAAGCAAAGTCTTTGACGACACCATCATCACCAAATGGCGCGCCGAAGCAATCACTGAGGAGGGACAAGGCTTCACCGAGAAAATGTTTGACCATGTGAGTCTACTATTGCCTTCCCGTGTGTTGACATGCTACGCGTATAGCCATATGAACGCATAGCGGTATCAAGAAACAGAACAGTGTCTTCTGAATGAGGACGCTGGATTTCTAGATTCTGAATGTTCGCTAACAACAACANNGTGCATCGCGGAACTTCAGGACAAGGCTGTTCATCACAAAGAGAACGACTTGGTTGCTGTACTGGACTCGGAATGGGCTGTGGTCAAGTCGGACAGCATCATCTCCGGAGAATTGAAAGAGGAACTCAAGAACGCTGTAACTCCTCTGGAAGACGTACCGGCAAGCGCCAAGGACTGGCACCCGGGATCCAATGAACAAGTCCTTGATCTGGTCCACCCTTCGCTCTTCCCATTGATCTATGGTCGATCAAGAATTTTGCCTACTGGCATTGTTGGCCTGGAAGATTGTATTCAGAATTCTGGCAAGGGCGATATCGTACCAATACCAAGCGATGACGACTGCAAACTTGGTCAGCAAACACATTGGCTGGCTACCGGTGGACAAGGTCAAACCGATTATTGGTCCAATCGCTTTCAATGGCTCCCGAGCAATGTGGCCTTCACCCAAGACGACGGCGTCAAGATTGCCAGCTACATAAACAATCTCCATCCAGTACATCATAAGGACATCTATCCGGTGATCGAAAAGTTCATCGCCAAGTCCGTTCCTGCCTGGGATCTGGTACTTTCGTCGTACACCTCGTTCAAACGTACGGAGACACTCCGCGTACCCATGACGGGCACGGAGTATGAATTCCCTTTGGGTGAGGAGGCACCAGCTAGTGTGCGTGAAGGCATGACTGAGGATGACGATGAATGGTACGAGGCCGAGGAACAATGGGTAGTGCAGCCCTCGCCCTCTATCAAGGAAGATGTCGAGGCTCGAAGAAGATCAGAAACACTCTGGTCCGTAAGGGCTATCCTGAAAGGGGGCTACGCGAGTGGGTATCTTCGCCCTCCACAGTCGTTGCGTCATCGGACCTTCTCATGTATATCATGCTGACTAATCACGAACGCAGCTNNAAGGGACAATCGCATACTCATCAAGCCCGATGCCCGCGAGTACGATCCTTTCATCTACAAGAACACAGACGCAATCGAGCCCATAAGTCTTCGCTCGCACTTTGCAGCAAACGGCATCCAAGTCATCGTGAAGCTAGCCAACATCCACCTCACACCTTCGAACCCCGAATACTCGGGTGGCAGCTGGCACATTGAAGGCAAACTCAACGAGCACATTTGCGCCACGGCTCTTTACTACTACGACAATGACAACATTACAGATTCTCACCTTGCCTTCAGGACCAAATGCTCGGTTGACGACATCATATCCCGCGACTACCAACAGGATGACAACGATGGCGTATGCTATCTCTTCGACATCGAGCGCAACGGCCCAGGCATCCAGAAAATCGGTCAAGTAGCCACTAACGAAGACCGTCTTTTGGCCTTCCCAAACGTACTGCAACATCAAGTCCAGCCATTCAAGCTCGTCGACCCCACCAAGCCCGGCCACCGCAAGATCCTCGCTCTATTCCTAATCGACCCTTTCCACCGCGTCATCAGCACCGCAAACGTGCCACCCCAGCAACGCGAATGGTGGGCCGAAGCAGTGCAAGGACTAGAAGGCAAACTAGATGAGCTGCCCCCAGAGTTGCGTCATCAGGTCATGACTGAAGTGGGAGACTTCCCCATCAGTCTGGAGGAAGCGAAGACTTTGAGAGGAGAGTTGATGGATGAGAGAAGGGCGTTTGTGAAGGATGTAAATGAATTGTATGAAGTGGAGGAGTTTAGCTTTTGTGAGCATTAGACGAGGGGATCTATGGGCGCTGCTCATTGGAAGATGGGTTTATAGAGGAAGACGACAATCAACACATGTTACGACCATATACTTTTCTGTGCTGCTGGGACTTCAACCCAAGACCAAAATATGGCTGTTAAATTGCATGGTGGCTAGTCAAACGAGCGTTCTTCATGTGAAACTCAACAGATCATGTCGACTGCAAGTGTTCAAGGCCTTGTTTGCTATTCATGCTGACAGAAGTGATAGAGAAACACTTCCAAGCATATGCTCAAACTACTCTGCTAGACCAACAAGTGATACTACAGGATGCCACAAGAATGTACACCAGACGTGCATGCATGTACATGATTCTAGGGCGAGATGTTTCCTCGGGGATCACTCCATGCTGAAGGAGTATTGTGCATGTGTAAATTCACGTTACACAGTCTATAGCATATAAGAAGCACAAGAAAGAGGTAGAGTTTGACCAGAAGAGGAACGATTTGGCTGCATCTTCTCTGTAACTCGCTCAAATGTTCTTCCAGAGGTCACTCATAACAACTGGGAAACGATTGGACATGGAAGATAGCGTGTTTCTCTTTGAATCGGTATTTTGTCTCTATCCCTTGTGATTTTCTCTTCGGGCCATGGTCCCTTTCCGCTAAGATTCTTCTTTTCTTCTCCATCAACCTTGCTCTTCTGTTGTGGTCAAAATTCTCCCTGTCCACTCCTGGTGGTTCCAATATCCTCAGCTACCCGCGATATCAGATTACGCGGCCGAGAAGGCAACGTCATGCCTTGATAGCAAGATCCTCTCCCCCAAACTTTGACTTCATCTTCGTAAGAATTTTAAAGCAATGGATGGATCCATCAGAAGAGATTTTCGACCATTTTGAGATCGCGAGCCATCTGCTTCTCCATTTCCTCCTTCATGGTCTTCTCGATCCAATNGGGAAGTTGACCAGACTTCTTGGCCAGCATATCCTCAATCTCATTGACTTTCTTGCTCTGGAGCATATCTAGGAGTTTTTGTTTAGGCTGGGGGAATGACTGAATCTCGGGGTGGGCGACGAGAGTAGGACTAGGGACATCGGATGATTCAGGCTTGACTTCATCCTCAGAGTCGGGTTCAGTGAGATCGACAACCACAGAAGGCCTTGCTCTGTTGGATAGGTCCTCTTTCGCAGCCTTGAAATCGGACCCTGGTGTCGTGGCCATATCGTCAATGGATGTCTTACCCTCAAGCACTCTTTTCGCCCGTCGAGTTACTCTTGGAAGCTCTATCTTGTCCAGAATTCGAGAATTCGCGTCGACATTCTGTCCAGAATTCGTGTTTCTGTTTGGTACGCTGCGATCTTCGAACGATGGAAGCTGAGGTCTGGTTTTGAGGTAGCGGATTGTTGCGGCAAGATAAGCGTACTGCATCCGGCGGCTCTCAGGATGATCTGGCGTCCAATGCTTGCAGATCGTCTCCACCGATGGATGCCATTCATCACAAAGGCGGAGCTGGCGATCTATATTGAGTCTGGAACCAGGTGGCGCGCCACACTTAGAAGAGATCATGCCTCTTGCGTTGTGTTGCCTGAACCAGACTTCCTGCTTGGATCCGTCTGGCTGATAACACCATCCCACCAGTAAGCTGCCTTTTCTGAAGATAACGGTAGACCTTGGCAAGAAGTACAGCAAGCCATACTGGAAGTATTTGATGACGGTCTCACTTGTGGGAATGGAGGCATGCACTGCAGATCTGATCTTCTGGATTTCGAGTGCAGTTGGGGCAGCCCCGTTTGCTTGACAGACTTGCTTGTAATGCTGCTCAGAGATTCCTCTGATACTGAGGTGGGGTTTGGGAGCCATTTCTATGGCGTGTTAGATGATGTATAGAAAGATGAACCAAAAGGCGCATGGTGTGTACAGTACTTACCTGCAAGGAGAACGATGTTAGATGTTGTTCATAGAGACACAGAAGGTCCGGTGACTGGTCTATGCTGTGACCTTGTAAGCGTGACCTGCTGGAGAGCAGAGTGTTTGAGGTGTAAGATAAACCAGTGCCGATGCAGTGAACGGTCGGCGAGAGACGCGAGGTATTGAGGTCGAAATGAGCTCAGTTGTTAATTGTTGAAGGATTGTGCTCCAGGTGTATTCGACGACGTGCTAAGTTCCCGAACTCAAATCACCTAGAAAGGCTTGGTGTCTTGACGGGGAAACGGCACCCGACTGCTAGAGAAGCAGACGAAAGATCGTTCGGAGGATGAAATTGTTGATTGTAATAATTGTGACCATTAGAAATTTGGAAGAGTGTGGAGAGAAGACGAACGGGCGCGAGCGCTGTTGTTGTCAAGATTGTAAACGAAGCCACGGGTGGTCGTGACTGCCTATTTGAAACTTTCTTCCTTCACACTTTATTCTGTCACATGTGAAGCCGTGAAGCAACACGACTGTGTTTTGATGTGAAGCGTGTTTCAAAAAGGCTCAAGAATCTACCAGAACTCTGTGGATTTGGACTTGTTTCTGAAGTCGTTGTGTGTTTTTATCGCATGCTGATTACTGTACTATCGGAGAGGTTGATTGAGACTGCTCGTTGCTTGTAAGGTCGTCCCAGCGTTTGTCGGGAGCGAAATCCGAAGACTCAACTCTTCAGTGTACTCCACAAGGCTCAGAATGAGTCGTTCTGCATCGCCCTCATCAGATTCCTCTCCATCACAACCCAAGCCCTTCTCGACCAAATCAGAAAACAAGCCACCAGCCGAGAAAGCGCGAACGATGCCTTGAACTAGAGCGGCTCACAACCAAATCATAGCGAGTCTCTGAAAGAAGCGGAAGATCCAAGGGGTGCCGAAGATACCTTGGAACCATGGAGCAAAGCCACCTATATGTGTCTTGCCGTCAGTTGAATTTTCAAAAGTGCAAGACAGAGATGGTCGCTTACCAGCAATAGGACCCAGAGCGCCAAAGCTAAGGAGCCAGGGAACGAGTCTGAGCATAGTGATGAACCAAGCAGGCAAGAAAGGCAGAAGGTATGCAAGAAGCCAAATCATGTCGGTATCATGTCGGTAGAGGGAGTGTGACACTTGTTGAGAGAAGGTGCGCTTGGTTTGTGATTCTGGGCTTCTCCGGATTGAGAATAGCTGTGATTGATATGTGATGGCCTTGTGGAGGTATTGATGAGAAGAGGATGTGATCGTAGAAGAGCCTCTTATGCAGTCTCTGGTGTTTGTGTTGTCAAGCGTTGTTGTTCCGGAGCTCTCTGTTCCGACCTCCAGTCCATAGATGTCTAGAGTCTTCTTTAACGTCCAAATAGACTGTTGGTGACCTTCGATTATGATGCCAGGATGTCGAGAAGACTTGTTCAGTCTCTGTACCTCGCAACTCCACAGCTTCTCTCGAACTGCATCTCTCCTTCATCTCCGTCTTCCTCCTGACTGTCACTGTTGGCTTCTTCCCCAACGTAAGCAAGTCTTTCTTCCCAGTCATAGATCGACCTGTTCTTCTCCGACTTGCGACCACAGAGAGATGCGAAGAACCTTGTACCACGGATGAAGAAGTTGTACGCGGTCGTGATCATGCTGGGATCTTGTTGTGGTGGCTGCTCCATGACTGGCACTTCTTGGGAAGAAACGAACCGACGAAGGCAACGAGATACTTGGGATATAGATCGATAAAGTCAGGCTAGGTTGTCTTGATGCTGAAAGAGCAAGTTGTTGTCTCGAGTGCAGTTTGCGACAATATCGCCAAACGTATCTGAAACTATTGTGTCTCGCCTGGATGAGTGGAGCAAAAGTACAATAGTCTTACATGACCAGACGTTGTATCTTGGCCACAACAACACAGAGTGTCTTGATATTTGAACTGTTTCCAGAACAATGCACTGGAAATGTTGTCCTTGGCTTGTCTGGCTCATGGCAGTGGTTGTTGATGCCAGCTAGCAATACTTCGCCTTCATCTTTGTTGCCCAGTCGAAACATCAGCTGGGAGATATGCTCACTATCAAGCTCATGCTGCCTGTCTCTTGCTCCTTCTTCGAGCTTGAGAAGAGCTTCTTTGTGTCTGTGAGAGGTCAGCACCATTCGGATTCTGATCATAACCCAGGACTTACACTATCGTTGCCCTTTCTGAGTCTCTCTCCTGCATTCCCGATCATGTTTGCAGCACGATCTCTCACACCGCTCTTATCGACCTCGTCTTGCACGTCATCTACTACATCGGCATCACCGGGACAACCAGTACTAAAGGTCCAGTCGAGCACACCCCAGTTGCCATAGTTGCCTTTGCCACCAGTAGCATAATGAGAGTCAGTTCTTCTGGCCATACCAGCTAACAGGATCTGCGATGGTAGAACCGAGTAGCCAGAGTAAATGAAGAACTGCTCGAGACTGACGATGGCCGNTAGAATATACCATGTCAAAACATGGAAACGGAAGAAGAGCGTCGTAAGATATAATGGTGCCCAATCGGTGAGTAGATGGCAAACAGGATGATCGTAAGCAGATGCGAGAGAGAAGGGGTGTCTCAGGCTGTGTGCCCAGTCGGCATGCCAGCGAGCCAGAACGGAGTCTTTCGGAGAAGCATGCAGGACATCGCGATGTATGAAGTAATGCAAAATTCCACGACACCCGAGTCCGTACAGCACTTCCTTGACCATAGTCGGCCAGGGGGCAGGCGGAATCTTGCTCACACGAATAGCAGATCGAGTGTTGAGAACTTCAGTAAGCACAAACTCGCATAGCCCCTGGATCAAAACTGTCAAGGCGACATTGAAGACAGATACAAATATCACATTTCTCAATCTTCGCGAGCTGAGTTGGGTTGGCAGCTGAGCAGCACCACGAGACTTGATACTGGCGGAGAGGCTGGGTATGAGAGAGTCGAAGCCCAAGACAGCCAAGCTAGGGAGTACGAAGAAGATAATTCTGATTGCAAGGGTGCCGACAAGCTCCAGATACAAGGGGTTGTGTGTAGAAACCAGGGTCACCCAGGTCAGGAGGAAGAAGGCAAGGCTGATAGTGGTCGACGAGGAGCCGAAGAAGGGTACAGCAAGGAAAGAGAGCAAGGGAAGTGGTATAGTCATAAGGGATGACACTTGGGAAAGGACCTTGGCGGAGGTTCTCGAGAAGAGGTCACCAACTGAGAAGCCACGACCTTGAGAGTATCCATAGTAGTAAACCAGTTCATCGCGAAGTGCTTGGAGAGCCATGGCTGCTAGGAATGGGAGCTCGTAAGCCCAAGGATATTGTTCAGCTATGCGACACGACAATGCAAGCAGTCCGGCAATGTCGCAATGCACAAAGGGAAGCGCTGTGCTGGATAGGCGGTTGGAGACGTTCTGACGCGTTTGCTGTCGCGTTGTTGGAGCTGGGGTTGCCTGCGGTCGTGTGGTGTCAAGCTTCCGAATGATGCGGCAAGGGACTGAGCTAGCGAAAGTCAATCGCAGGCGCCACGTGAGAGCTGAGACAGGCCAAGGGTTTCTTCTCAACGAGATGCAACGAGGATAGCAAGACAAAGGTCGCAGGCTTGCATAGGGAAGTAGTTGTTTGTAGGTTATCGAGACGTCATAGAAGTCTGAGGAGCCAAATCAAGGCTTTTGCGGGAGATAGAGTAGCTGCAGGATAGATTGCCATGTTGTTTGATGGTGGGGTGCGCTGCAAGAGTGGGTTCGCTTCGCTCGCTCCCGCCCCTGAAAGCCGGATGTTAATTTGCAGGTCAGCCATGGTTGACGGTAAGAGCTGGCTGTGAGAAGGTTGCACCGTCCGCCAGGCATGTCTGAAGCCTCTTCTGCTGCTGCCCTCGCCCTCGGCGTACAAGTGCATTGTCTCGACAACAGAGGCGGCATGCATCCAGGAGCTGCCTGTGCGACCTGACACTCTACCTAGGCGCATGAAACGGCTCACTTAATATCTCCTGCAGTCCCATGTCACAGGTACGAGGTAGCGCGTCGACCGCATCCCGAGCGTAGCATCCAACCAACATGCCGCCGCCTCACCAATACCACCGTCCCTTCGATGCCCGTCGCGACAAGCGGCCCTCGACCGCCGGCACTCCCAACAAGCACGCCCCGAACGAGCCTCAGGTCATCTCCTCCCTGATTGCTTCTCTCGACCAGAACAATTCCCCCATCACGCACGCTTCCTACGCCTACGTCTCCACCTCGGACCAATACGACGACGATGGCGCATTCTACACCACTGCCGACCTGCGCCCACCCTTGAAACACAGCCAAAGTTTTGGCATGGACTACGGCGCCTACCGCCAGCCAATCCGACATCACGACTACGATAGCGACGGCGCCGACTTCCCTGTCGTCCCTACCACAAGACGCCCTTCGGCAAAATCTGCACATACTGCACCGCCATCACCGAGTCTGAACGGCTTGCGAGAGATACTGCGTTCCGCCTCCAAGACCTCTCTGTCTTTGAACGGTCTTGACAAGCTCAGTCGCAGCAATAGCAGGATGAGCGTCGAGAGTCGCTCCAGAAAGCAGTCCTTGTCCTCTCCTACAAAGCTGTCCCTGGACGCGACATCTCCGACAGAAAGGCTTGGCCGCAGACTGTCACTTCGTCAGGCTTCGCGCGAGACTCTCAAGTCTTACAAGGACCCTCAGCATCTGGCCGACCAAGCTCTGTTGAGCTCCAACATGAGCCCTGAAACCAAAGATCCTGCTAGAAAGAGCTCAAAAGGAAGACTATACTTGGAGGATGTGCTTGAAGACATGGCTACACCCAGTCCCAACATAGCAATGACGCGTCTACCCTCTGCCAGTGCTCGTCCTTCGAGCAGCAGAGGTGCTTCATTCAAGGATTCAGCTGAGAGTCTGCCTGTCAGTAATTCGAGAAGCACCCTGCCAACCTCTTTCAGCAGCCCAATGGCCACCGTCATTCCTCCACGATCTTCTTCTTTGAACAGACTCCCCAGTCCTACCAAGCCCAAAGGCAAGAAGCTCAGCAAAGGCAAACGCGCCTTGGCTGCCCTCAGGGAGGTCAAGGAGGAACGTGGACCTCGGCGCAAGTCAAAGGCTGATGCGCTCAAAGACATGTTCGACGGCCTGGACGAACAGGACGAGACTGTGCTGCGCATCAAACAATTGCGTCAACAAAAAGCACAGCGAGATCGACTCCGCATGGAATCTGATGAGGCTCTGCAGACACAGAACGGCAAGGGGCTCGTGCACGACTCGGGAAGCTCTTCGGGCTCGAGATTGCCGGATCCGCAAAAGCGACCCGCCAATAGAGGCCCCGCCAGAGTCCCTGATTTGACCAAGGCGCACCGCATGCTCGGTCTTGACGAACTATCACACAGCGCTTCCGTGGTTCAATTCAAAGACACTGCAACGGCTTCCCCTTTTGACAGTAACGTTCGCAGTCAACCTAGCGTCGCCCGTGACTCTCCCAACGTCTCTGCAAATCTGTCTTCTTTTCCTCCCGACTCTCCTACCATCGGGAATGCCTTTTCTACCTCGACCGACTATTACCGTCCCTTCCATACCCAGATTGCCAATGTTGCAGGAGAGCAATCATATGATTCATCAGAGGTCGCTAGACGCGCTGTGGCTAGGAAGTCTACCCACTCTCACCTTCTGAACGGCCTCGATATTGAAGGCCTCGACATGTCACCACCCAGTACCGCTCACTCCAATTCCACCATCCAATCGCGTCCGAGATCAAGTCGACAAATATCATATGATCTCAGATCTCGACGGAAGTCCATGAGCGACGCTCGTGAGAACCGTCTCCTCGAAGATGATATTCTGCATGAGCGATCCAGTAATGTCTCCATGTCAGTCAACGCCTTTTTGAACAATCCGCGATTGAACCAAAAGATCGCGCATCCTCAGACTGGCCGCATCATCTCCTTTTCTGAAGTTGGCGATCCGAACGGACATGCAGTCATTGTCTGCGTTGGCATGGGTCTTACACGTTTTGTGAGCGTTTTCTATGATGACCTAGCGTCTTCCTTGGGCCTCCGTCTCATCACACCCGAGAGACCAGGTGTCGGTGCGAGTCAAGCCTATCGAGACAAAGATCACATTGGACCCTTGGCCTGGCCTGATGATGTGGTTACCATAACTCACCACCTTGGTATTTCTGAATTCAGCTTGATCGCACATTCTGCCGGCGCGATCTATGCCTTGGCCACTGCCTTGATACTGCCGGATGGTGTACGCGGCAAGGTACAGCTTCTTGCGCCTTGGATCCCACCTTCTCAGTTCGAACACATCAGCCAGAAGGACAGATCACCTGACAATGTACCAATGGCCGCTTTGACAAGGGGTCAACGATTCCTTCGAGTTCTACCCGTGCCGTTCCTGAAGGCCGCGAATGGCAATTTGTTCTCTCCGGCATCTCTGAAACCAGCCAGTGCGAACAGAGGGGATGGGTCGCCTACATCTAGTTCAGACAGCCCTCGCGGTGGCCTCCGCAGGAGGAACTCGAACCGGCGGCCGAATGCTGTAAGACGAGAAAGCATGATCCTCATGGATCAAGTCATACCCGAGAGACCCAGGGATACTATGTTCCCTTTGCCCGAGCTATGCGAGGACGAGAAGGGCGATAAGACCGTCCGCAAGCCCTCCGAAATTTCTCTCAAGTTGTCTGCGACAGCATCTCCTATGGACCCTGGACTCATGTTCGCAGCCGAGGCACTCAGCGCTGCCGAACATGCGGCAAAGGAACATCAAGCAGCGTATTCTGCTCTTCTGACGGAGAGGACTTGGACGTTGGCAACACGAGACGCGAATCCTGCTACTGATTTGATCGTCTGCCTTGAGCGACACCGCAATATTGGATTTAAATATGTGGATGTGCACAAAAAGGTGGTGATTACACATGGCAGCGAGGACAAACGCGTGCCTGTGGAGAATATCCGATGGCTCGGCGATCAGATGAACAAACACAACACGCTACACTGGAGTTTGCAAGACAAGGACGCGGAAGCAAACGATGGTGGTTGTGAGATCCGCGTCTTGCCTGGTGAAGGCCATGGATTGATGGCTCATCCCGGTGTCATGTCTGATGTCCTGTCCGACATATCGAGCGAGTGGAGTCCGACAAAATGGTTGATGTTTTGATGAGTAAGACTGCCATCTTCTTTTCTCTTTATATGGTCTTTTTGTTTGTTTGAACAGTTTAGATACCCTCTTTCCTATGTTCTGATTATTCATACCCCATACATGCAGCTTTAACTTTTAGACGCCAAATTATCTTCTTTTGAAACGAAGCGATGACGATGGTGGTGAGACTGTACTCCAGTGAACGATGTCTGTTCCTCGCATCAACTGGGCAACGTGTGTCTCGTGTTAGGGCGCACACGGTGAACAGCAGGAAAAGTTGCGGCTGAATGCGTCGGGAGCAATCTATGTTGCTGTGGCAGAAGTAAACACAGCGCCAAGGACGAATGGTCGAGCAGGCGCGATAAAATCGAGTCGACTCGACGGCATCATTATTCGTCTTGCGGTCGGCGCTGTTTCCAAGGCTATCCTCTTGGTTTTGCAAAAGACCAAGTTATTGCATCGAATTTTAGCAGATCGTGGCGCAGATCCCGAGTGAGAAATAATCGAGGTGGTTGGGCATATCCGGAGGCTGGTCGACTAGCCGTGCAGACGCACAGGATAAACCCAACACACCACCCATCTGCACCTTCCCGCATCACTTTTTGCCCTTTCCTCCATCTCACACCTTTGCAGTCGTTATCCGCTCACCGTCGCACCGTTCAGATCCAACTGTCGTTTGCTGATAACCTTTTGCAACTGTCGAGCAAAAACACTCTACCGCTTTTCTTTTATCGACAAGCACACTGCGGGGTTGCCAACGGCTATACCAGTGTCAAGCGCACATTCCACAGCACCCCCACACAGCGAGGCAGTCAGCGGCCTCGAGTCAGCCATGCCATCACACTCTCACACACGAATGCTTCTTCGACTAGCCGTCGTCGCCCTCACACTCAGCCCAACATTGGCAAATCCGCTCATTCCCAAGGAACTCGGCATCGGTGGCTTGACATTCAACTCGCTGTTCGGCAGAGGCAATTGCGAGAACCCTTGTGGTTGGTCTGGACAATTATGCTGTACTGGAGGAGAGTCTTGTTATACCGATTCGAGCAACCAAGCACAATGTGCATCGACAACGGCTGCTGCAAAGACTGAGACGACGGGCTACTGGAAATACTGGACCAGCTCTTGGGTGGAGACACAGACAGAGACGGACATCATCACCAAATACAGCACTGGAAGTTCTTGGTGCGGTGATGCTTCGACTACTGCTGTTGTAGGTGGCGGTGGTGTAGCCACTTCGGTTTGGGTCGCTCCTTCTACTGCCGCTGCATCGCCGACTGCTGCTTCAGTCACCTGCAACTGGGACCAAGGTCAGTCCTCCTGCGGCACCATATGCTGTGCAAGCGATCAATACTGCCTCACCTCTGGACAATGTGCCGCCGCCGCAGGAGCAGGCACATCCCAAGTCAGCTCAAGAAGCTCAACCGGTATTTCTCCCGCCATCCTGCCAACAAGTAGCACTTTGGTAATCGTTACAGCAACCTCGTCTCCCACCACCACTGTTCCCTTCCTCGCACCCGTTGCCACTGGTGCAAACATCACCCTCACCGGAGCAGAATCCAGCAACTCGCACGGTCTTTCTGGCGGCGCTATTGCTGGCATCGTGATTGGTGTCATCGCCGGCCTCATCTTACTCTCCCTCCTTTGCCTCTTCTGCTGCGCGAGAACAATCTGGGTTGCTCTCTTTGGCGGCCGCAAACGAAAACGTACTGAGCGCACCGAAGTTATCGAATCCCACCACCACAGGTCTTACAGCGGTGCCGGAGGAGCAGCATACGCCGGTAGTCGGCCGGATGACAGAAGATGGTACGGCACAGAAGCTCCGCGCAGAGAAAAGGAACGCAGCAAGTTTACCGAGATGTTGGGCATCGGTGCTGGACTCGCTGCTCTGGCGGGCATATTAGGCATGAAGAGAAAAAATGATCGTAGGAGGGATGAGAAGAGTGAGTATAGCAGTGCTTATACGGACGGAACCTATAGCGATTACTATACCAGCGAGAGTGAGTTTGCTTCTTGAGAGATATGCGAGGGATGTTACTAATCCATGAAACAGGCAGTGCAAGCTCCGACGACAGACGGACCAGAAACACGAGGCGCTCGTCACGTCACAGATGATGAACAATCGACCACGACAGAAATGAAGATCCGCAGACGAACGAAAGAAGAGTTACGAAGAATAAAGAGAAGGAATATGACGAGTCTCGTCGGCAAGCGTGGACTGATTCTACCATCCGACCGATGTGCAACGTCCTACGATTAAAGGGTTTGCGATGGGTTCGGAGCATTATGACATGCACATTATGCCTCGTGCTGCCGTTGCCTTATGCATTCCACGGTGTTTTGTTTCTTTTCTTTTCTACCTTTTTATATCCCACAACGCCAGCAGTCGAAGAAGAGGAGGAAGAGAAGTTGTCTTGTTATTCCACACCAGCTCTGACACACGAGCAGGAGCCTTTTCTTGACGCAAAGAATGTATATAGCAAAGACCGAAGCGAGACGCAAGAAGAAATCCTGATAAAGCACGTCTGCTCTTATGAAAGATAGTTGCTATAATACCTTCATGACGATTGATTACTTGATATGCATGTTGTATCGCCACTTTCGAGTCATTTCCAGGCGTAAAACTGAACCAAAGTCCTTGTTCTCTCTTATCGATCTCTTTTTCCTTGCTGTATGCTAAGGGATCTTGGATTCATCTATTTAACTCCGTGAGATTGTTCGCAAAGGAAGAACGCGGTCAGATACTTCTAATGCTCTTGGATAAGATCTTGGCTCTTCAGACAAGCGAGACCCGCTTGCGAGAACTCCTAATAGCTTATTGGCAATGGCAGCAGCTTCCTTTTCAAGCATCAGCTTTGTCAATATACTCGACGGTGCTCTTCTCGCCACCCTTCTCATGCATGACAGTATCCTCAAAACTCTCGACATTGGTCTGAGAAAACTTTCTCGCTGAAATCTCGGCATCGAATAACATGTCCATCTCGGCATATGTCCTGCCCTTGGGCTCGGGAACACGGAAATATGTCCATACTGCGCACAGAGCTCCGGTGCCGGCCCAGAAGAATCCGGCTTTGGCTCCCCAGCCCCAAGCGTCTGGGTTGAGCATGTGAGGGGTGAGGACGTTGGCTACTACACCGGTGATGTTGTAAAGGTTGCGGGCAAGGACGACAGTCTTGTTACGGAGACGAGTGGAGGAGATTTCGGCGACGAGAGAGTNAGCTGTGACACGAAATTAGTATTGAATGGTTGGGGAGTGAAGCTTATGCGTGAGAACTTACCAGACTGGACCAACAGTCATGTCGTAGACGAATGTGTAGATCAAGATCATGGCACCGATCGCCCAGCTTGGGCCTTCGGCGTTCTTGGGTGCAACACCAAGAAATCCGACTATTAGCAGAATAGCCACCATGGCGATCTGTCCCCAGAGGTAAAGTGTACGACGTCCAAACTTGGTCATCAGAACCCAAGATAGAAGGGTACCGACAGCACCAAGACCGTACTGACCCAGCGACATGGAGAAGGCAGAGGAAACATCGAGACCGGCTTGTTCGAAGAAGTATGTCGAGTAACCAGTGAACGAAGATGCACCGCACATGGTCTGGATAGCCCAGACCACGCACACAATCTCGGTGCGGCGAAGGTCGATGCCCTTGAAGCAGTCCAAGTAGCTGGTTCCTTCGGTGCTTGCCTTCTCGAGCTCGTTGGTGTAGATCATCATGTTGACGGTCTCGTCGACGCTGAAGCCGGAATCGGTCTGGTTGCGCGATGTCAAGCGGAGCACTTGCTTCTTGGCTTCTTCCGGGCGGTTCTTGCGGACTAGCCACCATGGCGATTCTGGTGCCAATGCAATACCGATGATCAATGGAACAGGCCAGATCCACTGGAGCCCATAGGGAAGTTTGTAGCCGATTGGACCAGTCTTGTTGGCAACACCTTTGAGAACAGCTGAAGAGAGGAACTGTCCAATGACCCAGCAGAGGTTGACGTAGGTTGTGAGGTAGGCCCGGAGACTGACGGGGCAGACCTCAGCTGCGTAGGTTGTGGTGAGGGTTTGGAAGGCTCCCCTAGGATATCGTGTTAGCAGAGTCATGAGCCATTGTTCTACATGACGGATGACTTACCATGGGATACCCATGAGGATCTCTCCGACGAGGAGCATCGGTAGGCTTTGTGCGAAGAAGACGATGAAGATGAAGCCAGTAAGAAGGGTAAGAGAACCGATCATGGTCTTCTTGTAGCCAATGCGTTCGACGATATAACCAATGAACAGAAGACCCAGCACTTCACCGACCAAAGCACCGTTCGACAGACCAGACTGCCAGGCAGCGCTAATTTGGTAGCTGCCGTCAGCTGAGCGCTGACCAAAGCGGAGCTGGAAAGCAGGAAGTGCCATCAGGGAGTTGATGAGAACGATGTCGAAGCCTTCCANTCTGTGGTTGTGTTAGCATTATATCAATCATGTAGACTGTACTGATGGGCATACAATGATACAAGTGCTGATGAGGACGGACCAGCCAATGGCCTTGGGATAGGTCTTGATGGCCTGCCAGAGTGTCATGGACACTTCAGACTGGGTTGCTCTGGCGGCCTCTGCGGCGACATTGGTGTCGACTTTGGCAAGATGGTGCATGTCCTGAGGAGTGATGCTGGCAGTGCGTGGAGCATCATTGCCAGCCGAGACAGATAGATTCCTAGTGTCGGCCATTGCACGGTTGGTCGAGTGTACAGAGGAAGAAGGATTCCGAGATTGTTGCTGATTGATCACAGGCGAATTGGAGTGTCGTGAGCTGAGTAGATATCCTCTCACAGCAAGGGAATCAGATTGATTTTTATACCAGAGGGACGTTGTGACTTCAACCCCAGCTTGCCTTGGACTCCATGGGGAACAGTAGCATGTTTCTCAAGAGGTTGGCTTCGAAAGTAAAGTCTGGTGCCCAAATCTGGTGAACGATGCGGAGTCGTGTAGTGGCGGGCGCGATTCGTGGTGTCTACCGGGCGAGGGATTCGGCGAGAGATTCAGCGAAACCATGTCTCTCGATCAATAGGGAGGTTTTGCTGTTTGAGTGAAGCCTGTTGGGCAGAGGCAGAGAACCGATGGCTACAGCTCGGTCGCCAGATGACAACCAAGCCCGCATAACCTGGGTTTCCGAGCAGCTCCTAGTCCAGTCCCGACCAATATCGATGTCCTTCATGATGGTGGTAGATGCCAAACAAAGAAGTGTCGATTGATGTGGTTCAGAAGGGTGAAATGGACATGTCTTGTCAACCGAGGCTTGCGAAGCTAGTGCCAAGCCGGCGGGCTCGAGCCTTTCTATGACGCGTGCGTCGCAATGTCGCGCCTGTATTCCCCTTTAAGCTACACTTGTAGAGACATCCGTGCTACCAAAATGCTCTATTGCTACGCCCGCCTCTCGAACACTTGCTTACCTTTATCAAATAATGCGAGCGATAGAGCGTCCGCCATGTCGTGGAGAAAGCCAAAGTAACGTTGCCCCAGTGGAGCAAACTGCCCGCATTGCGCCTTGACCAAACAATTATAGTCGTATAAGATGGCCTGTCTTCCAGCTAGACATCAAAGACCTCTCTTAACTCTAGCCTTGTCGTTCTCGTGCCTTGAACTCCCTCCCTCCAACAGATACTCGGACTATCGCTCTCACAAAGACTTGCAAGAGACAAAATGTCGCACGCATCTCGACCTTGGTGGAAAGATGCCACAGTCTACCAAATCTACCCAGCATCCTTCAACGACAGCAACAACGATGGCGTTGGAGACATCCAAGGTATCCTAGAGAAATTGGATTACATTCAGTCAATCGGCGTCGAGGTTATCTGGGTCTGTCCCATGTAAGTGGCACGCTACATCGAGTCGTCCCAGTCTTGTTACTGACTTTCACAAAACAGGTATGCCAGTCCACAGATTGACATGGGATACGACATTTCCGACTACGAGGCTGTCTATCCTCCTTATGGTACAGTTCAAGACATGGAGATCCTGATCAAGGAAACACACCGCCGCAACATGAAAATCATCCTCGATCTTGTCATCAACCACACATCAGACCAACACGCCTGGTTCCAAGAATCGCGTTCCTCCAAAGACAACCCAAAGCGTGATTGGTACATCTGGCGACCAGCTAAATATGATAGCGATGGCACTCGCAGACCTCCCACTAACTGGCGTAGTAACTTTGGAGGCTCGGTCTGGGATTGGGACGAGCACACTCAAGAATACTACCTTCATCTCTTCTGTCCAGAGCAACCAGACATCAACTGGGAGAATGAGGAAGCTCGTCAGACAGTCTATCAGTCAGCCATGATCTCATGGCTTGACAGGGGTGTTGATGGCTTCAGGATCGACACTGTCAACATGTACAGCAAGCCCATGGACTTCCCAGACGCTCCTATCCAAGATCCCAACACACCATGGCAAGATGCTAGTCTTATATACTGTAATGGACCCAACATGGACAAGTATCTGGATGAGATGAACGCAATTCTGACTCGCTACAACGCCATGAGTGTGGGAGAATGCCCGGCAACACCTGATCCAGCCCGTGTCCTTGGCTACGTTTCCGCAGAAGCTGCAAAGCTGAACATGGTGTTCCAATTTGACTCGGTCGATGTCGGGCAAAGCAGACCCTCTAAATACGATACCGCGCCATTCAACTATACGCTGGCCGACGTCAAGGGTGCCATCTGTCGCACGCAAAGTCTGATTGATGGCACAGATGCATGGACAACGAGCTTTATCGAAAATCATGATCAAGCCCGCAGCATTTCACGCTTTGGCAACGACTCACACCTCTGGCGCTCACGTTCCGGAAAGATGCTCGCTATGCTCTTCGCGTCCCTCTCTGGCACGCTGTTCGTGTACCAAGGTCAGGAGATTGGCATGATCAACATGCCCAAGGAGTGGCCCATTGAAGAGTACAAGGATGTTGACAGCATCAATTTCTATACCGAGGCCGTTCGCAGAAAGCCTGACGACGCAGCGGCACATGCCTTCGCCAAAGCAGGGATGCAGCATTTGTCTCGTGATCATGCACGAACTCCAATGCAATGGACCTCAAAATTCAACGCTGGTTTCACTAGCGAGACTGCTGAGCCTTGGATGAGGGTCAACACTAGCGCGCAAGAGGGCATCAATGTCGAAGAGGAACACGAGGATGCCTCGAGTGTTTTGAACTTCTGGCGACGAATGCTGAAAGTCCGCAAGACTCATGCCGAAGTACTTGTACATGGCAACTTCCAGCTTGTGGATGAAGACAACGAGAAAGTTTTCTCCTTTGTCAAGACATCTCCAGGGGGCGAGGTCAAGGCTCTTGTTGTGTGCAACTTTGCTGATGCTGAGAACCGAGTGCCTGTAATCGATGGTGTGGATACAGCTTCGGCAAAAGTATTGCTGAACAATGTCTCTGATCATCTCACGACAGATACTCCTGTCGAGTCAGAAGCTGGATACTTGCAGCCATGGGAAGGGCGCATGTATTTGCTTAACTAGTAGAAGGTTGTGTTTTGGAGGATATATGCCGGTATCAAGGATGTGTTCAAAGCGTGGAATGCCATAGCATCTTTTCAGATTGAGAATGACAAGGACTGGGTAAAGATATAATGTGTCTCAAAGATCGACCAACCTCCCTTGCGAGCTATGTGTCCCCCAACTTGCAGACCAATATGTGTTTTGTCCTCCGAAACGGCCGTGACGAACCCTCGGGTGGTAAGATGGTTATGTAAGCAGGGTTGCGACTGCACCATGAGCGATGCCAACAAAAGATTTGCAACGGTCTCGAAGTTCATCCCACCTCGGCCCCAACACCTTCAAACAAAATACACGATGCAAACCAGGAAACAAAATGACAGCCAGAGGGACAGACAGAAAATTCCCATGCGACCAATGCCGACGGCGTAAAGTGAGATGCAACTATGCAATGCCATGCGACCGCTGCGCCAGTCACGAACTTCCGTGTGCCTTCAACACTGTCAGGAAGAAGAGAGGCCCAAGGCCAGGCACAGGCACAGTCATTGAATCACTACGAGAGCCGGCGAGCCAATCTTTGCCATCGATAGAATCAGGAGGCTATAACGGCAATTCCCTTGAGAATGTCCGCACTGAGCAACCATTTCAGAACCATCAACCCACCATCACAGCCAGTCCCAATATTGCCGGCCTGGACCATGTACACTCTGGGTTATTCCAGACTGTTCTGGCAGAGCCTCAATCGAATCAACATACCAACCAGTCTTCACCACAAAGCTTCGTCGATGACGCGTACTTTACCTTCGATGACTTTGCTCAGAACATACTTTCGTCCACAGTACCACTGCAAGGGCAACGACTGATTGGAGACCGATCTTTGCTTATGAACTGGAATGGACTCCAGTCTGTGTCTGCTGTCAATCAGCATAAAATTTCCATAGCCAGCCCATCAACGTGGAGCGACGTGCCCGATCAGGGAGACTGGCGTGAAATTGAGCACGGCGTCGGCCTCTTTTTCGATAAAATGTATGCGGTGTATCCGATCATGGAAGAGAAGCACCTACGTTCACTTCTGGAAATCCCTTATCAGAAGCTTCAACGGGCAGAAGTAAGGCTTTTATGGTCTATTTGCGCTCTGACATTAATGGCTGTCGATGCGTGGCCGACCATGGAGCTGGAAAGGAGAACCGCTGCTGCACGACAGTATATCCGACGATGTCTAGAAGACCGTATATCATCGAACTACATCGAAAATGCTACGGTCGAGGATGTATTGACGTCGCTGTTCATAGCTGTGACGTACTTCGATCTCAAGTGCCGCAAGAACGCTTGGTTTTACGTTAGAGAGGCGATAAGTCTGGCGCAAGCGGCAGGCATGCATACCGCTGAGAGCGACTCGAAGCTACAGCCAGCCGAAAGATTACGCAGGCAACGCATCTACGCTTTGCTATTTATCACTGAACGCGGCGCCTGTATACATGACGCATTCTCCATCAGCATACTCTTGTCACCGATACTACCCTGCGAAAGACAACCGGAGGAAGACCATTCAGTGTCATTCGGCCTCAGCATGCTATTCCACCTGTTTTCTTTGCTCGACTCCAGTTTCTTCAGGGCCCGCAACGACCTGACCTCGGTTCAGGGCACTGGAAAAGAGTACATCGAGCTTGCTACGCTGCAGGAACAACTACACCAGGTACTAGACCTTACTAAAGTGTCTGAAGTCCAACGAGCAGACATTCTTGTCACTCAACAATGGTTGCGCCTTATGGTGTGGCAAACTGCCTTGAGGCTGGGCTTGATCTCATCGTCAGCGACGAATCCTTCATATACCTACGTCTATCCTATACAGATCGCCACCTCCCTATGCGAAGCTCTGAGAACGCTGTCTCCAGCTGCAATAGAGGTTCATGGATTGGGCATTGTAAGTACACCTCCACTCACAAAGCACTATGACCTCGACGCTATGAGAATGCACAATATTCTACTGAGAGGAGTGGTGTCCACGGAGATATCGGTGATCTGAGGCCGCTCTATAGCCATACTCCCAGTCCGGAAAGCGCTGTGCATTTCTATAGCTACACATGAGACATTCATTGACACCTGAGAGGAGAACCCAACAGACAAAGGGCTAACATCCACCTCCTCAACAGTTCGAGAAACAATTCGAGATCGCCTACTCCCTCCTCGACGCTCTGACATTATCCGATGGCACACAGTCGCAACATCATCACGAAACGCTGCGTTCGCTACTGGAGTCTCTGTCCGCTTCTCCTAAATCGCGGGATGTCTATGTTCGTATCCTTCAGAAGAAGATGGGACAGGATAGTTCTGCCCGCAAGAACGATCGATATGTTCGTTTGGCCAATGTACAGTTGTTGGTCGATGAGGGCTTGAATCAGCGAGTTGCTCGATGATATGTACCAAAGTTTGGCAAGAAGCTATCAGGAGACACAATCGTTAAACATGAAAGCATGGCAAGATCTCAGGTATGAACCTCTGTACGTACCCACTCGATTCTGACGATGTTCAAAATGTCGTCACCTTGGCCACAAGTCAAGGGGCACATAACCCGAAACCCAAGAACCGAGCTTCGAGACTGTGGTCGAGGACACAAATTATAAGCTCTAAGCAGTAGACGTCGGCTATATATCACTGACGGCTTGGGTCGGCGAGGATCTTGACCCAAATCCGGAATCCACTTTCATCAACGCTGCAACTGCAACTCACAACGCGATCAACCAAACTGTCACTGCTGCAAGTAAAGACTCGATTGTTTGTGCTTCGAACAGCAGCGATTCATCGATAGACAGAGATGAGATACTACTCCCTCGACTCACGCTCCTGGGGTGACAGATGGCGTCCTCTGACATGGCGTTCACCACTTGTCGGGCAATTGCTGTGTACAGTCAAGATTCAGGTCAAAACTCCTGCCAGGAGACTGCCTCGAGCGACACTTGTCGCAGGGGCTTCGAAAACACGCCCTAGTTATGTGCTGCAGGATCGTACATGGCTGGGTGTGACAGAACAATAAAACGCTAGACATCGAGCTTTGCGAGAACATTTGCAAAGTCCGAGCTAGACCTTCGAGTGTCTAGACCTTCGCGGTCCTCGCCTGGCAGCAGATGATAGAAAAAAAGCTGCATACAAGTAAAAGCCAAGTCGATAGATCTCGTCCAACGTTCATGTTTTTGTGATGACATTTTTCCAATGTCCTCTGGAGCCTTGCTCAATCTTGCCTTGCTCATTCTTGCCTTGCTCAAAGGCTTTTGTTGTCAAGCATTGATTTTTATATGCCAATTTGCATCCATACATCACTCTGTCCTCTCAAAGACTTGGGCTGCTCTCCATCGCATTTCACAAGGTAGGTCATGAGGTAGCAAGGTCGTTTGGTCATTTTTTCCTCTTGCTTCTGGATTGGTATATACAGAATTGGTGATTTTTCTTCCCTCTGCGGGGGGCATGACCCCCTTCGTATGAAAAAAAGTTGAAAACATCAAGAACAAAAATGAAAGGGTATCGTCGTTGAGGACTGACAAGCACTGATCTGTAAGCATCAACACCAAACAGAAAGAAAAAAAAAAGAAAGAAAAAAAGAGAGACTAGATATGGAATCCTCCAGACATTTGGAAAAAGAGAACGAGGGACAGACAAACGAATGACGAAACAGAAGAAAGAACATGTATAATGTATGGAAAAAAAAAGAAGATTATTAGAAAAAATGTTCTATGCGAACTGCGCTCGAAAAGCGGGAGAAAGGACTCTCGAACTTTTTTGATAATAGACAAGTTCCGAGCACTGGAATCCCGGAAAGGCTTGTCTTTGACATTAACTTCTGACACTTCTTGTAGTCGTTGATATTACTCCTCGGCCCATCGCTTCTCTCGTACAGTAGGTTCGCGACCTTCTCGTTGCCTGGAGCCGTCTTGCTCGGCTTTCCAAGCCCAGTACTCGCCAAGACGGACATCAGCATACGAAGCGTAGTCAAAGTCGATTTGTGAAATGGTGGCTTGGATCAGAGACCAGATTCCCCAGTAAAAGCCTGGTAGACCGCGGAAAGTGTTGACTTGGCTGACTAGTTGCTGTTGTTCGCGTTTGATAGTTTCCGGATCTGACACAGGAGCGAAGTTGCGGTATGATGCGAGATATTGGGCAATGAATTCAGCACGCTGACTGCGCGTTGGTAAAGCGGAGTAGTCGCAATCGAAACCGCCCCATTCGGCAAAGTGGTTGGCAATGTCAAAGGCAGCGGGTGCCGGGGTTGCATATTCGTAGTCGATGAAGCTCACTGTAAGACCTTTCCCTCCTTCTCTTTTCTCAGGATGTACGATAACGTTGCCGGACAAAAGGTCGCAGTGAGCGAAAATGTAGTCGTACCCGTCCAGACCAGGTGTTGATCCCAGCTCGTTCGAAAGGTATGTCAATTCCTGCTCCAGCATGTTTCTGCGTTCCTTCTCTTTCTGTGTGGCTACAGGTAGCGCATTGATCCACTCTTGCATGACAGTCCACAGACTCGGTTTCGGCCTCTTGTTGCCGGCTTTGTCTGTGTGGTGGTGATCATCACCATTCTGTTCTTGCAGTGTCTGGAGCGAACTGATAGCAGCGATGGGCAGTGTGCTGTGCCATTGGCCGAGTCTTCTGGCGACTGCGCGGTAGACGTCGGGTCTTCGGAGGTCTTCTGGGCTGCATACGTCGCCTGCGATGTATTTGTACAGTAGGCCGTTCTCGAAGCGCGCGAATAGTGGAGGCGCTAGTCCGCGGCCCGCAAGCAGAGAGTGCGATCGAGTTTCTCCTGTTGTCGTGGTCAATTGGGCGTTTCTTTCAAAGGAGGACACTCTCCGAGAGAGCTTGAATGTGGGAGTGACGTACTNTTCGCGGTCTATCAAGACATCTGTCCCCTTTCCGTATGCCCTCAGGAGGATCGCATCCGAGTCAATGTCTTGTTGTGTGTATCCTGGTCGTTTCTTGATGGCCTTCATAANGCTGTGCACGGCGCGTGTCAGTCGCAGTCCAGGACAAACAGGCGCGAAAGGCTTGCCTTGACGTACAGTGTTTGTGATGCCTTCGGTAAAGGGGATCAATTCAACGGGGCCCTCATCGTGCTCCCAGTCGGGGCATAATGTGTATATCAGGCGCAAAGCCGAGGGCTCAGAGTCGGTGTGGTCGTAGCAGAGGTCGATGTGTCGGACGGCCATGGGAGAGTCTGCTCTAAGCAGGTGCAAGTCCATGTTAGAGAGTGTTATAGCGAGGAGTGGGCACGCGGGCAGGCAGTACAGGAAGCAACGACCAAGTAGTGTTGGAAGAAGATGTGCAGAAGTCGGTCGGTCAAGCCATGCAAAGACGGTGACAGATTGGAGTGACAGTGTCAGGGCGGGCGGCAGCAAAAGTGGTCAAGGTGATCGTGTGAGTTGCGGAATTGGCATTTGGAGGAGGGGTCAGTGCAGCACATTACCAGAGTGGGTATTAGGAACGCGCCTCGACCTACGAGCCAAGACAGACGGGAGGGACCCTTAAAACACCACAACAAAGGGGGGCCGGCCTCATAACCTCCTGAACAACTGCTGCTACCAAACACAGACTCTATCTGCTGCTGCTACCAAACAATCACCAGTCTCTGCAGCACACACTCGCAGGGCGCCTGTTCGCTCCCTATCCAGAAAGTCGAAATTGCTCACTTCCTTTCGCTTGACATTACCCGCCCGTCCAATCGCACGCGGCAAGGTTTCAAGCTCGGCCTCGCCATGACGCGCACCTTCCGCAACTTCCTATTCCCATGTGATTGTCCAATAAACCATGTTTGCACGTGAAGATTTCACTCGGCTGTCTGCATATTGTACTCATGTAAGGAATAACTCCATGGCTAACATGATTTGACAAAAGCTACAAACTTTTCATCCGCTAACAAGGGTGAGCAAGCTGCTAGTAGCTACGTGAGAGGAACAAGGTATACACGCCGAGAGAAACTGAGGTATCGAAAGAGTAGGAAAGTGTCCTTCTTGTGGCCACATTGAACAGAAAACAAAACAAAGAGGATATCTATCGTGCCTTGGCGCCATTCATCCAGTAATAATGCCCACAGACAAAAATAATAACAAGAAGGAAAATAAAGACTCCATCAACTCCATCGCATTGTGACACTCGGATTCTGCGGCTGGGATGGCTACTGCTTGTCGCTGCCATCAACCTTGATGTCGGGATGACCAGCAAATGGTCCCGATCCAAAGGCCGGAGTCGTGTCGTTCGACTGACTTGGCGGGTGGTTACCGTCCACCTGCTGCTGGACGACGACGGGATCCTGAGGCTTGGTATCAGGGTGAATGTCAAGACCGCTCTCACGGCTCAGGTCGCTTCGCGATCTGGCACGCGCAAACTTCATGCTGTCATTGTCACCATGGCCACGTTCTATCGGGGACCATGCTGCACCGATGCTGCCTGCGACAATACCGGCCATGGCAGCACCAGCGAACGCAGAGTTCGATCTTGAACGACCACGCGAGCGGCGACGAGAGTCTGGTGTGGGAGGTGCAAGCGACTGAGCGTCACCCTGTTCGCCATTGGGTGTTTGCGGCAGAGACATGCTACTACGCGATCTGGATGCCGAACGAGAATGGAGAAGAGCTTCGCGAGGGTGCTTGAGGGTGAACTTGATCTGGTTGAGACGGCCACCCTTGATTCTCTTGATGAAGGCGAGTTCGTCACGAATGTCAAGAAGGGCTTGGCTGTACTCGAATGGTCGCTCCTCGTCCTCTACAACAAGCTTGGGCGCAGCCTTGCGCTTGAGCCATGCTGGCACCAGGCGTGCAACGAGCTCGTCAGGAATCAGACGGATGATGACACCGACCGGAATCGAGATGGCACCAAGGCCGACTGAGTAAGCCCATTGTTCTCCAGTCAATCTCTCAACACTGAAAGCGCGACCACCAACAAACATGATCATCACCTGTCCGCCGATCATAACAAGCGCGATGAAGATGAAGAATGAGTTGCGTTGAACACCTTCGAAAATGTTGAACTTGTTGTCGAGGCGTCTGTTGTTGAACATGTTGAAGATCTGCATCCAGACAAAGCAGTTGAAAACCATTGCGTTGAGTCTTTCTCTCTCAGCAGGGTTGGCGTAGCTTAGCAGACCTGAACCACCTGATTTCTGGCCGAAGTACAGAATGTAAGTGACAATGAGCTGATAGATTGCTTGGCCGATGATCATCTTCCACATGTTCACTGTAATGAGGGGTGCGGATTTGGGCGCAGGCTTGCGGTTGATGATGTTGCGAGTAGGGGGGTCTGTAGCAAGAGCCAGAGCAGCGAATGTGTCCATGATGAGGTTGACCCAGAGAAGTTGCACTGCAGTGAGGACAGAAGCTTCGTCATCACTGGCGACCGCTGACACAAAGGCCAACAAAACAGCGGTGATGTTGACAGTGATCTGGAACTGCAAGAACTTCTGGACAGCGTCGTTGACAGCACGACCCCACATGAGAGCCTTGATGATGGAGGCGAAGTTGTCGTCCATGAGAATGATGTCGGATGCCTCTTTTGCGACCTCAGTACCAGCAATGCCCATGGAGAAACCGACATCAGCAGCCTTTAGAGCAGGTGCATCGTTGGTGCCATCACCAGTCACGGCGACGGTCTCACCCATCTCTTTCAGACGCTTGACTAGGACACGCTTGTCGTCGGGGGAGGATCTTGCCAGGACTTGAAGTTTAGGGATGACGGCCAGTTGCTCTTGCTTGGACATCTTTCTGAAGACAGGTCCCTCAAGTGCGACACCTCCAGGGGTGAAGATACCACATTCAGTAGCGATGGCCTTTGCAGTCATAATGTTGTCACCGGTAACCATACGAGGGAAGACGCCAGCAGTAAGGCAGTCCAGGACAGCATCAGTGACACCATCACGAAGAGGATCCTGAATACCAATGACTCCGAGGAAAGTCATGTCTTTCAAGACATCTTCGAAAATCACCTGAGTCTTGTCGTCTTCAGATCTGCGGGCATTCTTAGGAGGCCACTGTTCGAAGTCGCGGTAGAGGAAACCGATGGTGCGGAGAGAGTTGGATGCGTAAGTCTCGATGAGCTGGTTGAGGGTCGTGACGTTGTCGTTGGAGATGGAAACACCATCGACACCTTTGCTGGGGTCTCTGATGATCATTGTAGCATGTCTCAACATGATTTCCGAGGCACCCTTGACATAAAGCCTGTACTTGTTGCCAATCTTCTGAACGACACCCATGCACTTGCGACCAGAGTCGAAGGGCATAAACTGAACGAGCTCGGCGTTTGAGCGCTCAGTGCTAATAGCGTCCATTGCCAGGAAGTCGCGAGCGAACGCCAAAAGGGCAGTCTCAGTCTTTGAGCCGATGTAAGTGGGCTTACCATTTTCCTCGCCCTCAAAGGCAGTAGAGTTCAATGCGATCGAGTCTTTCATGAGAGCCTTGACGTTATCACCCAGAGTGCCGACGAATTCGTTGGTGTCCACGCTATCGACATTGACTCCTTGGGCGTCTTGATCCTTGCCAGCCTTACTGCTGAAGCGCGAAGTGGTTCCAACAGTTCCAGCCACAACAGTCATGACGTTTTGGGTGAGAGTACCAGTCTTGTCAGAGCAGACTGTGGTGGCATTTCCCATTGTCTCGCAAGATCTGAGCACACGGACGAGGTTGTTGTCTTTTGTCATACGTTTGGTTGCGAAAGCCAGGGCGAGTGTGACGGCTAGAGGCAAACCTTCGGGGACTGCAACAACAACAATGGTGACAGCAACGATCAGAATGTTGAGGAAGTTTTGTGCCTTTTCGGAGGGAGTTCTACGGTCTCCGGGGAGCTTTGCACAGAACTTGATCAAAAGTACGAGGAACAGCAACAGTGCAGCAGCTCCACCAAGTTTGGCAATGTATTCGGCCAAGGTGTTCAACTTTGACTGCAATGGAGTGACTTCGCTGTCCTCGCGAAGCGACATCATGGTTTTGCCGTAGCTTGAGTTGACACCAGTAGCGACAACAAGGAATTTACCAACTCCCTCGGTGACTTTGGCGCCTGAGAGAATGAATGGATCCAGTTTTCTAAGCGGTTCGTGGGCTTCCATAGCACGCCAGACCTCCTCGGAAGCACTCTTCTTGATAATATCAGATTCACCAGTTGCGGAAGATTCATCACATTTGATGCCGTGACCTTCGATGAGCACACCGTCGACAGGGACCATGTCACCAGGTTCAAGAAGCAAGACGTCACCAGCGAAGATGTCGTGGACCGAAATTTCCAGAGTCTTTCCAGAGCGAATGACCTTGACGACACGGTTGTCCTTTTTCTTGTTGAGTTTGACGAATTGACGCTCCTTCTGCCAGTCATTGAGAGCTCCGACTGAAACAACAATGACGATGGCGACAACGATGGCGACACCTTCGACCCATTCGACGTGGGGTTCACCGTTTACCTTAGGAGTACCAAAGGTTTGGTAAAGACCAAGGGCGAGCGAGATGACGGCAGCACCAGTAAGCAAGAGGAGAATCTTGTCTTTGTAGGCCTCCCAAGCAAGACGCCATAGCGGCTTGGCCTTCTTCTCAGGAAGGCGGTTGTCGCCAAAGATGCGCACACGATCAGAGAAGGGACCGCTAGTAGATGTCGTGCTGTTGCCGCCCTTGGAGACGTATTGTGCGTTGGGGTTTTCATGGTCAGTGGCCTCTTCGAACGAGACCTGGCCATCAAGGTGCTGCTCCTCCAAACTCAAACCAGTCTTGCGATCAGACCTGAGACCCTTCTCAATACCTGCAATACCTCCTAGGGCATGGAATGCACCCAGACTCTTGGGGTTGAACATCTTGCCCATCTGGCCAGGGGTAAAGGCGAAGGGGTTGTTCTCTCTTGTAAAGTCGGCCTCGGTTCCAGGGTCGGGGTGTAACGCTTCGGTAGCGCTGAGGACTTCGGGGCCACCATGGCTATCTTGTGGACCAAAGGCCTTGGGCATGCCGTGTTCTGGTGAAGAGTTGACGTAGGTTCCTGTCGATGTTGATTCGGCGCCGAGAGTGTCGAAAGAACCGGCACGTGAGCGTGCAGGGGGCACCGAAAGGAAGTTCTGAGGGCTATTAAATGTTGGTGACGAGACATTGTGAGGCGAGGTCGGTCTGCTGTTTTCATTGTCGAACGAGTTGGTAGGGCGCAGTTCGGTAGGCGAAGTCTGGTAGGGGTGCAGCCCTGTTGAGGAATGGTCGTTGCCCTGCACAGCGAAGCTGCCGTCAGAAAGGGTGTCCATAGCTATGTCCTGACGAACCGAGGGTCTACCCACTGCTGAAGTGTCTATGGTAATGGTGGGTGCTCTGTTACGGCGGCCTTGGGCTGGCGAGTCCTGGTCTTGGTTGAAAGGATTCGAGTCCGACATGGTTGTGGCTGATGTTGCACCACAAGGATGCAGGACGCTGAGGTTATGTCGAGGTCGACTGAACAATGGTCATTCGTAGGAGGTGTGGCTTGACTCCTGATGCACTGCGATGAGGCGAATCAAGAGGCTGTGCTGGGGTGCCTTCTAGCTCAGGTCGAGGCCGGAATGGTGGCAGTGAGATCCGGTGATGCCGTTTAAGAGATGGTAATGCTCAATAGTACTAGGCACATGACAAGAGCATCAGCAATCCGACATGACTTCGTCCATACAAATGTCAAACAGCAGGGAGGCGCAGCGATAAGTGTCCAAGAGCCAAGAATCTCTTGGACTCGTTCCGCTGGTTGCTATGCGATTGAAGAATGTGGAAAGAGGCTTTATTACACTTTACCATCGACACTGCCCGTTGCCGACGACTGTTCAGTTTGCCAACGCTCGTCTTCACCGGCTCGCTAGCTGTGGGTACGGGGAGTAGAGATAAGCTGGGCGCTGCAGCGATGGGCAGGCTGTGTTGAGTCAAATGGTCGTTTTTGCGCGGATATGCGACTGCTTGATTTGACAAACAGCTTTACAGCCGCTGATGCGCAGGTAAGGAGGGAGCAGCAACAAGGAGTCAATTGTCTTGTGAAACCAGGCCGTCTGTTTTGACTGCCGCCGGACAAAGAAAGTCAGCAAGCAGCTGTCAGAAGGCACAGCTCTGTAAACTACATTTCTCTTCACCTGCATCTTGTCCTGTGGTGGTGGTGCTATGGTACTATGCCAAGAGCACTGCCCCCGGGCCCCAAGTTCAAAGCGCTAGCGTGAGGCTTCTCGATCGTCCCTTTCCCGCCTCGGCCCCCTGTCAGAGCCTCATCGGCGTCTCCATTGGCCGTTATGCCTGACTCTTGCTCAGAGTCTGGTCGCTTTTATGTGACCTGCCCTCTCCCTCTGCATCTCTTGCCGACCCATACAGCACTTGCACAACCTGAATGCTTGATCAAGTTCTTGGGATGCGGGAATAACTATTCCCCCACCTCAAGCAACTGTGACAAGAGACATGGGCCTAGAGTTGACGATAAATTGCAACAACCGAAGCCTTGGTCCCTTCTCGTTCAACGCACAAACACTCTCATTTCAACCATCTGCAACCGAACAGATGTGATAGATTGTTTCTGTTATGATGCTATGGCCATCAGCCAAACATCCGTGGCGCTTTGGTGCGACTCTTTCAACCAATCCTTCCCTGGCTTTGGGTACGGTATCTCGACAACCTGTCTTTAACGAAGCAGGAATGAATATTATACGGTGATGTACTTTGGCCTTTCGGTCTTGTGTCTCTGACGCATGCTGTGCTTTTTCTACTTGCTACTGTGCGGACCAGCTCACCCCTTCGAGTCCCACAGTACTCGACGGCGTGAGGATAACAATTATCTCGTGCTCGTCGACCTTCTTCATGAGGACATGCTTTTCGAAGCTTCGATAGGCCAAGCCGTGGCATCAAAGGACACAGCCCCCGCCAAGCTCGATGGGCACACTGCATAGTACCGCAGAGTGAGGTCAGCGATTGCTGCGCTTTCTGCTCACTTGAGCACCGTACTCGTGTGTGAGTGGATATACCCTGTAGCTGTTGGCAAATCGTGTTCTATTACGATAAGGACGGGTCATCGTCCGTGTCTCTATCTTCTATGGGAAAACTGAAAGAGTTGCTATGAGCTTAGATTATGGACTGCGGCCAGCCAAGCATGAGCCATGTCCATCATCATGCGCGAAAGATTCTTCGTAACAGGTACGGCGCGAAGAGGTCGACACCGGGCGACTGTACGCATCTTCCAACTCGATTGCCTGCATTGGGGCTGAGCCAGTTGCCTGCATCGCCAGGTATCTCACCCTCGCCGTCGTCTGGGGCTCGCTGTTTTCTGCCTCGTCTATCCACAACCGTCATACCACGAGTCCACTGACCAGTCGTTTCGATTCTGATATCCTCGTCCTTCTTGATCTTCCAACCTGCATCGTCGTGGGTGAGCGCGTACCAGATACACAGCGGATCGTGCAGTTCAAGGCCAACAGAGTCACCACTGATGCCTTTCATCAACGATTCAACCTTATCAAATGTCGAGTTCAGGAACGCTGCGGTCCACTCTGCCAAGGGCGACCCAGCCTCAATCAAAGGCTGAATCGTCTGTTTGACCTGGCCCCTCGTGATCTTATGAGGTGTTGTGATATCGAGAGGGAACACGGTAAGCTTGAGCTGTCTCGACAGCTTTGCCGGATAAGGTGCCAAGTGAGGCAGTGACTGCGAACCAGGCGGAGCAGGAGGCGAAGGAGGAATAGTCGTGTTTGGGGTAGGCGAAGTAAGTGCATACACACGGGCCGTGGCAATGCTATCGGCGTATGTGTTAAACTCGGCCACCGGGGTCANCCTGGTTACGAATGTTTAGACTGGTGCGCAAGGGTGTTTGTGGAGCCTTGATCAGGCGAGACGGCGGCTCTGGGATTGGGACGGATGAGTGGATAGGGGAGGGAGCTTTCGTACATTGCCTGGCTCGTTGATGGTGTTTCCCATGACGACCACTTCCTTCACGCGTAAGAACGTCTCAGGATCTTGAGCCGCAGCGATGGCTAGGTTGGTCAGAGGTCCGATTGCGACAATGGTGATAGTGTCTGGCTCATTCTCTTTCAACAGACGCAGGATCTCTTCGTGAGAACGACGCTGGGAAGGTTTGAACATGGAAGCCTCGCGGACTTGCTGAGAAGTCCTGGTCGCACCCGGTGACAGAGGTGCTCCTCCAGCGGCCTCGAAGAGCATTTTCCATGTCTCCTGAGGGGTCAGATGAGGGTGNNCTTCAGTCAAGTCAGCCGTTTGAGCTCCCATCGTTTAGACGACCTCGACACCTACGCTGGAATGAATACCACCAAGACCATCAGTACCATCTACCTGAATCAGTATCTTCTACACAGGCTCCCTGGGATACATACGGAAGAAATCGGCCATCATAAGCTGCTCTGTCAGAGGCTCTTCGGCACCAACGGCAACAAGAGGCTTCGAAGCTCTCAAAGTCTGGAAACCTAACTCTTTGCCGTTCTTGCTTCTCCATTCAATCTCTCTTTCCATGTGATGAAACAGCGAAACTGCATTTCTTAGGCAGTTCTGTACGTCGATGTTGCCAAACGTCAAAGAGATTAGGAGAACTTCAATCTCTTCGGGCGTAGCTGAGAATGCTAGGAGCATGGCCAGGATATCATCGACACCCTAGGATATGTGTTGGCCAAGATGTTGCTATTTGCGGTGGTGACATGGTGATAAACATACTGGGTCGGTGTCGATGATGATCTTTTGCTTGGGTGCCATGATGGTTCTGTTTTGAGTCTTGGTTTGCTTGACAGCGTGAATATGTAGTCAGTCGGTTTTGAAGACGATGTTGGTAGCTTGGGGGTGGTGTTTGGACATGTGTTCTTGCGAGAGTCGCGAATGCCTTGTGTCAGAATGCTTGACGTTGCTACCCGCTTTTTGACACAGCTTCATTTAATGATATGAGTCTTGCACACTTCGTCCGGGTGCTCGTCGAGAACATGTGTTTGACCACAGAATATCTTAGCATGTATCAACCCATGTTTACCGTTGGGCAGTATTATCCCAAGGTAGATGCGAGGGCAGCAGACAACATTATCTCTTGTCAAGATCGATGACAGGGTAGCACTCCCAGCAACGAATTTGACCCATGGGGCACGGACCACTAACTGTGTATAAAAAGTCTGCTTTCCCAAACCCTCTTCCTCCATCAACAATGTCAGTCGCCCACCCTTAGAGTCTCGGTACGACATTTCAATGTTTGTACAGGTCCATGAGGCCTCCATAGCGTGCTCCGGTGGTCGCAGAATCAAATACGCCTTCTGTCTAATTGTATCTATCTCCTTTCGGGGAGAGATGGGAATGCAGCATGGACATGGGTGTGAAATCTCTATTCTATATACATTTATTTCTGCGTGAGTTGTGGCTGTTGGCGCATCGCCATAGTCTATTTGATGCCCTGCGCGCGTTGCCTCATCTTGAGTCNTGTAGATGGGAGCGGAGCGCATGTCAACGAATTTCTCAATCACAGTCAAAAGTTATGTGTGTGTTCTTACCTCAGAAGTCCAGCCTTTGGGCAACTCACGGTTGATGCGCTATCGCCATTCTTCTCGTAGAAGGCATTGCAGCATTCGTACAGAGCGTCAATCTGNNTGTGTGTACGATCAGCATCGTTGTCATGTGCACGTATTGAGTGTCGACTACGTACCTGCTTCTGGCATTTGCTTTCGTCGTAGCCATTCTTTTGTATGCAATCTGCCGCTATGTGAATACCGCTGTCTGAGTGAGAGACCGGACCCAACCTCGTACCTTGGATTGCACATGCACGAGGATGGCACGGAGGGTCAGTCTTGAGATCTTGCTCCATACCCTGCGTACCGCGGTCAGTTTCGATACTTTGGAGAATTGGACTGAAAAGTGTCTTGGTCATGACCTCATACCATGATTGAAAACTGAGGCAGTTGTGGAAGCCTTGGTGAACTGGAAAGTGAAGGTGGAAAGAAGTAGTAGATAACAGAGACGAAACGGAGTGATAGTTCTGGCAACTTCTGTGAAACGTCGAGTCCTTTGTATTTGGGTGTATGCAACTTCCAGACGCTTCAGTGGTTGTTGGACTTTGAGGAAGGCGCCTCACAAAAGACCCCGCGTGTGCCTGCTTCAATTGAGCGCGAACTGGCGTCACTGCTGCCTTTTCATTTTCAGCTACTCGACTCTCTGACACCTTTCCCGTTCACGTCGCATAGATCCATAAGGTATTTCACTTCTGCAACACCTTTCGTCTTTCCTCGCCCATCAAGCTCACCACCTCATCGCAGCTTCGTCGCAGCTTTCACCAACACAGCACTCTTAACCCGCGCCGCCACGTGAGCCGACGACGACCGCAACAGCAAAGTCCACCTTCTTCGCAAAGGTACCTCCTCCCGCCTTCATCTCACATCCAAACTCTCCACAACAAGTCCATCTAACATCACCGCCTCGCGCCAGAACATCACACAATGTCCGACACTGGTTCTCCCCCACAAAAGCCCGAGGGCGGCGAGCACCTCAACATTAAGGTGACCGACAACAACAACGAGGTCTACTTCAAGATCAAGCGCACCACCCAGCTCAAGAAGCTCATGGACGCTTTCTGCGAGCGTCAAGGAAAAGCTCCTACCAGTGTGCGATTCCTCTTCGATGGCCAGAGAGTCAACCCCACCGACAATCCTGAGACCGTGAGTCGTCCTGTCCTTTGACCTTATCGCTGTCGCCTTTGGTTTTTGCTTTGTTCCTTTGACTGACTTTTGTTCTCGCAGCTCGACATGCAAGACGGCGACACCCTCGAGGTCCACCAAGAGCAGATCGGTGGCTGCTGATCACCTTCTCACACCACGAACCACTACACGAAGCAAGACTCGAAGAAGTCGCGCCTACAAGCAAGGACACAGGGAGGAAAGATGAGCGCACCCCAGATGGTGCAACTTGGCGTTGGTTCCCAAGCAGGAGTTATAATCGACCAGGGCGGCCTGTCTATACCAGCCCGTGCCTGAAATCGGGGTGTGCACTTTCTGCGACCGCCTTTCTACCAACAGAATGGCGAGCGCGTATGATGTTTTCTGCTCTCCTGCCCCGTATTCTAGTCTTTTCTCACAATTATTTGCCCAGACCAATCAAGGTATCACAAAGAAATCTGATTGTCATCAAAATTCCGCGAGTCTCATTGCCGCTTCCTGTGCTTCTTATGCTGAAATCTCCCGATCTATCCTTTCCTATGTCTGCTCTCCTTCCACTGCTTGCCTGCTATGCTGTCTATCTGCCCGTGGCGAGAGTGGCTCATATGCATCCTTATGTGACAAATGTCTTCTGTGATCCCCTTGTCCTCGCTATGCAATACCAGTATGCGCTCCTTCGCTCCTTCGCATGGACTTTGTGCTTTTGGTGATTCTTGTATTTCGGATGAGCCCAAGAGGGTCGGGAAATTCAGCCTGCGATGCCTTCAGATCGTTCCCGACCCAAACCCGCTCTCGTTATGCCAAGTTTGATGTTGCATGACTCTCTGCGCAATCACTTCAATCATCCCAAATAGCAGCCTTTGCCTTTGCAGCATCTTCTTCTGCCTTTTTCTTGGCCTCTCTCTCCTGATCTCTCTTTCTCTTCTCTTGCTCGCGCATGGATTTGTCGTAGGCTCTCTGTTCTTCTGTTCTTCTAGGCACTTTGACACCCAGGGCTCCAGCGATCAAGCGGTGAGCAACCGCGTTTGTCTTCTCAGGGCGGCGCTCGGAGGATGTGCTTGAAGAGGGTGTGGTGCTGCGTGAAGGTGGTGTGACACTGCGGCTTGATGGCGAGGGAGCGGCAGAGCGGTATTTGAGGTGGGGAGGGAGGTATGTTGATTTGGGCACCGGGGCTGGTTCTTCGGTGGACTTGATGGCGGGTTTGGAGGTGTTGGAGCTGGTGGTGTTTGGAGGTTCGGGTTCTGAGAGTGTTTCTTCTTCTTCTTGTTCCCATGAATCTGCTACTTTGACGATGGGTTTGGTGTGTTTGTGGTGAGGAGCTATGCGACTGGTTGCTGGCTTGGGCTCGGGCTTTGACTCGGAGGCGTTGTCTGTTGCAGCGACAGGCGTAGTCTTACTCTCCATTACTGCCTCAGACCGTGTAGAAGCGACAGTCTCAGAGGCAACAGACTTCTCAGTGCTGGCGAGTGTGGGTGCTGGCGACTGATTTGCGACTCTGGCCGGCGTAGTTGTGCTCGACTCGGAAGACTTGTTTGCTTGAGCGTACTTGCGGTGTGGTGGTGTGTAACGGGGAGCATCGGCACGACTCTTGCCACTGACATTCATCTTCTCCATCTGCTTCGACAGTCCATTAGCAGATTGAGAGCCCGCCATATTGGTGTATGTAGCTGTGATAAGGAGAGAAAGATGGTTGAAAAGCAGGATCAGGTAGATGTAGGCAGCAGATTGGAAGAGGTGAGAGCCAAAGCAACTCAAGAGGCCAGCAAACAGTGAGCAAGTGAAACAAAACAATTGGTCCGGGTCGAGTGACCTAAAGATGGTATGCGACTCGAGTCGCAAGCCTGGAAGTGAAATCGCAAACCTTAAACCAGACCCCACGTTTGCAGAGCATCTGCGGGGATACCAACATGGTCTTGGCACTTCTGACATCACCTCCACCACATGTATTTGATGTCACAACCTGCGTACTCTCTTCGAGATATCGTATGTGACGAATTGTAGGATCAAGATCCTGCGAGATCGGATCTTCACAGTTCGACCTTTTGACACTTTCAGACGTCCGATGGTATGCATCCAGGAGACAATACGATTAACGATGTGAACTCAGTTCCATGTTCCCTCCGGCCTCGGCCGGTAAGATCGACTTGATGCCGATACTCCACATCATCGTTTCGATGCTTCATATATGGATGTGTCCGTTCACGTCGTAATCTAGTCAGTTCTGTGCGCCAATCCTTGAGAACCGTCCAACATGCCTGTGCCTCGTTTCACTTCGAGTCTTCTGCGATCCTCAAGGACGAGACACTTCTCAACCTCCGCATCGAGATGTTCTTATGAAGACACAGTCCAGAATCTGAAGATTGGCAAACATACCAGAGTTTTATACCAGGGATTTACCGGAAAGGTCGCAACACAGAACGCCAAGGAGTCTCTCGAGTATGGCACCAATATCGTTGGGGGCGTAAAGCCAGGAGGTAGCGGCGAACATTTAGGCTTGCCAGTGCTGCCTACTGTGAGAGAGGCCAAGGAGCAGTTAAAGCCGGATGCCACTGCAATCTATGTGGCTGCTCCTCACGCAGGAAAAGCGATCGAGGAAGCCATCGAGGCAGAAATACCCTTGATCGTCGCGGTGGCCGAACATATACCACTCCATGATGTTCTACGCGTACGGACCCAGACAAGAGACTGAGAGGGATAACTGCTGATGTATACCAGNATTATGTCAATCTTGAAGACACAGTCGAAAAGTCGACTAGTCGGTGCAAATGCTCCCGGTATTATCTCAGCAATTGGACATTGCAGGATAGGCTTTCAACCGCTACCAACATTCTCTCCTGGTCATGTTGGAATCGTAGCCAAGTCAGGCACTCTGAGCTACGAAACCGTGGCTTCCATAACTCGTGCTGGGCTTGGCCAGAGTCTGTGCATCGGCATGGGAGGTGATGTGGTAGCAGGCACAAACTTCGTCGATGCTTTGCGAGTCTTTGAGACGGATCCTGATACCGAAGCTATAGTGCTTGTCGGAGAGGTCGGTGGAAGTGCCGAGCTGGAAGCAGCCGACTGGATCAAAGACTATCATCGCCGCGAAAAGAACCCGAAGTAAGTTTATCGAGGTTTCCATCAGGTCCGCATTTTGCTAACGAGATGCACAAGACCCATAGCTGCTGTTGTTGGAGGCAGAATGGCACCTCCTGGTCGAGTGATGGGACATGCAGGCGCTTGGGCTGGTGTCGGCGAGGCCACTGCCGAGGAAAAGTTCAAGATATTGCAGAATGCAGGTGCCACTATGGTTGATCACCCCGAGAAGTTCGGCAACGTCATGAAAGGCTTGTTGAAGCAGGCTGGGAAGGATGTGAGCAAGATCCAACAATCTGCAAGTGCCAACCAACGGAGAGGCATGCACACCATGAGGCAAGTGCGACCATCAATCAGCTTAGGGACTTCCAGGTTCAGCAAAAGTCCACAGCGGAGTTTGCATCTTCGCAACCAGAAAGCTGCGGACCATCTCAGCAAATCATTGGAAGGCTTCGACATCTCCGAAGAGACCCCCAACAACGCAGACAGCGTGTACCTGAGCATCTCAGTCGATCGATCTAGCCGCTCACCCTGCATCATCGCGTCACCATCCACAAACCCTCGCAAGCTCCACCATCGCCTACGCCGCTTCCCATACTCATACCTCGAGGGCCCGAACCAGGAGACTGTTCTCGCAGCCATCCAGCACCTACAGCTCGACGCTGCACCTCCAGCCGCTCACGCACAAACGGCAAAACTCATCTCCCGCCTCGCAGACTTATATCGCGAACAAGAAGCCGTAAGCCTAGCCGTCAACCTCTCAATTTCCTCTTCTGGCTCTTTGAACCTCTCACAACCCCGACTCTTCTACGACGACGCAGCGTTCAAGTCCAACAAGCGACACCCTGAACTCCACGCCCTCCGCGATATATCCCAAGAACCAGCCGTCGAAGTCGAAGCCGAGAAGTCAGGGATTGTGTTCGTAAGACTTCACCCCGATGATGATACAGCAAACATCGGTACTCTGGTCAATGGAGCAGGATTGGCCATGAACACGGTCGATGCCCTCGCTTTACCACCCCACAACGGCAAATGTGCCAATTTCCTCGACACAGGTGGTAAAGCGACATCAGAGACAGTCAAGACGTCCTTTGAGCTCATCCTCAAAGACCCCCGCGTCAAAGTCATTTTTGTGAACATTTTTGGCGGACTCACTGATTGTGGTATGATTGCTGATGGAGTGATTATGGCGTTTGAAAAGGTGGATATGCAGGGCAAGCCTGTTGTTGTGAGGTTGAGAGGTACTAACGAGGAGGTGGGCCAGAAGAAGATTGCGGAAAGTGGATTGCCGCTTGAGGCATTTGATGGGTTCCATGAGGCTGCGCAGAGGGTTGTCGAGTTGGCTGCAAAGTCGTGAGATGAGATGTATAGACGTACAGTACATGGTCCTGGCTTTGTGTTTGCTTAGAATATGTTTGATCGTTATTCCTTAGAAGTCTGCATCTACCTGCTTTGTGATCTGCTAAGAGAATTTGAAATCGCAAATCTGGGTTCGAGGATGCAGTGCTAATTTGCTCTTATCTCCGGGAATAAGTTTTCAAAAGACGACTATGCAGATGCACGATACTTACATGGTCAGGAGCTGTTCCTATCAAGATAGCAGACCCATCTCTCAAAGCGAAGCACAAACTGACGAAACAGACACAGGACACATGTTAAAGTCAAAGAGTATTCATGTATTCTTCTTTCTGGTATAGGTGCTCAATCTGGCTACCCAACATAGTACAGAGACAAAACCAAAAAAAAACGATCGCAGAGCCTCTCGCAAGGCATGAAGAAGGAAGAAAAAACAATCAACGAGGCTCCATGCAAATTCAAATGCATGTAACGCTGGCTAGAAATGCATCGGCAAAGCACCCGGACCAGCAGATCCACCTTTTTCCGAAACGCCGCGCAAGTTGGAGAATAGACAAGACGGACGCAAGAAACAAGGAAAAAGAAAAGAAGCAACAACGAGTGAGGTAAGGAAATGGGTCATAAAGTTTCAGCGCTGCTGTATTGGTCGTGATAGGGTTCGCTCCTGGTAGTAACGCCGTAATGTGTGATGGACATGCAAGCTTCAATCTCGCAGAATGTGGGTATAGACACGAATGAAAAGTCGGAAGGTTGAGAAGGTCGATGAGAATCGTGGAGAGAAGCACGACTTAGAAGTCCATGCTCCAGCGTTTTGTCACGTCTCGGCGCACTCTTTCGGCAGCCCATGTTGGGAACGAGTCAAAGTCCTTGCCCTCGTACCACGAGTCAAAGCCGGCCTTGCCGCTGCCTAGCAGCATCATCTCTTCATATTGATCGGCCGTGGGGAGTTCGATTCGAGTCTCGAAGGAAGGAGCTTTGGTGAGCCTCTGAGCGTTGAGCAGTGAATTGGCCGGCACAAGTTCTTGCAGAACATTTAGGGAACTATCCTGACGCTTGATGCCGTCCGGCCGGGGTTTGCGGTCCTCGGCTGAGGAATTGCGATGACGACTACGACTGCGGGAACGCTCGTCGGATTTGGCTGACATGACGGGAGAGAGGGGTTGCGGAGGTAGAAGATATTTCTTTGGCGAATTTTTTGGTCGTAGGTCTGTCACAGGTGGTCCGACGGGTATGATGGGGCGGGTGCTTGTCGCATCTTCTTGAACATTGATGGGCGGCGGCGGCCCGCGTCGCCTTGACGGCTTCAAGTCGTCTGTTGATGATGATGGTTGAAGGCTGTCCACCGAGGGCGATTGACCGTTACGCAGCTTCTCGTCGACAATGCGCTGGCTGACTTGTCGCGAGAGGTTCTCGTTTGTGGCTCGCCGTGTACTGGGTCTGCTAGCACCACTATCACTTCTTGCGAGGGTCGACCCTGATCTGCCTCGAGCGGTGCGAGCAGGAGGCGGAGGCTGCAGCATCCACATGACGTCGGCACTGGTGTCCATGCGTGTGACGATTGGGGGATGAAGTTCGTTGATGGGAGGGTTCGAGACGGAATAATAACTGGTCGCAGCGGATCGGTTCGTGGTAGCGGTGCGGGCAGTAAGCGGACGGCTGACTGTGCTGGCAGCATTGGTCGAGGGCCGACGACTGCTCCTATACGGATAGTTGGCACCCCAATAGTTGTCATCATCTTCGTCTTGTTGCCAATTGCGCAGATTCCATGTGCTGTCGTTACTCTCATTCTGCGTCAGGCCAAGGTTGACACTACTCGCAACGTTACTAGCGTTCTCGTCGCTCGTCCGCGCGCGGCCCTTCTTCTGACCTCGACGCTTTCCAGGCGCCGGCGTGGGACCAAGGTCGATTTCGGTCTGCCAGTGAACGTTCGTCGCAAAGGGGCTGGGATGACGATAGAGGCCCGGTTGTTCCATCTCGAGGGCGTGTTTGGCGACACGGTCACGGTCGGCCTCCTTTCTCCTCTTCTTGCGATATGAGTAGCCGGTACAAGGGGCACATGATAGGTAGTAGAATATGGCGGACTGGATGCCGCGGTGGATGGCCATGCTTTGTTGAATGGGTGCGTGGATCTACGAGAAAAGAGTCTTGGTCAAGAAATGCATTGTTTTCCAGCAGCCAGTGCCGTACGGGGGATGGTCGTCGGGGGAAACGCGCGATATGGATGTTGAAAGTGTTGGAAGCCTGTTAGGGGTGGATTGGCCGTCTGTACGAATGACGTTTGCTAGTGTCGAAATGCTCTGCTCAGCTCTGCCGTGCCGGGGCAATCTCCAGAGGATCAGCACAGTCTAATGCCTTTGCGGTTTGACGAGAGTGAGAGAAGGAGCGACCTCTCGTGTCAAAGGGAAAGGGCGACGTCGAGTCGACGGTGGTCGCGCTCTATTCTGGGAATGAGCCGAGCTAACGTAGCCAAGTCGATATGCTCCAGACTTCGTTTCCGCGCCCCGATGTGGCTCGCTACAACAAACGTTGGCGAAATGCGGAGTGCAAATGCGCGAAATTCAGACTGTGGCTGAACTGTGTAGCTGCGAGGTCTTACAGAAGAAAGATGATGGCCATACGGTAAAGGGGTTGTCAAGCAAGGAGTATCCAACATGCAACACAGCCCTGTGAAGTCTGTCTCGAGACAAGCATCAAGCAAACAACCAAAGACGTATTTGGTAATTGCGATGTTCATCCCACCTCAAGGCTCATCCGAACCAACGCGCCCCGCCCATTGCTTCTCGGCCCGCCCGTATCCTCTCTGCTCGCTCCGCGAACGCCGTCAAAGAGGATGATTGCTTGGATGCCCTGCCTGCAGATAGAGTGCTTCTACCGAGATTCCTCGCACCGTGATTTCCTTCCATATGACATAGATACTATACTGCAAAACTTACTCTCGCAGCAGTCTTGAACCCCTGAACATCACAGTCGCATGTCGCGCGACGCGTTCTGCTCCTTGTCAAAAGGGCGGGCACGTTTCCTGTCGCCAGCCAGCCCCTCTTCCACTTGGCGTGCTCCACCGCCCAGGAGTCTTTGGTCTCGGACTTTGGTGGGCCCGTCTGAGAAAAGCATCTTGTCCGCCGTGCATCTGGAAATTGTCGTTTCAGCCGGGCAGAGCTCTTGATGACAAGCTGAGCAACTGATCCAGGGCAATTTTGATCGACATCTCCATGCACGTCACCAGGAGTCTGTCAAGTTCCAGACGTTGGTTCGACCCTCCCATGTTCTCTCCACTGGCCGACAATGATATAGCGGTGTCAAGTACTGCAGGAGTCCACTTCGCAAACAGTCGATGGAATCGTGCAGCGACTTGTGTTTTGGCTCGTTGAATGGTTGAATCCGTGTACGACGCTATTGAAGACCCAAGGAAGTCATCCCTGCGCTTGTTATCCACAGCCAGCCGTCTTTTCGCTCATCGCAATGTGGGGAGCTGAATTGACGACCAAATGTCGTCTGTCTTTGAGAGGTCATGTTCAGAGGTGTCAGTAGGAGCACAACGTCTCGACATGGCCGAATCTCGCAAAGTGGGTTGTCCAAACATACGAGGGCAATAATTCCATCAAAAGTAGTAGCTCGTATCCACTTGTGTGAAAATGCTCCAAAAGAACAACCTTTGACTGCTAGCCGTCATTGCTCAGTCAGATCGATGCTGGGTAACTTACATAGAGAATACGCAACAACAGCGTTTGTCGCAAAATGAGGTTCAATCAAGCATCTAGGCAACAGAGGCAATCGCGTGTGAAGCTCAACGCGCTTTAGTGACATCGCCACGACGATTTGCGATAATTTACCTCCGTCTTCGAACCATCCAACAACATCATCACTGCTATCAACAATCACAATGGCGCATACAAACTACGAAAAGGACTTTGAGACCGCNAGAACTGCCATCAATGCTGGGCACATTGATAACGGTCTCGCCACTAGCGAATCTCTACTCACAGATCCCGAACTACCTCGCTACTATCGTATCAAAACCCTCATCCTTCTAGCTTCGGCAAACAAACGCTGGCACCAGAAAGAGGCAATCATACTAGCAACCCTACACGAGAATCAAGCCTTCTAACAAAAAACTCAGGACTTGCGTTTGCGCGCCGAACACACCTGGAACGAATCTCGAAAACTGCATCCGCAGGGCCAAAACGAAACTACAGATGCCGTTCTAGCAGAACTACGAGAATCACTAGATGAAATCAAGACCGAGCAAACTAAGGCTATGCCGCAAGCAAACTATGAAGACGACCTGTCTGCTGCTCTGGCCGAGACGGAAATTGAGGACTTGGCTGATATCGCCGATGGAGAGATCGAAACTTTGGTATGCCACCCAAGAATTATCTAACCCATGAAAACTATGCTGATTATAGCACAGGCCGATGAAGAGTACGCTCGTGACCAACGTGCCGGTGACGAGCCACTGATCAGTCATACAACATCCACCATCCAGGACGTGGAAACACACGAGTTCAAGTTACCTGCTTCATCACCGAATTCTTCCTTTGCTCCTGCATCTTCACTACAGGCTTCACAGGATGTCTTGGCTCACCATGTTCGTGATGGTCAAACCGCTGGCTCTAGGATGGTCCATCGTACTTGTGGTGTTGGAAGACGCTCTTCTTGAGCTTTGCAAGGAAAGTCAGCAAACACTCGTCACAGCCATAACGGCAGAGATTATTTTTGCGACGGTTGAATATCAAGGATGTGTAGGAGTAAAGTAATCATGTTTATCACGACCATAGAAATTAAAGATACCCTAATTCCAAATTCATCAAGGAGTTTCGTTCCAATCCTTCTAACCAACATTGGCAAGTGATGTATACATTGAAGACGTACAGCACTCACGTTTTCAAGTCTCCACACCAATCTACAGCTTCGAAGATCCGCGAGGTCTCTCGAGCATTTTGGTCTTGTTCTGGTAGTTCTTGACCAGTTGTCTAATCGACAGATCGAACAAGACATCTTCGCTTCCACCAGGGATACGATTGCCAGGCACTTCTCTCCACANTCTCTGCTCACAGTCAGCGTCTCTCCCTTTGCAATCCTGACATATCCACTTACTCTCAGCAATCTCGCCTTGTCCAGATCTCGTAAAGCCATTGCCACCAAAAAGCAAGACGGCACATTGAGCACACTCCATCAACACAACTCCGGCTTGAGCTTTTGCAGCAGCGGTCAAACCGCCCAGCTCGACGTCGGCGTCTTTCTTGGGTAGCTTTACCATGGCGTAGACGAAGCTTTCTGTCCATGCCCATTGGGCTTCGAGCTGGGCGCCGCACTTTGCGAGGCGGTGTCGGACGACGGGTTGGTCCATGAGGGATTTACCAAAGGCTTCTCGTTTGAGGCAGTATTCGAATGCNNTGGTTGAGCGTAAGTTCGTGTTGTTTCTATTGAGAAGGAGAGATGATATACCTGCGCTCAGAGCAACTCTGGCTTGTCTTGCACATCCAATGGCGATGGTCAAGCGTTCGTGGTTGAAGTTTGTCATGATGTACTTCATGCCCATACCTTCCTCACCAATCAGGTTCTCTGCTGGCACCACTACATCGTCCAGTTCGATGTACGTTGTACCAGCACTGATCTGACCACTGACCTTCAGCCTCCTCATACTCACACCTTCATGCCCCTTCAGCGGCACAACCATCAGCGACAACCCACCGGCTCCAGGCCCACCAGTCCTGACAGCCATACAAGAAAACTCACTCCAAATACCATTGGTAATCCACTTCTTGGTGCCGTTGATCGTATACGTCTTTCCATCCTTGCTCTTGATGGCCGTGGTCTGGATATTGGCAACGTCACTGCCAGCATCAGGCTCTGTAATCGCAATGCAAGCCCTCTTCTTTCCCGTCAAAAGATCAGGCAAAAACCTATCCTGCAACTCTTTGCTTCCAAACTTGTATAACGGGGGCACGCCGAACGCCATGCCCGTCGTCAAACTGCCACTCGGGCCCGCCAATCCACTCCTCAACATTTCATCCGTATAGATCGCATTGTGGAAATAATCAAACTCTTCCACCGGCAAGCCGAGGATATCATGGATGCCCAAGCTCTTTAATCTCTCCACGGGAAGAGGGGCAGGTAAACTGGGTAGCAACATGTTGGCGGCGCAAAAGTCGGAGAAAACGTGTTCGGGGACGGTTTCGGCGGTTTCCCATTCCATGGCATGGGAGGTCAGGTGTTTGGTTATGAAGGCGCGGCATTTCTTTTGCCATTCGAGGTGGGATGGTGTGTAGTAGGGTGAGGGGAGGCCGGACAGGTAGGGCGGTTCGGAGAAGGGAACGGGGGTTGCTGGAGCCATAGTCACGATTGTTGAACTGCGTGTATAGCGAGGGAGTATCGGCAGGAGAGTTCAAGGGACTTGGACAGTTGTGTTCAGATCATGTTGTTGGCATGTGAAGGTGAAGGATAATCTGGGGTCTTTCGCGGGGAGCCGAGGTTCTCGGCTCGAGGTTTGGCACGACCCTGCCCATCAAGGTATACCACGAACTTCTTCCTTCACATTGCAATGTCTCTGTGTCGTGTACATTCGTCTGCTTCCATGAGCAGAAAATTGCTTACTTTGTTTGTGGCAAGGGATAACACAATGATCCGACCTTCCGCATGCCATCGAGTACATAATCTGGACATGACTCTGGTGCCGCCTTCGTTATGAGCATGCGATATTGTATACTGATTCGATAGCACTGCCACCAGAAAGCCCTAAGATACTCTAGTTCTTGTTCTGAGATGGATAAATGAGAATCTTGCACCTCCAGCAGTGAACGATCTGCATCCGTTATGGGAGAATCTGCGACAGAGGCTGCCTTGAATGGATCAGGTCTGGGACAGGTTCTCCGATTGGTGCTTGAGCATCTGGAGACGTTGATTAACAGCTGCTGGGGTTAGGTAGTCGTCTGTCGACCTCTGCTGCAACCATAGTCTCCAGCTATTTCTGGTTTCTGTCTGTTTGTCTTCAGAATCGTTCCACCAACTCTCTTCTGCTTCAACCTTACCTCCGCGAGACCATTACCCGGCAGCCTACTTCCTTGAAGCGTATTGTAGACTTCTTCGAAACATTGAGACCAGAGAACAGGAAGATCAACGCCGGTCAAGTTATGCCTCTAACCATCAATCCCCTCATATGTTTCTGTACGTGTCGTACCTAGAAATCTTCTATTCACAAATGAATCCGTTATCGTCTTTGAGCCAGACTACTAGCAACACATATTGAAGCATAGTGATGATAGTACTGATACAGGCATTCTTTGGCCGGCCAGGCGTCGATCGTGACCTTCGAGAGATTTACCTTTGATCTTACAGTAACGCTAACCGTCAGTCTTGACGAGTTCTGATCTGATGCTGTGACCGTACATCATTATTGATGAGAGGACTGATGAGTTGTTTGATTTCGGAAGTTGAGGTCAAACGCATGGTACGTGCATTCCAAGCCAAGCCTTTCACATCACTTTCGGGGCGTCCAATCAAATCTTGATCCCCTTCTCTACCGACCGCCTAGCTGCATAACTCGACCGTCCCGTGCGATCATGTCGTCGTTCAATTGAATAGCTTTGTGCAAGTGTTTCAAGAACAGCACCCGACCACACAAAGATGCCACTGGATTGATGCACCCGCCACACGTTACTAAATGGTACAGAAACGGCTCGTCTCGAATCTCTCGGATCAGGTAGACCCTGAAAATCGAAAACATGCTGTGGTATCTGCTTTACCCAATCAGAGGGTAGGTCTTACAGCAAACAGTCTCGAAAGCGTGTGTTGATGCATATTTGTTCAAAGGNACGAGTGATCCGCCTCGCTTGAGATCCGATCACCCCATCAGGAGGGCTTTCTATCGACATGGACTTATCACGGCTCGGTATTGGCTTCTTTGTATGCTCGTATCAGTATCAGTTGGTGTCTCTTTGATATATCCCACAGTATTCCAATCAGACTTTCCGGCTGCTGGCCTCAGCGGACTGCCTCATCATGTCTGGGCTTCAACAAGAGCATTTCCTGGCGATGCCGATACGCCTCACGACCTTGAGATGCGTCAAATATGGATCCATGGGAGCTACATGAAAGCACTGGACAAAGACCTACTTCGGGATGTCTTCGTGCTGCAGAACGCCATATTTGGTGAAACCTCCGAGGCTGTTGTCCCTAGCACACATGGAGGCGCACACCCGAATTGGGGGTATCACTCACCACTCACATATTGGAATAACTCTCTGGCTCGGTTGGAGGCAGATCCGGACATCTTACTGACAGTCAACGAGAACACCTGTCAGCCCTCGTTCCTGAACTTCACCCTCCGGCCCCTGTCTGTGTTTGCAGGCAAAGCCTTCTCTGGCTCACAACTCGAAGCAGCGGATGCATTGGTCATCTCCCTATTTAACCGTGCAAACGACCCAAAGGGTGAGATCTGGCAAAGAAACATCAACATTGTTGCTGGTCAATCTTCTGGTCTACCCATACAGTACGAGCGGAACGGGACACCCGAACACAGCCAGTTATTCGAGTATCGCATCCAACCGCTCAGCTTCCGCCAAAACTCGCTTCTGGCCATGGCATATGGCATCATATTTATCTATGTTGGCTTGAGTTTAAGAAGGTTGAAAGCTTTCCACAGTCGCTTTGGTCTGGTTGTTACTGCGATCACACAGATGACGACCTCTATTCTGGCGAGCTTCACCATCTGTGGACTGCTGCAAATCAATCTTGCTCAGATTCCTCAGGAAGCATATCCTTTTGTGGTACTGGTCATTGGACTCGAGAATATCTTCAGACTCATCAACGCCGTTGTGGCGTATCCTCCGGAGATGATGAACACACAGCGGATTGCCAACGGAATGGCCGACATTGGCCACTCTTCGTTAGCTTCGGCGGCACAAAATTTGCTCATCCTATGGTTGCTCTCTCTAGTCGTATCTCCAGGCGTAGCGGCGTTCTGTGCTTTCGCTGCCGTAGCACTTCTGTTCGACTACTTCTTCCTCCTTACATTCTTCCTGGCTGTATTGAGTGTCGACATCAGAAGACTGGAGTTGCAGGATTCGATCACTAGAAGCAGTACTCAACCGAAGCAAAAGCCAAGACCGAAACATCATCGCACTCATAGTCACCATCATGCTCATCGACACGAGAAGCACACATGGATCGATGCTCTAATTCACGGCAGAGTGCCTTTCTCTACACGCATGGCAGGATCCGCAGTAACGATCAGCTTTGTCATGGCGTTGAACTGGCATCTCACTGCCCATGGTCCACGAACTTCTGCTTCTGGTGTATTCCCAGGACTCTTCGAGAAGCAAGCGTTGCCGATCACCGCATTTGATGGAACATCACCACCCCCTACGAATCAAAGCCGACATCCTGCGACCTGGCTCCGCACACAGGATTATGAGAACGCCGTGCACTTTATGAAAGTTGTCAGGCCTGGAGGTCAAGGATTTGTTGCCAAGATTTATGACCCACTGATCATTACCCTTGGAGGCGCTGATAGAAGCGGCATCCTTCTTCGCAAGGAGACATGGCTGCATTCTCTGCGCGCAGTTGCTATACAGCACTTCTACCCAACTGCCATCACTGTCGTCTTTGTTGTGGCTTTTGTTACAGTTCTCATGAACTTCCTCTTGTGGGATGAAAGAGCCGAAGATGCAGAGTATGAGAATGGTGGTGATAATTTGCCATTGACAGTACATGCGATCGAGACTGGTCACATGCTAGATGTTGTCAAGCTTACTGGAAGTCGACAAGGTCATATGCTGTCTGTTGGTCTGGATCGTACGATTTCTATCCTGTTGTTCAAGCCAGTGAGCAATTCTTACACGACAATACATCCGTCGCCGGAACAGTGTAGGCAGATCAAGTGGCCTATACGCGCGTGCAGCATCAGCGACAAGGGCGATTGGATGGCCATGCTAGGTGACGACGGTCGAGTATTGCTCGGAAGCTTGTCGAGAGGCGAGTTCACACACGATTTTGAGATTGACAGTGAAGAAAAGCTGCCACTTCTCTTCGAGTTTGTGCCTTCGCCATCAACACCCAACGGCCAAGGGGTCTCTTTTGCTGTCATCTCTGCCGATGGACGACTGACAGAGTATCATACTCACAACAACTCGATACAAACATTCCGGGTTTCCGAAGGTGAACTGTTAGCTGCATCATTCAGCCTGGCTCAACGACACCTACCCAAAATCATACTCTTACATCCAGATGGACATATCTCAGCACTACAAAAAGCATCAGGTATGTGGAGCTTCAAGGAAATGCCGCTGGGCTACCCTCGCCCACTCTCAGACAAAACATCCAGCGCAAATGCATGTCTACACACCATCGATGAGGTCGAGGCATCACTAATCTGCACAACAAACACCATAACACTTCTCCACACACCCACCGTGCGCCAATCCGGCTCCTTCAATATCCCAAACGTCAAACCCAATAGTGTGCGTGTGTTACACACAGGCAGAGACCAATGCCTCAGTTGCGGCGGTATGACAGCAGAAAGCCTCTCGCTCGTCTTCACCGACATCGAAACGCGAGAATGCGTCGTCCGCACCTATGCCGCGCAAGGCGAGCCCTTTAAGCCTCTGGGTCTCTTCACCGAAGATCTAGTCTGCAACTGTGCTGCCAAATTCCATTGGGAGAAAAACGAGCATAGGTTACTGGACGCTGGGTCTTGGGAGTCGACTACAGAAGCCGTGGTAGGACTGAGAAGAAAACCGCAGAGTCCACCATCTTCTCCTGTTGTGTTGCCGAGAGATGGCGGCAATTTATTGAGGAGGAGGAGAAGAGGTACTGGTGCTAGTGAGGGAGAGGGAGATGAGAGCGAGCAGTGGGAAGCATATCTATACTCTGCGTCTGGAGAGCTGCATACGGTGCCCATCGATATGTCTGGAGAAAACCAGTTGTATGCAACGAGAGCTGGTCCGGCGTGTCAGCTTGGCTATCGGTCTGTGGCTATTGTGTTGGGAAGTACGGTGTATGTGGTCAAGGTGTGGGATAATTGGGCAGACAAGGGTGCCAAAGGAGTTTCGGAAGGAGGGTCACAGCCACTGCTCTCACGAAGACGGTGGACTAGAAAGGCGCAGTAGATGTCTTGCGGACACGTATAGAAGGCAGGAAAAATGCTATGCGTGATGGCAATATGTCGAAAGCCAGAAGCTCGGAGCCCACGGCTCGAAGAAAAGGGTATACCAATAGCTCCTGGAAGAATCCTCAAGTAACGCAGCGACCATGCCTCGTGTGTCGTAAAGCTGCCTTTCCAAAAACGCCTCTCCGTCATCAACATCATTGTATATCATCTGTATCCCAAGCTCTTTCCCTCAATCAATTATACGCCCTGGTCTCTGCATTGGCGTCTGCATTTCTCGCCAACAGAGCTTCCCTACTAGCCTCATTCATGGTCGAATTATGCGTCTGTGCCTTTTGCGCCTCTAGTTGTTTTCCCAGTTTTCCTTTTGCTTGTTTGGGTTTATTACGTTCNNCTGTGTTGTGTCCAATCAGTCATCTTCCCTTCTTTCCAGTCGCGTATTGAAGGGGTTCGGGGTGGAATTGAGTATAGCATACCTCGGCAGCCAAAGCGGCAGCAGTACGGGCATCGCTTTGGCTAGGAGACGCACTGCTGCCACCAATTGTACGTCCTTGTTTCGGGGTTGGCGAGAAGGCGGGTTTTGTGGTGTTTGCTGCGACGGGCTTTGGTGGTTGGGATGCGCTGGTGCCGAGGGTTTGGCCCGAGGTGGAAAAGTTGTCGGATTTTTGTTTACCGAAGCAGTTGCCCATGCTGAAAGGTTACGTAGGTGTGGTTGATTAGGGAGGATGAGATAGAGAAGACGGTGACATGGTAAAGATGTGGATGGGCAGTGTTGTCGCCCAGATATGGGCTTGGGAGGCTGGCTCTCGGCGGACGCGAGGCGTCGCTGCTGGTGGGGGTTTGTGGGGGTCTTGGGACTGGGAAGATCAAACGAGTTAAGAAAGATTATGTATTATGGGTATATAGAGCTTACATAAGGTGAGCTTAGATAGAGATGGACTGCATCAGAATTGCTGTTCAAAAGTCGATTGATGGGAGAGCACTGAGAGACGGATGATGTTTGTGGTTTGTTGACCGCGTCAAGTAAGGGCAGGTACGACCACCCCCTGTTGATGAAAGGCTTCATTGCAAATATATGATCTCTTGGAGAGTGACGAGCTAGCTGTCGCAAGGAGAACAGAAGTTGATAAGTTGGATTTGCTCACTGCCAGTCATTTACTAGCTGATGATGATTGCTGAACAATGTTCATACACGCAAAAATGCCAACATCCACGTGACTACCTTGATGACTTTCGAGTTTTGCAGCTGTAGAGGTACACGGTCGACTACAGGTCAATGTTTCTGCGAGGAATATGGCAGACAGCTTTCAGTCTACGCTGCTCTATTTAACATGATGTAGTATAAAACTACAGATTCCAGAAGAAAGAGAGAAGAGAGGAGAGAAAGGACATTGGTAATGTGGACGCCAAGGCTTCATCAAGGTGTTTTCACACACCAACCAGACAGGAGGATGGCTCGTTGACCGGTCATGGTCCAATTGAAGGCAGTCAAACAAGTAGCCGTCATGTCGCACATCCCCTACGCTTGGACCGAGTGCTTGAGCGGTATGTATCCGTCGTGGTCGCATTCTCTCAGCGCCTCTGGTGCAGGAAACGAGGCGCGGGAGGACCCCACGCACAACAAGTTTCGCCAACAGCCATTCACGCCAGCCGAAAACGTCAGCTCCTTGGGCCTCTTCCACCACCACGCCGTCGACCACATGGCGCGCCAGCAGCTCCCGCCGCCCGGACCAGTGTCGTCGTCGGCGTCGGCAGCGAGTCTAGCCAAGTCGCAAATGCCCGGGTCCGAGCACGCAACCTGTTTTCTGTCGGCCCCGTGCGACAAGCCCGACTGCGATGAGGCCACCATCTGCTACGACTATTCTCTACCGCACTATGCCGACATCCACTGCTCCCAGGACGCCTTCAACTGCCCCGAGACTTTCGACTGCGCAGAGACCAGTTGCCATGCCGCTGACTGGGTGTGCACCGACCTGGACTGCCACGAACCCGGCTGCGACCAAGAACACGCTCGGGGATGCAGTCCTGCCTGTGCTGCAACCGCTGTCCCCTGCTCCGACCCGACTTGCAGTGATGACCACCTCTACTGCTGTCTCTCGGACGTCTGCCCTCGACCTCATCCCCCAGGCACAGAATGTCCTCAACCGCTATGCCACGATCAACATGTCCATCCTGCCACCACAATCTGCCACTCCGGCCCTGCAGTCGCCTGTACACAACCATATGGCTACAAAGTTCCGTCGACGGCGACCGCCAGTCAAGACACCATGTCCATTAGCACCATCAGCACTCCAACCACAGACTCTGTCCCCACACCAGACAATTTTCAATCTCTGATAGAGGCTGCCTCGTTGATGCCGCATGTCGGCTACAACNNTTTTCCACCACAAGGTAACCGCCGTCTTATCTGATCGGCTTCGATTGTTGCAATGGCTGACCTTTACAGTGCTTACCCACCACGGAAACGCATGCGCCTCGACGAATCAAACTCTTCCTTCCACGACTTCAACGTGCCCTACTACTCTTCCAACGATTACTGGCAACAGGACCTTTCCCAAAACTTTTCATCATCACAATTCGCTTCGGCCAGTCAACCAATTACTGCCAGGGCGTCGCCAGCCATCAAGACCAAAGCGCGCCAAGAGAAGGCTTCAAAAGACCTGGATGATATTGCTGTTTGTAGGTGGAACGACGAAGTCACTNNGGGTAAGTCCTTCGCACACCTTTCTTGTTCGAACGTCATTGACCGAGAGTCCATCAGACCATGCAATCGTGTTTTCGCTACCATCGAAGACCTGCACAACCATGTCAAGGATCATACTTGCACTTTGGTTCCTTCCAAAACACCGAACCGCACATTCGTTTGTCGCTGGGATGGCTGTGAGAAGGATGCACCTTTCGGTACCAAGAACCATCTTGATCGTCATATGCAAAATCATACGCGATGTAAGTACCTCCGTGTGACTAATCCCAATCACTGCGTGCTCACATCAATTCCAGTCAAGCCTTTTGCATGCAACATCTGTGGCCATCGTTGCGTCACTCAACAACAACTGAATAACCATTTGACAACACACTCACGAGAAAAGAAATTCAAGTGTGACTACCCCGGCTGCGGCAAAGTCTTCGGTGTCAAAACTGCTCTATCCACCCACAAACGTACCCATACCAATGAGAAGCCCTTCTCATGCCGTTGGTGTGGTGACAGCTACTCGGACAGCTCCAACCTATCCAAGCACCGGAAAACTGTCCATGAAGACGACAAAACCGCTATACCTTGCCCGGATCCCGACTGTGAGTACAAAGACTCACGCGCACAACGTCTCGAACGCCATTGTCGCGACACCGGCCACGGAATGGCTCTATACGCCGACGCCCATAAATGGAGCGAGTATACCAGGAAAAAGCAAGTTCGGAGCCGTACAGCCAGTATTGCTCCCAGTATGGCCTGAGCTGAAGAGGAAAAAAGCATTAACGAGCTATGATCATAAAAAGTTTCATTCTTTTGTCACTTTTGCTGTATGTTGTAGATAAGATTTCTTCTTTTTGTGTATAATTTGAGAGCGGCAAGGGAGGAATTTTTGAGCATGGACAGAAGAATATCAGCATTTTCGTTTTGAGGCCGTATCAGAAGGCCTCTTCATATTTCTTTCCTCCACCACTCTGTTGCTAGGCTGCAAGACCACTCGAGCCTGCAGCCATCACTGGAAGCAGGTGCATCACGAAGTCTTGACTGATTGGCTCCTTCTAACATCTCGCTGTTGTCACACTGATAAGTATCACTCATTCACGATTATATCGAGGCTTCGGTCATAGGCCGACAACACTCATTGTAGTCTATTCACTGCTTCTCAACGGTTGGGACAATAGCCTTTGATTGCTGCCTGTCATAGAAGCTTCAATCTATCCCAGTGGCTCTTTCCTCCTTGTCACTCACCTATTCGGGGCTTCTCGTCATCACTCCATCATCTCTCCTCCCCTACATACACCCTTTCTCTTCTGCCTCCAACCACCACTGACGATCTCTCGAGACACCCACACCTTCAACGATCTCGATCAACTTCATCAAAACAACTCCATCAAACCATCAAAGAGGTCAGCTCTTCATTGAATACCGTCACTCGTCAACAGCAATGGCCACCATCAAAAGCAAGCAGCTCAAGCGCTCCTACAAGGTTCCTCGCTCGCTCAAAAAGTCCATCAAGCAGAATCTCAACAAAATTGTCAAGAACGTCAAGACACGTGAACGCAAGATCTATGAGCAGAAGATCCACGAGGAGGTACGACGCTCGGTCTCATTCAAGCCTTCCATCTTTATACCTCCCGTCTCTCTTGTTGCTGCTTTCACGGCCCTTTCCCTTCCATTCTAGCATTATCACGCTAACTGTTCCTCCTCTACAGTGCACGAAGGTCTCCCAGTCCCATCTCTTCGAGGCCTGTGGATTCCTCGATATTCTGGACGAGGTCTGGCGGTCTCATCATATGGACGACGAGCTGAGACACACTCTGAGATTGTCTTTCGAGCGTTTCGGCTACGCAGTCGGTGCCGAGGCGTCGAGACAGAAGAACGGATTGGAGGGACAGAAAGCCTTTACCGGAAAAATGCTTGAAAAGAAGGACTGCTTGGGAGAAGAAGTTCTTGGAGAGATCAGGAGTTGGTTGATTGAGCAAAACAAAAATGCGGATGAGGTCGAGGTACTTGGAAAGCAAGACGAGCATGAAGAAGAAGAAGAAGAAGACAATGCATCGGGAGCCGTCGAGGAGTATGACTGGACATCCACAAGCACTCTGGAGTGATGGAAACGCAGATTCAGACGCCCGAAAACATATGAACGCAGACTCAAGAGGTCCTGAGGAAATGGTCAGATGTGCCTAATCATGGGGTTGAAGGAGGGACATCCTTGCATGCATTAGTGCTGCAGACATTGGTCAGGAGAACATCGGAAAGAAGAAAATTTGATCATGATGACACGACGACTGGAAACCAAAACGAAGGGCGGAAGAAAGATTATGCTTCCTGCTGGATCAGGCTCTACGAAACACATGTCACGACAACATAGGGCTTTCACCAGGCATATAAGATCAATATTCCTTAGTCAATCATCAAGTCTACTCACATTTATTTCATCATCGATCTCGTCTATTTCTTTTTGTTTCTGGTCTTTCCTGTCTTTACTCCGTGAGATCTTCTGCTCTTACAATCGTGTAAAGATTTGTCCAAGAAGCTCATATATGTCCAATTTCCTTAGGTGCGAAAGTGTCATTTGAGACGACATTTTCTCACATTTACTGATAAAGTACGACGTATTCTTCTTCGATACACTCGCATAAGACTCCGCCTCAATCAACACATCCAAACATCTGCATTTATCCGTTGCAAAATGATTTTTCGTTCTCGCATCTTCTCTGCTGCTTTGTAGAATAACGCTCTTGCAATTCTTCAGTATTCTAGATACATCCGTCTATGTTGGTTTGACTGTTGGATTTGATTGAAGATTTGTGAGTCTTCTGATTCAGGTGTCAGTGTTTGTTTAGTTATATCTCCATATAGTAGGAGAAAGTAAACTTGTCTTTTGTTTTCGCATGAGAGTGTCTAGTGGGACTGATATTCCAATCGAGTAAAGATATCCTTACGATGGAAATCGAGGTTAGAAAATGTGTGGACATGAAAGTCGCGAGCTTTGTACAAGCCAAGAGATATGTACCTAGTTGTTTCCAACTTGTTTGAAACCAACATTTCGAATCAGTGTAAATATTTTGACGATGGAGTTGAAAGATAATCTTTTCGTCGAGCGATATATCGTGATCAGAATTCCCAGACGAAGCCGAGAAAGATGTAACGATGCAAGTGTAATCCACCTCTTCAGCCTTCTTGCCATTAGCGCTGCAGGGCAGATGCAGGCTCATTACAATCGAGCTATAAGTTTGAAAAAACAAACAGATTCAGAAGTTGCTTTGTACCAGGAGTCACAATGGTTGACTTGACTTGGTTTGTTTCACAGCCTAGGTGAGCTGTGGTTTGTCTTGGTCAAAGCCTTTGCTAGGAGCTCGTAGGCAAGCAGGGACTCTGTTCCTCGACCTTCGTGTTTGGCGTCTGCTCGCTCGCTTAGACCCGTGGCTTGGTGTTGCAGAATTTGGTTAATTACTGCTTCTTCGAACCATTCGAGTCTCCCTTCGGCTTCCATTACGGGACGAAGTAACTCGAAAAGTGAAGGAAAATAGCTCACCGATTATGGTTCATTTCATCGATTGTTCAGGGGTTGTCAACTCTTATTGTTCCTGTTCGGGACACGACCTACCTGTCACTTCACGACCCTTTCTCAACACTTTCACAGCGTGTTCTCCTCATCTCTCTCATCCACTTACCTTTCATCCTCTGATCTTTTCCATCATCTTATCCTCTTGCCTTCTTACCTTTACATTATCTCTTCCACCCTTACCTTTTCGTCTCTTCCAACGTGTCTTCTCTTGTGTTCCAGTCACATACCTCCTCCGTCATACAAACCTGGACAATTCTTGATTAATACCCACATCTTGAGAGATCTTACCATGCCACGCATACAAGGCTGGTTCAAGCCAAGGAAACCCTTGCGAATCAGTAGGCTGGCTTACTACGAAGACGTCTACGGCACAAAGAACCCCGAAGAAGATATCGAAGGAATCCACATCCTTGAGTCGGACAGTGACTCTGGAGCCGAAATCTTGGGTCGCAAACCGAAGCGCAAAGCTCGCCTCCAAACCGCATCTACGAATCGCAACGACTTGAGCCGCAACGACAGTGAACAAACCTTGAAGAAGGCCAAGAGCGACGAGGTTGTGCCTACGATGACTGACAGAAGTCCCGGTGCGTAGAGTCTTAGGACTACTTACGGATTGACTGCTAACGAGTGCCTAGTCGTTGCGATCGACGACGACAGCGACGTTGACGAGCTCTTCGTCACTGACCTGCGCAAACATGGTACGCAAGTCTCGTCCCGACATTCGGTATATCGCTAAAGTCGTGCAGCAGCTCAGAATCCCAACAATGGTGATACTAAAGGCCGTAGTCGAGTCATGTTGGCAGCCAGCAATTCAAGCGAAATAGATCCAAATTTCCTGGCAGAGGTCCAAAGATATGGTATCTCTAGCCCGCCGAATTCTGACTAGACATTTACTGATCTCGCTCTAGCAGCCCAGCCTCCAAAGATAAATGTTGAGCATAATGAGGAGATGCTTGATGAGATCGACAAGCGAGGTAGGTCGCTCATCTATAAGATAAGAGCAGTACTAACACAGCTGCAGCTCAGCAGTTTGCCGACCAAAGCCTTTTGGGTCAAAAGAAGATCCACGAGCCAGAGTCTAGTGCGGAAGTCGTCATTACGTCAATCAAACAGCCTGTCGACAGAACTGTTGAGAAAGCGACTGACGAGCCGGTCGACAGAACATCGTTGGAAGTGTCTGCCAATTTGACAAATACGAGAGTCCCTGACGGCATGATTGCCGCTGCTGGGTTTGTTGTGAGGACTCATAGTTGGGACCCGAGCCAGGGCTCGGACTATGTCTACTCTGATGAGGAGAACGGAGACGTAATTACCAACCCCAACACCGAAACTGGAGGTTCTCACACTGTCGATGGCCAAGACGACAACTCTCATAACAATTGCGCCAACGCCGTCCGCCGGGACGACAACAGCGCTCGAAGCGAGGGTGTCCGGCCAGAAAACCACGAAGATGATAACCTTCTTGACGACAAGCGCCATATCAACAAAGTCCAGCACGAGACAGCTGAGGAGGCAGCAACCTCTGTCAGTGCATATGATGATCCACCTGATGGCTTGGAAGAGGACGAGACGGTTGAACGTTTGATCGATCTCACCTCGCCTACTCGGTCCTCAAGCGGAGATTCGCCAGTCCATCGCTTGGCCGAGGCGTCTAGTCTCCCCTCTAAAGGTTCCGATACACCGATGTCTCCTAGCTCGGACAGAGCTTCAACTCGCCTGAAGCGTAAGCGTAAGCGTTTCGGGTTATTTGCATCGAAGACACGTGACAGCAGTGAGTCTGACTCCGAGTCGAGCAACGACTGTCGTCCACAGAGGCTAGGAGACCTCGTCAGGAGGAGACGCAGAGAGCGTGAAGAGCGTGAAGAGCGTGAAGAGCGTGAAGAGCACAAAGAGCACGAAGAGAGAGGATCCACAACAAAGAGGGCCAGATATAACCTGCGCTCACGCCCACAGCACAAGGGTCATCATGACGAAATTTCTCCTGGTGCGGTATCCATTAGCAGAGCTCATACATTGGACTCAGAGATCGAAGACGAGGCAGATTCACCTCATGTTACTCGCCGAATCACTAGGTCCATGACGATCAACAACCCGATCACCATCGAGGATGAAAGATCAAGATCAAGATCCGAGACTAAAGACGAGACTGAAGATGAGACAGATACTTCTCGCAGACCAGGCCGTGCAACAAGATCAACCACGGACACGAAGCCAACACGAAAGCCAGCCCCACGCTGGAAGGCTGCCAGAAAGACAGCATGGGCAGCCATGGGCATCACCCCCAAATGGGCTCAAGACGATTCCAGCAGACAAAGATCCGTTCGTCAAATCGTCCAAGTTGTGATTCCCAAAGGTTGACAAATCTGCTGGGAAACTCACCCCTTCGTCTGTATCTTCGCCTCAAACTAAGCGAACAAAGCCTTCAGCCGGAGATGGAGACGGAGATCAGGACACAGAAGGCGAAGACGGAGCATCGTCCTTAGCGCTCGCCGGCAACGGATTGAAGCGTGTGATGGTCAACGAGAAGAGCGAAGAAGAGCCAGAGATCGATGGCAACAAGACTTCAAAGGGCGATGAGCAGATTGTCCACATTGATTGAGTCCGAAGGGGGGATGATCAAAAGTTAACGAGACAAGCGATGGATGACGATCATCCAGAAGTCGATTGAGGCTCTCGAGCGAGAGGCTTGAAAGGGCCGAAAGTGTCTGCGACACAATCACAAGTCTTTCAAGATGCGCATTGCGATGGTAATACAAGCATGAGAAGCCTATGAGAAGCCAGCACGTGCAACTGCTGACCAGAGTTTTGGGAAGCAAGCAGGGCATCGCGATGGAAGGAAGTGGGAATAGAAACGAGTTCGATTGGCTGGCTGATCTTGGCTGCAGGGCGTCGAAAACAGGGTAGAGAAGGGTCTGCCGATGGTTGCATTTTCGGAACAGATGATTTTGCATCAAAGGATCCATGATTCTTACATCGTTTTGCTAAATAGCACATGAGTTTATCGGTTCTTGACCATGGAAAGGCTCTTCACTGAAACGTGATGGTACTTGTATCGTGTGCGTATCATGGGAATAACAGAGACAAAGCGAAACGAAAGGCGCGCCGAAAAGCTTCATAGTCCGGCTTGGCCTTGGCATTCCGCGATCTGTATGGAAACCAAGTCAATGCACGTCAGAGCCAAGCAACCGTTGGGTAAGGTAACCAAGGCAGCAGGGAGGGTTGGCTGGATGGGAACAATGTAGATAAAATTGCGGTGGCGGGCGCTCACCTGAGAGCTGAGCGACTTTCCTGACCTTCGTCTGTATACATTTCGTTGCTGGACAAGTCGCGCAAGAATCCCGTCCATTCATCGCACACCGGGCCGTTACGAAGCATGAACTCCGACTCGGCTCGCCGGGCAGAAGACCGCCTTCATCACCAGCAAAACGTACCTACCGATTCAGACCGTCAGTATGCAAGCAACACCTATGGTTCTGGCCATGCGCCGCACTCGACTGCTACTGGAGCCGCTGGTAGTGCCATCGAACATGCCCTGGATCGGCATCAAGACCCTACCTTCCGCCCCGACCACACAGTAGATCCGCAGACCACCGAGCGACCCGTATCGCGAACAAGAGAGGATGGCGCTGTCGGAGTTGGCGAAGGCCCTCAGATCCTCAGCACCTCGAACCAGGTCGAGACACTATGCGGTCCTCTGCTCAACTACAGATACATGAGTGGGCAGTCGACAGACAACCCTTCGTGGCATGGCAGTGTCCTGATTGTCACTACGCCTGGCCAGAAGCAGCCTCAGCTTGTCATCCGTGGCGCCGCCATTGACTTCAGCAGACAGATCGACGGTGTCAAGCTGTATGAAGATCCCAAGAGCGCCTTCTGGCGATTCGACATCCAGATTCCCTTCCTTCCTCAGGAATCCAGGTGGGATTACGAAATCCCTGGCGCCAGATATGTCGATTCCAAGAAGACGGTCGCTCCTGGCCCCAAATCATTCTACATTCCCTCCAAGACGCAGTCCATGAGAATCATGTTCCACTCGTGCAACGGCTTCTCTGTCGGTACCGATACTGACGCTTGGTCTGGTTGCGCCCTGTGGAACGATGTTTTGCGCATGCACGAGCAGAAGCCTTTCCATGTCATGATTGGTGGTGGCGATCAGATCTACAATGACGGAGTCAGAGTCGACGGTCCGCTAAGACCTTGGACTGACATCGGCTCACCCCACAAGAGAAGACACTTCCCATTCAACGAAGAGCTGCGCGCCAAGTGCGATGAGTACTACTTCAACAACTACGTGCGCTGGTACGGAACCGAGCCCTTCTCCTTTGCCAATGGCCAAATCCCTCAGCTAAACATCTGGGACGACCACGATATCATCGATGGTTTCGGCAGTTATACCGATCACTTCATGAGATGCGCCGTCTTCAGGGGCATTGGTGGAGTTGCTCACAAATACTACTTGCTCTTCCAACACCATCTCGCTCCTCCGAAGAGTACCTTCACCACAGACGCGCCCCAGACCGTTCACGCCAATGAGAGTGGAACAGCTGATCCTGACGCCGTACAGTTGAACGATGCCTTCGTCAAGACGGGAGACGAGCACGAGCCATCGTACATCATCGGCTCCAAGCCTGGACCTTATGTCGAAGAGCGCAGTAGATCAATGTACTGCCAGCTTGGTGCACGTATCGCCTTCGTTGGTATTGACGCCAGAACGGAGCGCACAAGACATCAGATCAACTATCCTGAGACCTACGACCAAATCTTCCAGCGTACATCTGCTGAGCTTCAAGCAAACTCTGCCATCAAGCATCTCATTCTGCTCCTGGGAGTGCCAATCGCCTACCCTCGTTTGCAATGGCTAGAGAACATTCTCCAGTCACCCGTCATCGGTCCTCTTCGTTTCCTTAACAAGAGATTCGGAGTTGCCGGCGGCTTCTTCAACCAGTTTGACGGCCAGGTTGATCTTCTCGACGATTTGGACGACCACTACACGGCGCATCAACACAAGACTGAGCGCAGAGAACTGATCCAGCGTCTGCAGGATCTTGCCAAGAGACACGGTGTCCGCATCTCTATTCTTGGTGGTGACGTTCATCTTGCAGCTTTGGGTAGATTCTACAGCAACCCCAAGCTCAACATCCCCGTTGAGAAGGATTGGCGCTACATGGCTAACATTGTGTCTTCTGCCATCACCAACAAGCCTCCTCCATCGGCCGTTGCAAACCTTCTCGCTAGCCGTAACAAGATCCATCATCTTGACCACGACACCGACGAGACGTTGCTCAACCTCTTCGACAAGGATCCTGGCCATGGACGCGACGATGTTAAGAACAAGACAAAGGACAAGAACCATTGCACTATGCCCAGTCGCAACTACGCAATCATCGCAGAGTCGCACGACGGTTTCGGATCTTCAGTTGGCGCTGCTGTTAATGCCGCAACTAACGGCTATACCAATGGCCACACCAATGGACAGACCAACGGCCATACCAATGGTCATACAGACGGCGCTTCCACACTCACGGCCACCCAGTTCCCAGCCGGAGGTAACCCTCGCGACGCTTTGCACGCAGGTGAGCAAAAGGCTGGTACTACTCATCCTGCTGCTGAGGGCCTGCAGAACACTGGTCTGGGTGGTCCTGATGGTCTCGATGTTTGCATCAAGGTCGAGATTTCGTCCAGCGACCGTGAGGGTCACACTCAGGGCTACGGCTTCTCTATCCCTGGACTCGATGCTGGTGCATACAAGGGTCAGGGCACTTCATGGTAAATATGGGACAGTACTCAGCGATGTTGTCAAGAACAAGAGAAGGATATGGTAGCATGTTTCGAATCTCCTCTAGTTATGTTTGGGTAATACCTCGATGATGGAACGTCGAGAAATATGTTTGGATGATTAGCTAATTCCTGGATACCCCCTTACGAGCATTAATATTATGGTTTGCATTTTTATCTGATCACCTTTCTAGTTCATTGTACGAGGAAGCAGCGATTGTGTCGGAATGCCACACTGAATGGACCTTCCTTCTCGACTCCCCGTATCTTGATTCATCGGTATAGAGTGATATTCAGGCTGTTCACCTTCAGCAGGAAGTATACTAATGTTACTTCACTTCGAGTGCGACCAAGATGTATGATTGAGCTTCGGCAGCACAGATCTACTCCAGCAGACTAACGGGAATACAGCTCTGTTTATATCAATCGTGTAACTTCACGATCCATCAATCGCTGCACGATCACTCGAATTACACACAGTCGAACAATGGCAGCTGCTGAAGACTTTCAACAAATCATGGCTCGCTTGCGTGCTCTTGAGAAGGCACTGGATGATGACTTTGCTGCTGTGGAGGAAGAATCTCGTGCTTTTGCGAGAGATCACCGCGAGTTTTTGCTCGCCCTCGAGCGTGACCAGAAACCTTCTCATATTTCACAGAACCCTGTCTCTGAACTCTTGGACGTTTCTCTCTCGAGGGAGATTGAGGCATCTCCTGCAGTCGCCCCTGACACTGGAGCTGGGAATTTTGAGGCTGGAGATTCAATCTTCATCTCTGCAGATTCTGGCCCCAAGGAGCCCTCGCCCGTCGCTCCTCCACTTTTACCTCCACCTCGTCTCGAGCGTCGTGTCACTTTTGCTGAGATGCCAGTCACCCTCATCGACGGCGTTCCACCTGCTGCGAACTCGGAGCTTGGAGCTTCACAAAGTCAAGTGCAGTGAGCTTTTTTATAAATCGCTCACACGACTTTCACATCAACTACCGACACACCTACACACGTTTCGTTCCGTTCTGCAACCTTGACTTCCCTCTCGCCCAGTTCGAAACTCCTGATACCAGACAAAAAGCCCACACAGTACACCAAAAAAGACAACACTCATTCCATCTCAACCATGAACGACTCTGCTCATCTTACCAAGAAGCATACCACCAAGTCCATTACAAGTTCACTCTCCAAGCAAACCGAGAAGGACATCGGAAATCAGATCAAGAAAGATACTCAGAGCTCCGACGCCCTCGACATCACCAGAACTCACTCAACCATCGAGAAGAACATTGAATCTACTGTCGACAAGAAACTCATGGTCAGCGTCGAAGATCTTGAGCGTCAGCTCATCGAGGCCCGACGCTTCGTCCACGAGAAGGAGGAAAGTCTTTGCCGCTTGATCAAGAGAAATAGAAAGATCGTTGGCATGGTCCACACAGAGATCAAGGAACACTGTACAACCTCTACCAAACTCACAACCGACAAGAATCACAACTCAAGCCTCGACAAGTCAACAAAGGCATCAAGCCTCGACACGTAAATCAAGAAGGGCACGTGGACCGACCGTGCTGAGCGTAAAGGCTTCCGGGTCGGGAAGTATGAGATGCTGCATCGCGTGATGGGGGAGAATAGAAAGGCTGGAGGGGGGGTTAGGTCAGTGAAGGCACTCTTCTCTGCTGCAGGTGGTGGTCGTGCTTGATACTGCTCAACGGTCCCATTTTTGGGTACTGCCATTGAGTCTGCATATGATATCAAGTCCAGACTATGTTCCCAAGTCTCGGTCCAGGACATCACAGTCAATAACAATACACGTCCCACCTCGATGCCTGTTACGTGACAGCTTCCAAGTGCATCCGTAAAAGAACATGGTAGATCTAAAGTCCAGCTCACAAGACACAAAGAATCGACAACATATCCAAAAGAGATCAGAAAAGAGACAGTGAAATGTGTAACCAGTCTTTGTATTAACAAAATATACCTACTCCCTACGACCAACCAGCCCAATAACCCACACCATCCCTCAAACCCCAGAGCTAAATACTTTTATCCTTGTCAGTACCTTTTTCAACATCTCATGGATATGCAAAGTACAGAGATACAAAAAAAACAAAAGGTCAGAAAAAAAGTGATTGTGAATAGTTATGTCGGCATGGACAGAAACAAGTCTGCCCCGAACGGCCTCCCGAAAGAGACCGTCATAAAAAGTCCGAATTGCAGAATTCTTTGTGCATCATTTGGGTGTAGAGAGGAAGAATAAAAAAGAGACGGGGAAAGAACTTACGATGGTAGTACGACCATCAGCAGACATCTGGCGAGGATGGAATGTCTGCTGTTGGTCGTAGAGGAAAGAAGGACGCAGAGAGTCGAAGAAGAGAAAAGAGAGTGACAGAGAGGCAGGTGCAGAGGTCTTGGCGGTGGAATGCGTGCACGGTCCTTCGCAGCCCATCCAGGTCTTTGGGCATCTGAGCAAAAGTAAACAGTCATTCCACCCATCAACCTATACAACCCTGTCACTGCTTTCCACTCCCAGTTCTCTGGTCGCAAGTCACAAAGCTATAGAACACAATCATCACAATGTCTACAAACAACAGACCCCACCAAGGCGACAAAACATACTTTGAACAACAACGCGAACTCGTACTCCAAGATGTTGCGACAGTGAGTATCTCTGCACTGACTGTAGGAAATACACCATACTGACAGAATACANNGAATCTAGAGCAAGTGCTCCAAAACATGAACACGTTAAACCGAAGCTTAGAGAGTGTCATCGCTGTACGTTCTCTCTTTCCTGTCTCGACGCACCCAGAGGATCCGTCCTCCAGGTACCACCAGCACGATATGGCAAACAATACTGACATTCTCGCGAAATACAGNGTCGGCAACGAATTCGGCCAAGTCGAGGGCCTCTGGTCCATGTTTGAGAATGTCATGGCGCAACAACAACAAGAAACCCAACCCCACGAGGAAGAAGGAAACACGCAAGCACACACTGGCGCTCAAGAAAGAGGACAATAGCATCGAAGAGTCTGGGACGAAGATGGAGAGGAAAGAAAGAGCAAGAGCAAGGAGACAATGATACCCAAAGAAGAAGAATATCACGACCGTTACGAAAAAATTAGACGAAGTGCCCGGCTCATGGCAGGGTGTGAGAGACAGCAGTAGAGTCAGAGCAGAGGCTCTGACACATACGCAAGACAAGAAGATCTTTGAGAACAAGCAAACTCGCCATCCTGCGCGCATACCAGACACACTCAATCAAGCATCAAGCGTTGACTGTTGTCACTCTCAGTCTTACCTCGTTTGATATCGAAACCTCGTCTCAGAAAATCATGGGGAATATAGGAAACACACAGAGCGCCCATAGACCAACGATCTACTCAGTAGCATATACAGAAAGCTCAGACCTGAACGATAAGATGATATACAGGCTAGTTCTGTTGCCCAAGTAGACGACATCAATACGGCGAAGTCGAAGAAACAATTTTGCTCGCACCCTGCTTGACACCCTGCAATGCCGCATGACCCCACGATCCTCTCGCTCTGCCCAACGCAGTACCCACACCTTGACCCAGCGCCAGAGAGTCCGTCATGGCGCTGATCATGCTGAACCCTCTATCTGCGTAGTGTCTCGCTTGATCGCCATCTGTACAGTAGATGCCCGAATGCTTGCCAGCCTTCTTTGCCGCGGCGTGGATTTTCTCGATGGCAGCCTTGAGTTCATCGTGCATGCCATCAGCAAGGATAGGATATCCGATACTGTTTCCGAGATCGTAGGGGCCGATGAACAGGACGTCAACGCCGGGAACCGCAGCGATGGCATCCACATTGTCCAGTGCTGATTGGTTTTCGATCTGGATGATAGTGACAAGTGCCTCGTTGGCTTGTTGCAAGTACTCGGCCGCAGAAACAGGTTCACCACCCTTAGGCACAAATCTCTCCATAGCAAACGGACTCCCAAATCCTCTGATCCCCTGGGGAGGGAACTTTGCTGCTCTAACTACACCTCTGGCTTCCTCTGCATTGTTGAGTTGGGGAATCACGATGCCATGAGCACCGGCATCTAATGCGCGTTTGATCATCCAGCCTTCGTTCGACACCGTGCGGACGATAGGAGANNGAACACCACAGGAGGCAATGGCGGCGACGGATTCGTGCATAGCCGTATCGCTGATGTTTCCATGTTCAGTGTCCACGCATATCCAGTCGGGATTGGAGCGGGCGAGGATGCGAGAGAGGTTTGAGCCTGGGAGCATTTGCCAGGCGCCCAGGGCGAGAGCATTGCCAGAGAGGGCTTTGTGGAGGTGGTTGGCTGTTTGCATTGTATTGAATTCAGACTTCTCGGATGTTGTCCTGATGACCTGGGCGATTATGAATGATGTGAGAGCTCTGCTGAATTGATGATGAGTTGACGTAATGTGTTGCGATGCGATGCGATGCAATTGGACAGATGCGTTTAACGAGAATGGTTGGTGGTCTACGATATGATCTGCTGGCCGTCGATACGTTTGGCGAACGATGTTCTCCCGGCCTGTGTCGTGGTTGAAGAAGTTGACTCATCAACTTGTGGTAAGAGCGAAGATCAGATGCCCCGCACCTCGTCAGCAGCAGCTCTTTCCCTCCTGAACCGGCAAAGGTACAGATTTACATGACGATTAGAACAAGATTAGGCGGAAGAAGATGAAGAAGGCTCATTCAACATGGCTTCATCCATCAATTTCTCAACCTCGTGTTCCTTGAATCTGTGCATGAGTTTTCTGGCCTCACCTGTGGTGCTAAATTGGTTGCCCTCTTTCGCTTTGTCCACGTGGACNNCTAGCGATACTGTCAACATGAATTTCGAGCAAGTCTTGTGTAAACTTACTACTGGTGTATCAAACTCGTACATGTTCTTCCACTTTTGATCAGAATGCTCCATCACGTTGATCTCGTCGTACTCGAAAGGTCGCTTGTCCCAGACATTGGACAAGACCTCTTTGGCATCGGAACACAACTTGCAGTTTGACCGCGTAAACAGCGTGATCCGGCATGCAAAGTTTCGAAGGGCGAGCGTGCGAAACATGGTTGTAGATGTGAGATGAAGATTGAAAATGCTTGGAAGAATGATGATAGGATTGAGATTCTGGTTTGTTGCCAACGCCTGTTGCTAACACATACTGTCCCTTCTCATACTGCAACAATCCCGAGACTGAGGTTAAGCATCTCGGGGCCGGAGATGATCTTCAATCCCCTGTAAACCTCTGCTGATATCGCTCATAGACCACACGTATGTGCTACAGTTGAGTCAACAAACCTAGGTTGTAACGTATAGTCCATCCTTACCCCGCTCCGCTCAACTGGAGCACTCCCAAACATATAAGAAACTCTACACCACCTCTAGCAGTACATACATACAAGCATCTGTTCAACCAATCCGAGAGACTGAAGAACTCAATCCACAGCCATCATGCCAGCGTACGAAGTCGAGCACGTCTGCAAACTGACTGACGACCAAAAAGACCAACTAGCTGAGGCAATCACCAAAATCCACAGCCAGCAGTTCTCAACTCCTAGACTCTTTGTCAATGTCCGCATAACCGACATCTCAGACCAGCAAACATATGTAGCAGGAAAACAGGTAAGCTTCAAGATCAGAAATCCTCGTTCGAGCAGCTAGGAAATTGATGCGTTGTTTCCAAACCAGTTCAAAAGCAATCGCATTTTCGCTTACGTGCGACATGGTCCTTCACGCACGCAGTCTGACTACGATGCCGTGAGCAAAGCCCTTGAAGATGAATGGGCGAGGATAATGCCAGGAACCGAGCTTCGACTGGTCATGTTCTATGGAGCGATTGTCGCTGGTATGGAAGCTGGATTGTACTTGCCTCCTGCCGGACAGGATGCCGCGTGGATCAAGGAGAACTGGGATACCTTTGTCAAGAAGGCAGAAGGTGGTGATGAGCATTTTGCTGACGTGGTAAAACAGTATAGTTGATTGGGAACAGTCGATATGGTATTATGATACCGCACGAAGTAGCTACCTAAGTCTCATTCATAAGCTTATATCTTTGCCCAGTCATGCTTGGTTATCAATAATGCCTTGAGGAGTTATTCATTGTTCAATACGTGATTCTCGATCATGTCGACGTAATTGTTTAGCCAGATGCTGTGATGGCAGCAAGGAGGAGCGGCAAATGTTTTAAGACAAGATCCGTACCGCGTCATCCTACCTCCGACATCCGACGATCAAAGCGGGGCATATACCGCTCGCCTTGAACCAACACCGTGATGGTTGAAGTCTAAAACCCACGTCGGCATGGAGAAGCTCTATGACCGAGGTGTTTGACTGCAACGGCTAGGAGTGTGCCGAGGCCAGATGCGGATTACAAGAGGAAGCATGATGGCTGTCTCGCTGCCAACAGCTCTTGAGAACTGTTGACCTTTTGACTTCCCAGACCACTGCTTTGCTATACCGCTACGATGAGGTCCAAGGAAGAAGTCGCGAAACTCGCAGAGATGGACCCGGAGCTGGCTGAGGTATGCCACAAGCAGCCCTCCACTGATAATAATGATATGCTGAATTGGAACAGNTTCCTCAGTAAGAACACTCTCCCCAAGGGCGACTGGAACAACATCAAACAGTTCCGTGCAATGCGCGACGAGATGGGAAAACAAAAGCTCAAGGAACTGGGCCCAGCAGCCCCACACGTCGAGGAAGAGTTCAAGAGCATAACCATGAGAGATGGCTTTGAAAGCCAGATCAAGATCCACAGACCCACGGGCAAGACTGGGGGACCTCTCATAGTCTTGGTGTTTGGAGGTGGTTTTGTGGTTGGTGACAACCAACAGCTCACCCCCTATGGCCGTGGTTTTGCCAGGGCCTTCGGTGCTGTCGTCGTAACGACTGCATACAGACTGGCTCCCGAGCACAAGTTCCCGACCGCTCCGAACGATACCGAAGACACTCTGTTGTGGCTTGCGAATAACGCAGATTCCCTGGGCGCGGACCCTTCCAAGGGATTCGTCTTGGGAGGCGTGAGTGCGGGCGGTTCGTATAGCCACTTGGGTGCTGAGAACTAAGCGTGCCTAACATATCACNNAGGTAACCTGTCTGCTTGTATTGCTCAAAAAACCCTCGAGGACAAGAGTCTAGCACATCCTCTCACAGGCCTTTGGCTGTGTGTCCCCCTNGTCTTCCCCAACGAGGACTTGGTGCCAGACAAGTACAAAGACGTCTTCTTCTCGCACGAGCAGAACGCCGACGCGCCTATCCTCGACAAGAACGCCATCGATGCCATCGTTGGCCATCTCGAACCTGACCAGTCATCCCCGCTCTATTCACCTTTCAACAGCAAAACCCCTCACAAAGGCTTGCCNCCCACATACGTCCAAGTCGACGGAATGGATCCTCTTCGTGACGACGGATTGGTCTACGAGCAGGTCTTGAGTGAAAACGGAGTCAAGACGAAACTCGACATCTGGCCTGGATTGCCTCATGCACATTTCTCTTTCCTACCATTCTTGAGCGGCAGCAAGAAGGCGATTTTNGATACCTTTGTTGGTTTCGGCTGGCTACTAGGCATGGACGTCTCACCTCAGAAGATACAAGAAGTTATGGCCGCACCTGGGGGTGGTTAGACTGGTGTACTTCCATATTTGTGAATCAAGATTATGGTCGATAGTCTTCTTTTCCAAACAAACGTCCAAACGTTGTTTACCAAAGGTAAACGCACAGAAGCCCGTATCATCTGACCTTAGCCGATATGACATAGGCGTGCTTGGACTCTTGAAACTGTGAAAGACGGCAGAAATGAGAAGGCGAGATACCATCCATCGATGGCGACGTCAGACAGCACAGATGGTGGGGTATGACAGGCGTCGCAGCTGCGCCATTTTGCCGCTTAGCAACGAGCACAAGTAATCGACCTCGAAGGAGTGTAGGTATTTGTCCTCCTGCAACCCTGGCCCTGATCAGCAGGCATAGCTGTACTGAATCAGCTACAAAGACCTGCTGCACCCAAGACAGATGGGCATCGATGATTTGTGTTCCTTGTTGACTCCTTCTCTTTCTGGACCAAAGCCTTTGACTGGACATTCAAGACGGCACAGGGGTTGGGTTTTATTGATGTCCAAGTACGCGCGAGAGTATGAATAGTGGCGCCGAAAAAGCTTCGGCAAGATGTGTCTGCCAGAGGAAATATTATCCGGATCGTCCGTATGCATTCGGTTGTCGAGACAGTGGCATACGGTTGGGTGTCCTGGCTGTCTTGGTGAATAGCGAGTTGAGATGGAAAGACGCCTCATTGCTCCTTGGACAGACTATTCACTGATTGTCGTGAACAGGATCATATCTGCGTAACCCGGAGACATGTTTTCGCTTGGTTGAACTGGGTTGAGGATCCTGGCTCTGAATCTGGATTTCAGGAGCGGTCGTCTGAGCCATGAGCATGTCGGCAGTGGTAACATGGCGTAAGACCTGGAGTGGATCCTGAGTACTGCGAATGCGACGAAAGATTTCTTCGGCCTCGAGTAGGGGACGGTTAAGGAGAAAGTCGTACAGCCTTCGAAGCTGGGTGTTTTCCTGTGCCAGCTCTTCGTTTCTGCGCTTCAGCGCGTTGGACCGCGTCGTGTTGGCCTCGACATCGTACACACAGTCCTCGTATCTTCTGGCGCATGATTGGCAAGTCGGTCTGACTCCATCACACTGCCACCAGCTGTCAACGAAGCCCTCTGGCCGAAAGAATGCTACTCTTACCTTGATACGGAGTCGTCTACAACAAGCACATGCAACATGGACGACAGTGCGCTTGGGCTTGGTGACTTTCGCGTCCTTTGACTGCTGAAGCGCTGGTCTTGGAAGCGTCTTGTTACTGGCATGAGTTGATTCGCTGGAGCGAGTCGAGTCGCTGGGGGTGTGTTCGCCGTTCATGTCGCCGAACCAGGAGTGTGAGAGACGTCTTTCCGACGAGAGCAACGTGCCGCAACTTCTGACAGCAAGGCGCGACCTGCGGTTCTCAATTGCCAGATCCAAAAAGACGGATTCACTTCCGAGAGAAGGAAGAAAGGAGAGAACGAAGGACACGCGTGCACTGTTTTGTGAAAGCGGACCTGTCTCCTACGAATCTCATCTTCATCTGACCTCGACACAGACGCTAGCAGTGTCTATGGTCATACTGGAATCCTTGTCAAGGCATGAGGCTGAACAGTCGCAGGACCGGAGGTTTGCTCGGCGTGCTGCCCGACGCCCCGGCCTGGTTCGCCTTACAGCTCATCGAGCGATCCCAGAGCCTGGACCGACACATCAACACCTGGAGCTTTCCATATGTTCAAACTCTACCGATTCTTCTATATGCTACACAAGTAAGACTATTATATTCATCCAACTACCAACATAGAACTTGTCAACAAACTCAAGAACCCTTGACATAGACCTGTAACTGCTTGCCTTGACCGCGTATGAGAGCCGTGAACATAGCACGGCCACCCTTCCAATTTGCATGGAACACCGCATGATCACCATTGATAGCCATGTCAAGGCCGCCTGGAGCTACAAGTCCATATGTCCCGGTTCGGATCAGGCCGCCAAACTTCTTGTAAGGACCTCTGATGTTCCTCGATGTCGCATAGGATACATCGTACAGAGGAGTCACGAAGCAATTCGAACTGTAGTAAAGAACATATGTACCGTCGGGCATCTTGGTAAGAGATGGTGCTTCGACGTATGGTCCATCAGCAGGATCATTGACGATGAGCGGTGTCGGCAGACCAATCTTCGTGAAGCCATCGCTGACTGAAACCTGTTGAAGCATTATAGGCGTACTGACAATGGGCGTGACCATGTTATTACACGACCCGCCGTGGCCTATCGCGATTCCGTCAATCTTATAGACGACCCATCGCGTGTTGTCCTTTGAATCGTAATAGCCAGCAGGATCTATCGCACCGCCCTGTGCTGTAGGGCACACCCATGGGTCAAGCCCTATAGGAGTATAAGGACCAGTGACTGTGGAAGCCGATGCGGTTCCCAAACAATGGAGCTTAGGGTTCGACTTGAGTGCGGCGGTATAGTACATGATGAAGCGCCCAGGTCCAAGTTGAACAACATCTGGTGCCCATACTGCAGGCGTGTTGGGGTCCACCCAGTTCGGCAGATTCGGAAGCGCATCTTTCTCTCCGAAACTGGTCCAGGTAAAGTAGTCGTATGTGTGAGCTATTGGAACATGAACACGCTTCCCGTTGTAGTGTGAACTGGTTGAAAATGCCCACCACTCGTTACCAATTCGTATCACTGATGGGTCCGGGAAGTTTAGACCGTTCATGACAGGGGTCAATGTAATCTCTCGCTTCTGGACCGTAGTGTTGTCAGCAATACTGAAGTCGTCAGCAGCCACGGCAGGCAAAAGGCCAACTGCCATTATAGAGATGAATTTGAGGCAACGAAGAGCCATTTTGCTGATTCGAGAGGATTCCTTCCAAGATTGTGATAGTATAATGTCCTTAGAGAGTCGGATACAATTTCGTAAGGTCAGCGTATTGAAGGTCGACGAGAATATCACCTACCATGATTCATCTGCCCACCTTTTGTGATTTTCAATGTGAGTGAACAAAAGAAAATGCTCATTTCATCTCTTTGTGCGCAACTTCGAGGCCTGGGTGACGCTTCATCGGAAGGTCATTTTGCTGTCAAATTCTTTGCTGTCGACGATGATTGATCCGCTTCGGGCGTCGAATCTCCCTTTGTATCCGCTTGCAGTGTTTTTGGTCTTTGTGTCCAGTATCTGTTCGAGCCCGTACGGACGAGATTGATGGCTGCTCGTAAACAAGATTTGCCCGTCTGTCCAGTTCGAGTGTTCAATAATAACATGTCAAGCGTATTGCGCGCGAAGCCGGGTGATGCTGTAGCGAAGATTCGGAAAGTGACTATACGCTGTATCACCAAGATGGATTGAAGGTCCCGCGAGTCCGGAAATTGCGAACTTCGTTTGGGTGATTTTTTATAGCTGTGATGGAGTGCGCCGTCAGGAGGAAAGAGGGCACTACGAGCAGGGTGTCCTCTACGTGAACGCCAAGCCACACAGCGGCGATTTGCGAGTCTGCATCTTGAGCGTGAGTGATCTTCAAGAACCCAAGACACAGTTCGAGAATCATAGCGCGAGTTTATTATGGCCAATGATTCTGGCGTGGCTGGACAGGCGATGGATTCTCCTGGTGCATTCAGCCCACGCATTCCTTCGCAGCAACTGTTCAACTCAGATGTGGTAGAAGGACAATGGCAGCCAATGCTTGAGAGTGCTTGCGCCTTTCTACCCGAGATGTTCCTCAAGGTCATGCACAACCTGATTAAAAATCCAAACATCATGTCCACTCACCTCTTCCGAGCGGATATTCTTTACGATAGTGATGCCGATCATACTATCATCGAAGGGCCAAAAACTGCAAAATTCAGCGACTTCACAAGACATCTCCAAAAAGAATATCGGCCGAGATATACTGAGCTTCCTGGGTACAAATGGGAGAGGACATACGTTCGACAGCTTGTTCCACGCAATCGACAGCTGGACCGAGACCTGCCGCAGACCTGTCACTTCTATACACGGCAGGACGAGAAAACCACGAGAAACCTTATCCTCTATGTTCCGCATGTCGAGGATCCTGAAGCTATGCCATGGTATCATCCCAGAGTCCGCGCAGTAGTCTTTTCCCACGATTGGACTGCGGCATCCAGAACAGGAGTTGTCGCTGTTCATTACTCTCTATTTCCTGACGTACCTCTCGACTCAAGACTCGAGCGAACAGCGTTGCAACTACTCACTAAAATCCACAAGCATAGCAGAGGTCAACAAGCAGGTTACCAGAAAAGGGTTCACCATGATCAAGTCGTTCCACAGAAGACCTTTCAGGAAACTTACGCCAGGCTCAAAAGCACGTATGCCAGATCCTTGATTGAAGGATGGGCGGAGGTGACTGATCCCGCAAAGCACGTCTTCGAAGACCTTGGAATAGCTTCTTTTCTCATAGAGCTCTGGAAGGTCATGTATGATTGCGATGCAATTAGTGACGGCAATGGAGACAATACTCAGTCAGCCGAGCATGGCCGCAAACCTCCATTTCCAGGGTTTGTTGACATTGGCTGTGGCAATGGTCTCCTTGTGAATATTCTGATCAAAGAGGGGTTTCCAGGTTGGGGTTTTGATGCACGACATCGAAAATCGTGGGAGACCTTCGCACCCAATGTCAAGAGCAAGCTTGCAGAAGGCATTCTAGTACCGCAAGTACTGAATACCAAAGGTCCAATTGAGGACTCAGACAGCATGGCAGATCTGGGGATCAAGTTGGAGGCAGTCGATCTACTAAAAGACCGACACTTCCACAATGGCCTCTTCGAAAAAGGGACTTTTATTGTGTCAAACCATGCGGATGAACTCACTCCATGGACCCCTCTCCTCGCGTTCCTCAATGACTCACCATTCGTTGCCATACCGTGCTGCAGCCACAATCTGGCCGGCGCTCGATGGCGAGCACCTATATCAAAAGCTGCAAAGGAAAAGGCTGCCGCACAACGACGTCAAGAGTCTTCAGCAATCGAGATTGTCGGCACGGATCGATTGCGTGAGAACCAAGCTGCAGAGACCGGATCCTTGAAAAAATCAGCTGGCACGAAGAACGTCCAGTCAGCGTACGCCTCTCTCTGCGACTATGTCTCAGTTCTGGCGAAAGATGTGGGCTTCGTTGTCGAGACTGAAATCCTGCGAATACCTTCCACTCGCAACACTTGCATCTTGGGCAGAAACACAGAACCATTACAGAACGACGAAGGAATGTCCAAAGAACAGCACGTTCGGCATATTGTTGCGAGGGAGCTCAGTGCCCCGATAGAAGACATTTGTACCGAATTTGTAAGGTGTGCTCAAAAGCTGGTCGGGAAGAAAGGCGAAACTCACTAGAAGTGTCATATCCGGACATGTTACTTTGATGGACGCCTGATAACACTAGAGCTATCTTTGCATGAACTCGAGTAAGACAAACAGGGTTCAGGACAAGATGGATGATCGGCAGTCGCATCTCCTAATGCGTCCATTGGAACCTTGTTTCATCGAGCGGCTCGAACTCCGAAGCCACCATGTTCCATAGCCATGGACAACCTGAGGACAGTACACCTCCATAATAGACGAAACATTTGATACCCGTGTGCCAGATTGACTTGCCATAAAAACAATCTGGCGGTTTCATGCGCATGAAGAACGCCTCAGTTTCGCATCTGGTTTCCGTCCATACAATTCCCTCCAGCAGCAACATCTTGACACTTAACAAGCAGAATCAGCATCAGGCTGTAGTCGCTTGATAAGTACTACATTTCTATGTACAGGGAAAAGACTTCCCGCCAGTTCCTAAACTTCACCATAACAAGCTCCCGAATCAAAGATGACTGCGAACACCAGAAACATTGTCATCTTGGGTGGCTCATACGCAGGTCTCAGCGTAGCACATTACTTTCTCAAGCATATCCTTCCTTCGCTACCCAAAACTTTCAAGGATTACCATGTGTATCTTATCGATCCCTCCACACACTTCTATCATCGTGTTGCCGCGCCTCGCGCTTCTGTCTCTTTCGATCTGATGCCCATCACGAAAACATTCTACGACATCTCCAATAACTTCAAAGGGTACAAACCAGAAGACTTCACATTCCTTCGAGGAAAGGCGACAGGCTTGGATACCACTCGACGTACTGTCACAATCCAACACACCGGACTCGATAAATGCAAAGAAACTGAGCTGCCGTATCATGCCCTGATCCTTGCGACTGGAACCAAGGCTCATCTACCAATATTGTCTCTCCAAGGTGGGGGTCATGAAGAAGTCCTAGAAGCCCTCTCAGATCTTCATGACAAATTGGCTTGCGCCAAATCTATCATTGTGGGTGGAGGCGGACCAAGTGGAGTTGAGCTTGCTGGAGAGATTGGCGAGTTCGTGAACGGCACTACGAGATGGTTCAAGCAGAAGCCAACAAGGCCGAAAACGCAAGTCATTTTGCTCTGTGGTTCGAAGAAGCTGCTCCCTGTGCTACGTCCAGCGCTTGCTAAACAGGCCGAGGCTTACTTGGCACGCGTTGGTGTTAGTGTGAAGTACAGCTCCAGGATAGAGTCAACAGAGAAACTGGGAGATGGACACACCAAGCTGAACCTTGGAAATGGAGAAACTCTCGTATCCGACCTTTACCTTCCAGCAACTGGTGTAACGCCCATGACCGAATACATTCCGTACGAGCTTCTCGACGACCGAGGCTATGTCAAAACCAACCAAGAGACACTTCGCGTAGACGAAGCAGGGCTGCGTGTTTATGCCATTGGAGACGTTGGCAATCACAGCCGTGGTGGAATTCTGGACATCTATGAGGCAATCCCCGTGCTCATGACCAATCTACAGCGCGACCTTCTCGCTGCGCACGAGGACGTCAACACCAAACCGACTGGAGATGACCGCAAATACAAGAAGAACGCATCGGAAACACAACTTGTTCCAATAGGTCGGTCGAAAGGCGTAGGCGCTTTCAACGGTAACAGGTTGCCAACTCTTATGGTGCATATGATCAAGGGCAGGGACTATCTGTCTAGCGCGGCGGTGGAAATTGTGACAGGAACCAAGTGGAATAAACAATCTGGGTGGAAGCCAACAGACGGTTGCTTGTCTGGCAGCGAGGGCGAAAAGGAGATGCTGATAGCCGGAACGTACCGAGCCAACAGATGAATGCAGGGACAGCACTTGCGATCAGACGGATGATCAGACGGATGATACCATAATTTGCTGTTTCTGTTTGTCTTTTTATACGACATCCAGACGCAGGCCGTATGGACGTGTCATTAGGCGCATGTAGTAATCATTGAGGCAAATACTGTACATATCTTCAGTCTTCTGCCGGCTCCCGTTGGTCACGCCACGACTTTGAGTGACGTGGTGCCTGAAGATTGGGCTCCAGTGCATCCGTCCAACATGTGCAGATGAAGAATTTTTGCTGCTACTAGTCGTAAGAGCGACAAGCTTGTAGGCATTTCGACGATTTTCAGTACTATAGCTCGCGAGAAAACAAAGGAGGAGGCTGGTAAGATGTGCACACATGGCTGGAAAGCGCATGCCTGTCGACGTCATCGGCTCGCGTATCAATACCTTTTGCTCACCGATCTTTTGTACTACTTTTGATTTTGTATATACTTCGTCATTGCATGTTCTTGGGTCTTCTGTTGCTTAATCCATTTAACATTTGCTTAAGATCTTATACGGCGATTTTTACGTTTCTGATATAGGTATCCACGCTTGGAGCCCCTCCCTCTACACCAATACATCGCTAACGAACGAACGAACGATAGTTATAACAATCTTTTGGAGACAAGAACTCTACTTGTGGTATCGATAAGCCTTCAGCTACTTATACTATCTGGATAATCGAAGAGGCTTCAAGAAAGTTGGTTCTACGGTTCATCTGGTCGCGACTTCCCTACTCGTTCGCTCTTACCCAAACTGCTGTTTAAAAATGGCAGGCTTAGGACTCAAATCGTGCGTTGCCTCTTTCTTCTTCTCCAATTTCTTCCCATCCTCAACTTGCATCTCTCAATTCTGTACCACACTGTCCTTATCTTCGCCGATCATCAAAACGTGTCTGCATCGTCCGTTACCACTTCCACCCTGTTCTGAGTCGCAACACACCGACCCTGTCACCAGTCGAAAGAGCCAAGTGAGCGATGGCGAACCCTGCGAAATTCATGACTGGCGCTTTGTATGAGGGATGCTACGTAATGTAAGTCTGGCTATGTGCAGAGCTCGAAGTCGATGCAATCCTCTGCAGCTGTATTGTTCTCGGGTCAACAAGGCTTTGTCTTTCAGACAGCGAAACAATGCACAATAGTGCCTCTTGAAGTTTGACCCTGCATGGGATGCTCACGTCGTTCGTTTGGCTCGGCGCAAACAGCAATCTTCACTGAGTGACCGCCTTTGAATCTCTCTTTCACACCTCGCTCTGATATTCAGTGCGCTTCTATTACTTTTCTTCAAACATCCTTTGCTTCCGGCACACTTGGTTACAACTTTTGAGTACCGACGAGATGCCTTCCTTGACTAATATCCTGCTTCACAGCATTGCCTATATGGCAGAGAAATTCCCCGACAAATGGATGGAGAAGATTCCCTATTACCGCGCAAGAGAAGAGGAACTGGAGGAAGAGGAACGCGAAACCCGTCGTCGTGCTCGCAAGGAGAAGGAAAAGCGCAGACACTCTCACTCTCACAAACTCTCTGGCAGCCACCGTAGAGCTCGCCATTTGGACAACGATGAAGAGTCCGACAGCTACGACGATGAGGAGTACGATCGCCGTGATCGCAGAAGACATCGCAGTCTTGATGGACGTCGTCAGCAGCCAGAGAACAGATCGACCTATCGCAAATCTTACAACCCTGCCGACTATGCTCCTGTCGACAGATACGGCTATGCTGTTCAGCCTCCTGTCAATGGTCACACCGTCGTGGTGAGTCAATGTTTCCTGTATTTCAAAGAAGGATGCTGACTTATTCACAGAACGGCCCTGTGCCTGGTGCTACTCCTGCCACGACCTCCTTCACCAACGGCTCTCGTCCTACATCCACATCTGGACCGATCCCTGGCTACGTCCCTTACGCTCACGTCTACAACAAACCTAGTAAGTCGCAGCACGCTGGTTACAGCCGTGACGCTCGCGACTCTCCTCGTAGTTCATCGGACCGCTTTGACCGCAAGGACTACCGCACCGAACCCCGTGGTGGAAGGTATGAGTTCATTCTCCGGGGAGGTTCAGAAATTGAGGCTGACACAATATTCAGATACAACGACAGCCACGACTATGACAGCAGCGATGATGCCAAGTATCGCCGCCGCAGCAGTCGCTACGACTAGACGTCGTCCAGCGGCATCGACTCACAAGCCGACTTGCCTACACCAATCTCCTCTCAGGCCCAACTTACGACAAAAACGACATCCAACGACATAGACATGACCAAAAGCGAATACGATAGCATTGGGCGGTGAGAAGCATTTGCATATCAAAGGCGATTCGAGCACTGGCTCGTGTTTCTTTTTCCCTTTCTTGAGTTCTTTCTTGCTTTTTTCTTGTCATACAAGACGAGAAGATTTGTTGCATTGCGATTTGCTTTTTCGGAGAACAGAATACAATGCGTGTGTTCCTTTCAAACTAGTCCTCTGCGCAATAGCTGTGCGACAGAACAGTATCAACGCTCGTGCCTGTGACTTGGAGCGTCTGATGCCGAACAATAGATTTTGACTCAAGCTATTTGGAATTTAGTCGTCCTTAGAGGTATGCCTTGTCGACATATGCAGCACTAGCATACCCACTGCCCAAAACATCGGTAATGAGCACAGGCTTGCTCAACTTTGACCCAATGACTCTAGTGCCCGCAGCACCATCTCCAGTATTGCCATACTCGCCAAAACTAACATGATCAGTCCTCTCATCCCCAGCATTCCAGATATGCCAACCGGCCGCATTAACAACATTGGTGATGGTCGTATACTGCACGGCAACCCTCGCATAATCACCCCAAGGCCTGCCCAGATAATACGCACCCTTTGGCACCGACTGCCCCGATTTGGCAGCAATAGAACAGTGATCGAGGACATAGTAACCGGCTTCATTGGATGCGCGTCCTGAAGCGGTAATGTAGCCCTGGCTAGCAGCCAAAACGCGGATATCGCAGTGAGAGTACCAGGATGAACCGTGTTGACCGAAAATAAAATCTGTAGCGCCTTCGATGTAGGAATTTGCGAAGAGGGAAGTGCCGGTTTGAGCGAGGATTGTGTCTTGGAAGCCGGAGAGTTTGCAGGCGTAAAAGCCTTGGTTCTNGTTTTTTTAGTGTTGGTGTCAGTTTATTTGAAGGAGGGGTGAGGGAAGTGAAGAACAGCAGAGGGAACGAGAGAATAAACATACACCAGCCGCAGAACTCAACGCCAGAGCTTGCCCTCCTGATCCATAACTATTCACCAAATTCACATTATACAGTTTGAAATTCGTACTCCAAGCGCGCAGAGTAGCAGTCAAATCGTCTGTGGCAACCTCATGCAAGCTCAGTTTTTGCGTAACGGTAACCACATTACTGTTGTAGTCGTCCGTATTTGTCGAGTATCCATATATGGTCAAAGCAGCTTTGCGGGGTGCGATGTAGACTTGTTCGGTATAGGTGCCTGCTTCGATGAAGATGGATTGGGCGGTAGTGGAGGTGGTCGAGAGGGCATTGATTGCGTCTTGGATTTTNNTGGAGTATTGGCCTTTTGAGGGAGCTTTGGAGACGATGAGGGCGCCGGAGGGGGCGGAGGTTCTGCTGGCGGCCAGCGCGAGACAGAGGTTTAGGCACAAGGCCAGGATGTAGGGAAGCATCTTGGGCGAGGATCGAGGGGTTTGCTGGAGAGTGAATGGTAGAGGGATGTCATCTTTTTATCTGCTTCGCGATGTGTACCAGAGTTGATTTGATTGACCAGGACACATATTGATGCTGCTACTAGGGCTGTCCTCGCGAAGTCCAGACGTCGGCTACGACATGAAACAAGTCCCTCAAATGCAGTGAATTTTTCCACAAATGCCAGAGCACACAAGAACTGTGTTTGCCGCGTGGTCAATGTATATTGAGCCCAACTGTTTCTTCGTGAGGGGTAGTCGAGTATTTGCCGATATACAATAGCCTCAAAATACAGTTTGGAATGAGTAGGCAGATCAGGAGCAGTATGGCAGAGCTTGGTCGAGGACGTGTTCACCTGACCATGAACACTATGCTACGAGGATCCCATTGGTGGAATACCACACGCAGCAATATCGCAAGCAAAGATTGCGACAATGCATGGCTGAACATTGAGAGCGGATGACTTGTTGTAAACGAGGGCAAGTGGTGAAGGGAAGAAAGTGCCAACTCCTAATCTGAAACACCTCCGCAAATTCAGCTGCCCCCCCTCACGGATCGGCAAGGGCAGGGAAAGCTTGGTATGCTTGAATGTCCACGAGTAGGGCTTTTTCTTTTGATTTGCATCTTTACACAAGACAGACTAGCCTACGTACGCAACATGCGAGAAGTGGTCACCTGATCTAAGCATCCGAAGACTGTCGCAGTGCGGGTATGAAAACGCATCATTGCTTCCTGAATTAAGAGTGTGGCCACAGATACTTGCTAAGACAACTTCTCTCTGGAAACCATTATCTTTTCGGAAGTCTCGTGAACTTCTATTGGTTGTGTCATCAAGTCACACCACTATAGGAGAGGAGTCGATCGTGAAATTGTGACAGCCTCTGGCACAGCCGGAGGCATGAAGGACAACCGACTCTCGCTCACCAGATGCTCACTCATTTGAGATCAATCTGAAGTCCCAGCGTAGCGTTCAGGTTGCTGTTGCCATAGAAGTACTCAGTACCAGCATTGCCAACATTGACATAGGTAGACTCTTTGAAAGTACCATGCTGCACAAGAGCCTCGAGCCACTCCTTAAGGTCACCAATGAAGCTACCCTCGAACTGCTTCTCAGGCATCATGGTGTGAACCGTGATACCAGTGTCATCATTCTTGCCCTCGTACAACTTCCAAGATGTGCCGAAGAGGTTCCCAATGGTGGCTTTTGCGCCATCGCTCCAGCCGATGGGGAGTTGGCCGCCTTCGTATTGAAGCCAGAGCATGAGCTCTTGGGCACTCGAAGACGTTGAGTCACCCTTTGTGTTGCTGGTCATGAAATCGTAGCAGACGTTGCCCTTAAAGGCAGTGCTGTTGGTTCGAGACCAATCATAGGTGGTGGGGATGGAGTTGATGCCAGAGATGGTGGTCTCGAGGTTTTGAGTCAGACCGACGAAAGCATAGCCCTTGGGCACGTTGTCACTGCTCAGATCGTTAGCTGTCTTCACAATGGTCGATGGGAAGGATACAACTAACGTTGCTTTGACATATTCAATGTTCGTCTCGCTGCTCCAGACAATCTTCTTGTCACTATTGACAGGGGCTTCGACGCGATCGTAACGCGTGCACTGAGTACCGACTGATCCAGCGGCGCCATAAAACATGTTGTACACAATCCAAGGAGTGTCATAAAGGACAACATTGTCGGCTGTACCGCAGAGGTCGATAGCAGCTTGTTTAGCAGAAGTGTTGATGATCTGCGACTTCTTGACCATAGAATTAGGAGCGGCAAAAGCCGGCGCAGCCAGAGCGCTGAGGGCCAATGCCTTTGCGAAGAAGGAAGACATGTTCGGCTGGAAGAGCGACGGGAAAAGACCAAACGAGAGGATTCAGAGTAAGAGAACCAGAAGAGAAACAAAACACGCATGCAAGCAGTGTGGCGGTGCGTTTTGTATAAGGCATTATAGGGCTTGCATGAGTTTTAGGGCTGATCCTCATCTGAAACTTCGAGAGGCAGATAATCTCATCAAGCTGGAACAACCATTCCCCCAACCCGTTATTCGTCTGGGGCCAAGTAGAAAGGATGTTCATCAGATGGCAGTTTGGCGCGATGAGAATCTTCCCACCGAACGACAGCTCAGTGTGGTCTAGATTTGTTGACCAGGAGAAACTTCATAAGCAAAGCGATGAGCGTATAAGATGCGTATATAGAGCTTCCATCACGCAATATGTCTGCCGTGGGCAATAGGGCTGCCACGCGTTCCCTGAGATTGATATCCTGTAATCTCGAGCTACGTTTCCCAGGGCGGGCTTTGCATGTCCGGCTCGGCACTGTCAGTGGAGCGAACCTACAGCTCAGTTGTTCGGATGTTGTCGCTTTGTCAGTTGTCCCAGGTTGGCTGTCGTCTCCAGAGCGGTAGTTTATCTTCATGTGTCTTTGAGTCTTCATGGCCCTGATCTGGCGCCACCACGAGGAGCAAAGCCGAAACCACCACGACCTTCGGGACCTCTAGGTTGGCGAACAGGCTGCTCGTCTCTAGAAGCAGCAGGCCTTGGGCTGGCAACACTCCTGGGTTTTTGCTCGTAGGTAGGATCGAAGAGTTGAGTAGGTTGATATATGGACCTCGCAGGTGACTGGTCGGCAGGAGAATTGGACTGGCTGTCTTTTGGCGTGGCATTGCGGCCTCCTCTGCCTCGATTACCTCTGCGCGAAGTTCTGTCTCCTCGAGTGGACGATGTGCGAGAGGCTGATGGATCTCTGAACGAGTCTGGGGAACCGAAGAGACGTTCGCGTACTTCGGCGTATTTGCGCTCCTTCTCTTTGCGTTCTTCAGCAGCCTTGCGTTGCCTCTCGGCGAGCGAAGACTCCTGTCTCTTTCTCTCTTCTTCCTCGCTGTCGTCTTCGTCTTGTAGGTCAAGGCCAGCCATGCGGTTTGCGATTTGTGGAGTGGGTCTGCGGGTCAGGAGCTTGACCTGAGGCTTGAAGTCGGATGCGAGAGGAGCGGCGCCCTTTGCTTCGAGGAAGTACGAACGTTCGGGTTGTTCGGCGGCATCCCATAACTGCTTGTTCAGTTCTTGATGCTGGGCCTTGCGTTCGGCGCGAGAGAGTTTGACGGCAGGTTGGACTGGTGCAGACTTGAGCGAGGTCTAGTACTAGGTCAGCAGTCGACATAACACATATGGACTTGAAGGACATACATCGGCAACCTTGTCCCAATCATCGTCCCATGCATCAGGCATTGTGGTAATGGTGGTTGTCTAAGGAGAGAAGCAGGAAGTGATGTGATTGTGACAGGATACAGTACGAGTGAGCAAGTGTGACAGGACAGGGTGGGCTAAGTCGAGATTCGGATGGTCGGTGATGGCGGGCCGACGCGCGCTGGCCGTTGCTGCACCCCGCGATGCGTCATCCCTCTGGCGATTCCACCCTGCTGTTCTGTTTCATCTGCATGTCAAGGATTGAAACGGTCATTCTGTTCGTCCAGCCTGCTCGGTCCATTCAGACTCCCAACTGAACCGCCATCTCGAACCAGCTTCCATCATGACAGGTAATCAATGCTCTTGCCGGCGGCTGCCTGCTTCAGCATCCATGACTAATCCACTTTACTCAAACAACAGGCGCCAACTCGCCCTTTGACCACGACGGCGACAGTCTCATGCAGTCTGCCAACTCTGATCCGAGCACACCAAACGCTCAGATCCGCTCCATCGCCATCTCCGACCTCTCACCTCCAAACTCCCAAGGCGTCCCCCTTCCAGTCGACATGCCCACGGTCGCTCCCTCTGCTTCCGGCGCAAATATGAACGGAAAACGGCCCATCTCCTCCATCGACCACTCTCAAGAGTCACAGGGAGGTGTACCACTCAGCGCCAGCATTCCTACCGATGCTTCAATCAAAGCTTCCTCTAGCTACCAGTACACACAACCAGAGGACGCGCCTGGCTATGCTTGGAAGAACAAAAAGGCTCAGGACGACTTCACTCGTGCCTGGGACTCACTTGTCGACAAGAGTCGCAGAATCGGCAGTGCGTGTCTCTCATCACCAGAGTGGCATGTTGTTTCGCTAACACAATTCNNAGACAAGTACGGTGATCCATTTGCCATGGCCGACCGCGAACTCGCCATGATGAACTCGCGCCAACAGTAGCCAATCTCGATCTTTCTGCTTTGACGATATCACGTCCTCGTATTTTACAAGCAAGCATGGCGCACGGCGTTGGGACTACATGATGTTCTGGGAATGGACCGCATTGGCGGTGAAATGGCAAAAATGGCATGGCATGGGCAGACACAAAGCACAGCGAACATTAGTACCATTGGCTGCAGGACTTCGAATTCAGTAAAACTTCAGCAATACAAATCAATTCTTCAACCATCTGTCTCGGGTTAAAAGCAGTAGTCTTGTGTTAATCATAAGCTCAGTTACCGTCCTTGAATGTTGCTTTTAGTTGATGTATGACAAAGCGTACCATTACAGGTGTCATGCATCGATGCGTCTCGCGAGAGCCTATATTCATCGCAGTGGCTCCTAGGAGCTCTCAGCCGCTGACCAGGTCGATACCCTCGCCCGCCACTGGCTACCAGCTGTCTGCAATCTCTAATCACTATCCTCACTGGCATCGTCCAACGCCTCATCCCTCATACCATCACCCACCCTCTCCTCCTCCTCATCAACCCCATCCTCGACCTGTTCCTCCTCACCCTCTTCATCCTCATCTTCCTCATCCCCCTCGTCCTCGCCCTCACCCTCGACGACCTCATCATCTTCACCCTCCAACGCATCATGAAACTCTTCATCATCAACCTCTTCCTCATCTTCCTCACCATTCTCCCGTCTCAATTTCTTGGACGGTGGTTCCTCATCGCCAGTTCTGCTGTGTCCGTTCACACCAGACATTTCGGTGGCATCCAGCATTGAGGCGTCTGCATCTCCGTTCTCGGCTCCACTGTCTGTGGGCTTACCGTCATCGTCGACACCGCCAGTTTTTGATGAGGCTTTCTCTTCGCGGATCTTGCGGCGGTATGAGTTGCGTTTGTCGCATTGGACTGTGTTGTATTCTGTTTTTGAGAACTGTCAGAGATGATGTGGTGAGTGAGTGGATGGGAAGCTTTGGATCTTACTCTTGAGTTCTGCTTCCAGACGAGGGATAAAGTGCTCGAATTCGTTTTCTTTGAGTGCTGCTATCACGTCTGCGGGTTGGATTGTCTTTTTGCCGCCGAGTTGCGCGTATTCGTTTGAGCTAGAGATATGTGTTAGTATTGGATGGAAATAGAGGACAAGCTAAGTGGAATCCCATGAAATCACAAGCACAGCCCGTCGAAAGGATAAAGATATCAAAAAAATCAACTTACTTGGACGCCAGGAAATTGACAAAGACAGTACAGCTTTTGCTTAATGCCAGCAAAGCATCCTTGTGGATTGATGTGTTGGGAGGTAGAACACCCTTTGCTAACCGCGAAATCATAGTTCGCGGTAGGGATAGATCCTACATTATATCAGTCAGCGATTTTCTTGGATCACAAACTTCTTTGCATCATCTTGTTAGTTACCTCTACACTTGATCCCTCGCGTGCTGCACGGCCAGTGGGTGCAGGCGACTCCTCATCGCCATTGGTAACGGTTGAAAGGTTTGATTTTCTGCCCGGCATGGTTGCGGTTGCGGAGGTGTGTCGGTGCAAGATTTGAATACCAAAGTGTAGCGATAGTTCGTTCAGTCAGGTGAAGCAGACAGAGGAAAGCAGTCTTTTGATAGAGTTGCTCTTGGATTTTCTTGGATACCCCGTTTGTCGTCGGCGCAAGGAGATGGGGAGCGCGAAAGTTTCGCGGAAGGACGCGTAAAGTGGTGTTTGGGCGGAGCTCTTGCAAGTTTGTGACAGAGTGTCTAGATACTGATACCCGAGAAGCTGGCAATGATTGTTATGGTACCAGGGCGTAAGGACTTTTGCACGTCGGAAATGTCAAGTATGGAAGATGTTGTGGTGGTGTCAAAGAAATCCACCCAGTCCTCCCACGTCTCGGGGCCAAGCACAGACCATTCCAAGATGGACCCTTCTTGAATTCATATTTCGGCAAGAGCCAAACCATCCTCGATGTCGCCTTTCTATCCTGGAAAACGCCTTTCTACAAAGGGCGAACGCTGTACGGTGCGCTATGTTGGCGAAGTCAAAGGCAAACAAGGCCAGTGGCTAGGCGTGGAATGGGATGACCCTACCCGAGGAAAGCACTCTGGAACTCACGACGGGGTTGAGTACTTCAAGTGTAGGTTTTTCTCAACATCTTGAATAGTTTTGGAGTAGTCCTGATCTCAATCAAAGGTNAGGAGTTTGCATCCCACACCCGGCTCTTTCCTTCGTCCCTCGGCAGCGTGGGATCAACCCAGGACTTTCCTCGAAGCACTGAAAACGAAATACGCGGCCATCGAAACTGGAGAGCATGCATCGAATCATAATGTCATCAGAATCAGCGGCAAGGAAGCTGAAGAAGTCGGTTTTGAAAAGATCGCCCGCCAGCAAGCTCAACTGCAGAATCTTCGCATTGTGGTATTGAATGACTTGCTCGTCAAGGCTTACGATGTAGATACCACAAATCCGGAAGACAATCTGGACCGGATACCAGAGACATGTCCAAACATCACTGATCTCGACCTGGGCAGGAATTTGTTCGAAACTTTGTCTGAGATCTCCGATATATGTGATCGTCTACCAAAACTAAAGTTCTTAAGGCTAGAGTAGGTATTCGAGATGTTGTTATTGATGGTTGCTAATTCAAGCCAGNNTGCAAATCGTCTACAAAGTCTTCTTGGTCCGGGAAGCTCTTCTGATGAGGCTAGTTCTGGTCTGGCTCGGGTCACTTCTGCAAGTCTTGATCATATGCTATGCACAGGCNNGAAGAAGTCGGTCGCCCCTCTTTGCTAAACAATGATCGGCATACTGATTCTTGAATAGCTCGAAATTCTCCTACGATCCATGCCGAATATTGAGGAGCTATCAGCATCGAGCAACCAGCTGGGCTCGTTGGATGATTGCAGCTTACCAAGTATGTTGACCTCACTTACCTTGGAGGACAACAATTTCTCAGGTCTCGAGGATGTACAACACCTAGGCGAATGCTGTCCACAACTCCGCACTCTGAACCTCAAGAACAACCAGCTCTCTCACACCTCGAGGAACTCACAGCACAAAGGTGCCCTCAAGCTACCGGAAACAATAGTCGATCTAGATCTCGCATACAATAACATAACATCGTGGAATATCATCAACGAACTATCGACGACCTTTCCAGGATTGAAGCATTTACGTATAGCTCACAACCCTTTATTCTCTACACTACGCTCGGCCGACAGCAAGCTACTGACCTCAGCTGACGGCTACATGCTCACAATCGCCCGGCTGCCTCAGCTCGAGACTCTCAACTACTCCAAGATTACCGACAAGGAGCGTCTGAACTCGGAAACGTACTACCTCTCTCAGATCGGGAGAGAGCTATCTCTGACACCCAAGGAAAAGGAAAAGGACATCCTGGCCTCTCATCCAAGGTGGAAGCAGCTGTGCGAGGAGTATGGCGAGCCGAAGGTTGAGCGTCAAGCAGAAAGCGGAATTGATCCCAACTCACTAGCAGCACGGCTACTTGAATGTACAGTTTATTCGTCGGCAGCAGCTGGGAAGATCGATCTACCTAACAAACAANNAAATCCGCTAGTAGTCGAGATACCCAAAGCCTGCAGCATCTACAAGGTCCATGGAATTCTCGGCAGGCGTCTAGGTGTCGAGCCTACTCATCTCCGCTTGATCTTGGAGACTGGCGAGAAAGATCGCGTAGACATGGCAACATGGAACGGGGTAGAAGAATGGGATTCTGATGAAGAGGATGCAGAAGAGATCGGTGAAGAGTGGAAGGAAAGAGAGGAGGAGCTTGTTCCAGGTACGAGACCACTGGGCACATTTGTCGATGGATCGAATGCAAGAATCAGGGTCGAAATTAANGATCAGTCCAAGCATAACAGGTTGACATTCGGGAAGAGATGCTCTGTAGATAAAGTGCACATGCGAGGGAAGCACGATAGAGGTTGCAATTAGACCCAGACATTTCGTCACCCTGACCAATCCCCCACACCCGTGCGCACCTTCCCTCCCAACCCCTATGTCTTCACCTCAGTCTGTTCGTTCGGACATGTTCTCTTGCAACTCTTGCAATAGCTCCAGTCAGCACTCATAACGATTCTTTCCAATGTTTTTTCGTCTTTTCTCACACCGGCTGCCAGCGGCTATTATATGTCGCGTCTGCCTGCGGCTGCCTGTCGCTGCCTGGAGAGGACTGGAAGCCAGCCCTCTCCGAAACTCTGGTGCCGCTTCCTTCGTGCGCCCAGTCTCCAACATCCAATTTCCCAAGACTCGAGCATCAACTGAGATTTGCAGAGATATAAGTAGCCGATCGAACCCTCAATCAAGCTTTATCAAGAAAGTAGCTACATCCGCATTCAAAACCCACATACGCCATGTCGACTCCAGGGACAATTCAACAGAACACAGTCCCGGACAATATCAAATGCCATCACTTTAGCAACGATACTGGACAGCAAATATTCCCTGGCCTGGGTATGGATCTTGTCGCCTCGGGGTACAATCAGTACAAATGCCCACATCATCGGCTGGTGGACGTTGATCCAACTGCCTGGACTGGAGCCCTTCTCGCACTTCGCGAACTCAACATGATGATCGCCATGCAGAAGCTCATGGAGAAGCCCGAATGGTTTCGCAAGGTCTTCGACGACACCATCTGCGATAAGTGGATGGCCGAGCTCATAAGTCAAGCGGAAGACTTTAGTGCACTCATGTGGCAATATTGCGTTGCCGAGCTTCGCGACAAGGCCAAAACATTAAAGGAGACTGGTATTGTCGCACCCATCGACGTTGACGCACAGGTGGTCTATTCGGACAGTACAATCTCTCAGGAGTTGAGACATGATCTCAACCGAGCCGTTGCCTCACTGGAGAACGTGCCCGACAAAGACAAGGACTGGCATCCCAGGACTCGGGATAGAGTTCTCGACCTTGTTCACCCTTCTCTCTTTCCTTTGATTTATGGACATTCCAGGGTCTTGAAGGAAGGCGTAGTTGGGCTCGAAGACTGCACGTCTTATTGCGGACAAGGAGAAGTAATCGCTAAACCCAAAGTCTATACTGATTACTACTCAGACGAGTTCCAGTGGCTGCCTTGCGACGTCAAGCTCGAAGGTGAAAGCGAGGTGAAGATGGTCAGCTACATCAATAATCTACACCCTCGAGAACATGCCGGGCTCTATCATCTGATCGAAAAAGTCATCGCAAAAGCAGTACCTCTTTGGGATCAAGTACTCAGCCACACCGGTGGCTCACTTTCTGTAAACAACGGCACTTTAAGAAGCCGTGATTATGTCAGACCATTTCACCCTCGTATCGAGATCAATGACTTCCACTACGAGTGGGTCCATGGCAGAGATGAGCGACCGGGGGTTGGACTCTGGGTAGACATCCAGATACCGAAGAAGAGAAAGCAGAGCTCAAGGCTTTATCAGATGCTGCTGGTGCTTTTGATCACGATTGGTCAGGTATTAGCCACAAGATCGACAAAGAACAAAAAGGCATCGACAGTGACGACAGCTATGAGTTAGACGCGTGGTGGAGGGCTAATATGCGCACCTTGGCCCTTCCTGAGCCAAAGTCCTACAAACCTCGCGAAGTTTTGGAAGAACCACTGCTTGATCTTCGCAAAGAGTACGCCGATAGCGGATTGCAGGTCATCGTCAAGCTGGCCAATACCTACCTGACGCCTGATGATCCAGTATGGGAAGGAGGTAGCTGGCACGTCGAAGGTAAGGCATCAACGCGAATCGGACAACACGATGCTGACTGAATCCCAAGGTCTCTTGAACGAACACATTGTCGCGACGGCCATTTATTATTTCTCAAACGACAACATCACACCCTCCTATTTGAAATTCCGTCACAACTGCAACGAAGAAGCTCATCTAGATCTGGAGTACGAACAAGGTGATTGGGAGCATCTCGAGAAGATCACCGGCTTCCAGAATGACCAAGATGTCCTTATTCAGAATCTCGGCAGTGTACTGTGTGAGCAAGGTCGTCTACTGGCGTTTCCAAACGTTTTGCAGCACAATGTCGGTTCCTTCCAACTCGAGGACAACACACGGCCCGGCGAGAGAAAGATCCTAGCCCTGTTTCTGGTGGATCCACATGTACGCATCTTGTCCACGTCAAAGGTTCCCCCACAGCAAAAACATTGGTGGGAAAGCGAAGTCCGTGAGCAGCGCGACAACATCGATAGCCTGAAGACGTTGCCAAACGAATTGATGGAACGAGTCTTTCAAGAGGTCACGGACTTCCCCATTTCCATGGAAGCGGCCAAGGGGTTCAGGGAGGAATTGATGGAGGAGCGCGGACCACTCGCCCAGTCCATGATTGATTGCGAAGCCACCTTTTACTTTTGTGAGCACTGAAGAATTCGAGAAGATTTAGTTGGACAGTCTCCGATATCAATATCAAGTCCATGACTGTCATCCGGCAGAAACTTCATGTGGAGTGTTGTGATGGGGAGGCAGAGTCAAAATGTCTGGTCAGTGACCTGTCACAAAAGACCAACGTGGTGGCATTCTCAGACACAAGACCTCATGGTCTTCAAAGGTCGTGTGAGTATCTCGATCTCGTTGGTGACGGGACGTGTATCGATTATCTGTCGTATCCACCTCGTGAACATACCATCATTATATACATGGAGAAATACTCTTCCGTCTCCTTTTTTTTTCCCTCCCTCTCCCGTTTGCTTCTCCTTGCTCGTTTTAATCAAGTCTCTTTTCGTATTACCGTAGATTATACTTGCACCTTCGATCTTTGCCATGGTAGAAGTGGATATATCTTCAGAGTCTCCATATCCTTGGACAATGGCTCGGATCCGACTGGGCATGAGAAATAGATGTTGGTCACAACTGGGGTGGTTTGTGCGATGTTCAGCTCTTCAAATGTTGCTCTGTGGGGGTTTCGTGGGAGAAATGGTGGTATCACAGACGGAGGCAAAGAGAAATCGATGAGCATTCGGATCTTGGGAAGACAGTGACGACAGAGCATTAGTGAAGAGCCAAAACTAAGAATAAGCATTAAACATTTTTGTTTTTCATTAAGATGATATAAAAAAGGGGGTATATGTAGTAAGAAGAAGAATAATAATATTGACAGAGAAGAGAAGAAGTCTCACACAGCACTGTCACCTCATCCGTAGTAGGATGTAGCAGAACTAGAAGGGAGTGGTGTACGAATGACACTCTGTCCACTTTCGGAGCTTTCCAATCGATGGAGACTGGCTGTGGGTGAGCCGTTGCCGTCCGCCATGCCTCGTCGACCATTCGGTGCTGTTCTGCGGACCGAGTTCATGGTCGAAAAGGTCTGTTCGGATGGTGTGCGGTAGACAGTTTTGGCAGTCTGAGATGTGTGTGGGCGAGGCGTTGAGAATGGAGCTGCACGACGGGTGCTCGGAGAGGGTGTGCGTGCGACAGACATGGATGCGCGTGGTGTATAGAAGGATGGTAGTCTCGAGCCAGGGGTACGAGCGCGAAAGACTGATCCAGCGATAGAGGAGGAAATGCTATCGCTGCGAGAAGAGATGGAAGATAAGCTTGAAGTTTCGGAGGAAACATCTGAACCAGCGCGGGCCATGTCGATTATTTTGGGTGGTAATTGGTTCATGTTGGCCAGTAGAGTTGCAAAAGCCGACATGAGGTCTTCGAATTCATCCTCGTTCATGGGTATTGGAGAGAATCGAGCATGTTCATAGCGCTGAACAAAGTCTTGGCCGGCATCTGGTGGGATGAGGCCGAGGCCAGAGAGTTGTGCCAGGTATGAGCGCATGTCAGCGGTGGGCTTTCTCGAAAGCACATTCACGATCCGCGATTCGGGCGTAGCGGTAGCATCCTGTGTTATGAGAAGCGGAGGAGCTAGCGAAACAGCACGGGCTTCAATGAGATTGGGTAGCTCCATGACAACGGTGCGAAATTGGATATGAGGGGCGAGGTTTGCATCGAGCTCAGAGGGTGAAGACCAGCCGGCGTGTGAGACGCGACCCCAAGGAGGATGATGTGGATCGATGTGGACTATGTTGCCGACGGTGGTGGGCTCGCTGTGGTCGGAGTCACTGTAAAGCTTCTTGTTGCGTGCAAGCTCGGGTTGGAGATTCCTAGGCTTCGTCTCGAAGGCAATCCTAGCGCTTCTATTTGCGGCCTTGACGACCTCTTTGCGAACATTTTTGCTGACCTCGCCGGGCTGTACAGGAATCCAAGACTTGCCAACGGCGGCGAGAACGGAACGGTTGGTGTAGAGTCGACTCGAGTAGATGAAGAGGGTAAAGACGATGACCAGGACGTAGACACCGCCGACCTCGAAGACATACTGATAGGCACTGGCGCGGAGAGCGGTATAGATGAGAGTTGCCGGAGTGATGGCCAATAAAATGAGGATAATGAGGAAGAGGGTGGTATATGTTGTGCTGTAGAAGATGCGGAAGAAAGGAATGCGAAAGGGGAGTCGCGGGCGCTTGACCATCGGGGGCAGGACATGCCCTCAGGCGTGGTGGCGGCTATGGCATGCAGAGTCGTGTTTGTTATAGCATGCTACGAGTAGGAAAACAAGAGCCGGGCCTGATGACGTCTCTCTGGGGGTCCTTGGCGGGCGAGGCGAAAATGGCGCTGACGGCGACCGGGAGCGAGTCGCGAGGTCCAGGAGGGTAGCAGTAGTATAGGAACTCTGAGGAAAAGAAGGAAGGCGCGAGTTGGTCGTCGAGTCCTGCCGGACAGTGATATCAAGGAAGGTGGAAATGATCATCGCCTCCGCAAACAGCAACCGCGACCGACTCCATGTGGCATCGTTGCCAAGACATTTCCCTTGAAACCATTCATGTCCTTCTTTCCTTCAAACACTTCAATACGTTCTACACCTCACAATGCCGTCCGCCGAACCCATCCCCGATACTCAGATCCCCAGTCCACCGCCAGACCTCTCCGACAAGCTTCCTAGACTCATCCCTCGACGCAAGCAAGACAAGTCGACCGAACCTCCGTTAAATCCACCACCACCGACGCCCGCTCTCCCTGCTGCCCCACCTAAGAACGACGTCGAGTACCAGCATCCTACGCGCCGTATCCTCTCCAAGAAAGATCATGATCTGTTCCTGAACTCTCCCACATATGACTTGGTCACGGCTTTCGTCTTTGGCCTCTCCGACTCGGTCCGCCAAACAACAGTCACTTCTGTACAAAAGACGGAAAGACATGGTGTCGTTGACACGATTGTGAACATCCTAGAAGAGGCAGAGAAGACAGTCGCCCAATGTCCTGCTGAAGACGCTGGCGGCTCTCGCTTTGGCAACAAGGCCTTTGTCACATACCTCGACAAGATCGAGACACTACTCAAGCCATGGCACGATAAGCTGGGCGTGACAGATGCCGCTGCTCAGGATGAGGTCTCGACATACATCTTCCATTCGTTCGGTAACAAGACCCGCATCGACTATGGCTCTGGTCACGAGCTCAACTTCCTCATCTGGCTATTGTGTCTGAACCGCCTGGACCTTCTTCCTCAGTCCACCTTCCCACAGATCGCCCTCGTAGTCTTCCCTCGCTATCTCCGTGTCCTGCGTATCGTCCAGTCCACATATTACCTCGAACCCGCTGGCTCACACGGCGTGTGGGGTCTCGACGACTACCAGTTCGCTCCCTTCCTCTTCGGCAGCGCTCAGCTCGTACACCACCCCCATATCCGTCCCATGTCCATCCACAAACCTCTCATCCTCGAAGAATGCTCCAAGGACTACCTCTACCTCGAACAAGTCGCCTACGTCAACAGCGTCAAGAATGTTGACGGCCTGCGCTGGCATTCACCCATGCTCGACGACATCAGCAGCGCAAAGAACTGGGAAAAGGTCGAAGCCGGCATGAAGAAAATGTTTGTCGCTGAAGTCTTGGGCAAGCTCCCCGTTATGCAACACTTTTTGTTCGGTGGCCTCGTACCTGCCGTTGACGGCATGAGCACCGAAGACGAGACCGATGTTGCTGGTGAGATGGAAGAGACAGAAGGTGGACAAGGTCAAGTTGTCCCCGAAGGCGGTATGAAGCACGTTCACGATCACAGCGGCAAGACATGGGATGATTGCTGTGGCATCAAAGTTCCCTCTGCCATTGGCGCCATGCAAGAAATGAAGAAGCGGCAAGGTGGTGAGTCCCTGAGGAGACTGCCTTTCGACTAGAATGTTTCCATCTCCCGTAGATTCTCTTTGCCTCAAAAATGATACCCCTTTCTTTGATGACTACACCCACGCTGCAGAAACAAAACTTGTTAGTGATCGCGTTCGATGCAGCAAACCTCGGCATTCGATAGGACTGGAGCAACAGAACCAAGACTCAACTTGGGGGAAACATCGAAAGCCATGATTGCGACCAACCGAGGCAGAGACTCGAACTCACCACCTCTGGATTCTGTTGATGCTAGACTTGTGAAAGAGGTTTTCCATCGAGTAGATGCCACCGTATGAGTCACAGGGCCAATCTCTGGATTGAAGATTTAGTTTGGAGCAATATGGGATTGCAATTAGGTGAGTGAGGAACGTGAAAAGTGAAGGTAAGGAGAATGTTGTCTTGAAAGCTGGACATCAATCTCACTCAATCGGACCAGTCTCCAAAGACGAGCTCATAAGAGATGTCCAGCCTGTTTTTGTTCCTTCTGTAGTACACTGGAAAAGGAGAACAGCACCTACATGTATTGCGAGAATGCCTTTTTCCAAAGATGTGACTTTCTCATTCTCTATTCCTTCGATACATTTTGTCGGGGGTCTTCATCTTAGACATCACCACCACCACCCTCCTCAACACCATCACTAACAATTCTGATCCCCTTGCCTTTTCCCTTTGCATCTTTTGCAGCCACTACCTCCACACTACTGTCTCCATCACTACTGTTGTCCCTTGCTCCAGAAAACGAACTCATGCTTTTGAGTCCGTCGAGCCATTTTGCTATATAGCCTTGCTTGTTTACCGCCGTGTTATCTCCCACAGTTTTTCCATCATCATTGGCAGTCTGAGTCTGCTGCTGCTGTTGCTGCTGTTGCAGCTTTTTGGGAAGTAAACGGAGTTGGTGTTGATGCGCGGTACTCAAGTCGATGAGTCGTGAGCGAAAGTCTTTGGTGCGGGAATCGTGGCGAGCGTGCTCGGTATCGAGGGTTTCGTGTAGTTTTGTGATGGTGAGGGTGTGGCGTGTGTCTTCGTTCTCAATGTTCTGACGTAGAGTCTTGACTTGGTTGGCTGGATGTTGGTCCTGTGTTGCACTGAGGGGGTTCTGGGTAGATGGTGAAGTGGTAAGATTTTGGTGATGAGATCGCTGTTGGGTGCAAAGGGTTAGGATGAGAGATGTTTGATGGGCTTGTTGAGGGATATGGCGTACTGGAGAGGAGGGAGAGCGGTGACGGGAATGATGTCTGTGTCTCTCGTGTGATCTTTCTCTTGGTTTGTCTCCTCGAGGACTTTGTCCTTGTCGTTCTCTAGTGTGGGAGTGGTGGCGAGAGATGCGTCGACCATCTTGGATGGCTTTGGAGTTGGATTTGGGTCTTGATGGGGAGCTATGGTGGTCGTCGGTGATCTCAAAGTGGCAGCAGATATACAGACAAGGAGGCATGATTGTTGATGTGTAGATCTGCAAGTCATGTCGAGCATGCTCTTCTTGTAGAGGATGGTGATTTCCATTGGCGTTTGCAAGCACTGAGACATTGGTGCCCGTCAACCCAAAGGTATTTACAACACGTCGGCATCCATGGTGTTGTCTCATCAGCATCCATGCTGACGGTGTTCTGATCTGAGACTACAATCGAGATGAGATATGTATGTGTTTAGGTAATTGTTCATTCTTCGTAGCTATGTGAGATAAATCACCCGCAGATGCCTAATAGTACATTACGTATTGCTGAGGTATGGAATATGAGGTTCGATTAAACGCGATCATCAAAAGTGTCATCGTCGTCTGCAAGGTCGTATCCAGGCTCGCTGACGTATGGAGGGCTGTAAATGAGAAACCGTCAGACTTGCCATGTCGTGAATAGACACCGCTCGAAAAGAGTGTTTGGGACAGTCTCCTACATAAAGTAGTTTCTTAGGCCAACAATGCCGGCAGTCATGACGGCAAAGCCACCTAACATCTTGCTCCAGTCGGGGTTGCCGACAGTGGCCTGGCCAACGCTCAGGGCAACAAGATCGTAGACGAGGCATCCGCCGAAGATCCAGTCGCTGCAAGCAGCGAGACCGGCGAATCCAGCGCCGGTGATGGCCTTGATGGCGGGGCTAGGGAGAACATCCTTGTAGTATGCAACACTGAGGTTGTGGACGAAGTCGAGGACGCCAATGCCGGCGAAGGTCTTCGCGTTGACGTGTGTGAGAACGGACGAGAGGGACTTGGTGTTCATGGGGCCGAGCTTGGTGAAGATGAAGTAAAGCTGGCTGAGAGAGTTGACGACAACGAAGATGTTGGAGATCTTGAGCTGCTCGCTGTTCCAGAAGAACATCCNAGCTTTGTAGAATTAGCGTCTCTTCATGCCAGGAAGAAAACATATGACTTACGTTCCAATGCAAAAGTTACCAAGGGCATAGTAAGGGACAAAGTTGACAATCTGGTCCAGCTCGCTCTTCTCCTTGGGCTTGCTGGGGTCAAGCTTCCACAGACGGTACAACCATGCCAACTGTACAATCTGCTGAGGTGCAAAGAAGCCGCCAATGAAGTAAGGCTGGGGGCTCCAGAAGGAGATGTTTCTGTCGTTGATTTCCTTCATCGAAGGAGTGCTGTTAAGTCCATACTGCTGGAGCGCAAAGTCATAGATGAACGATGCAGGTGCGAGCCACTTGGCGGTGCTGTATTCGAGACCCATGGTTGCGATGTGTTTTGAGTGAAGTTGTTTGGTTGAGAGNNTGTGTTGGTATGAGGAAAAGAAGGAGTACCTGCCTATACATATTCTACTAAGATCACTAAGGAATGCCGTCAAAAGTCATGAACTCATCATCAAGCTCAAGAGTGATGACGTTTGTAAGATCCATCTCGGTGTTTGTTTTACCCCGGGCCCGATCTCCTGATCTACAACCTTACTTTTGGAGCCTCATAAGAGCCTCAGGCATCCAAATCACAGACTCACTCAAGCTGCGATGAACCCGTCTAAAGGAAAGAGGAGAGATGGCTGAGTAAAAGTGGCTCGGCAGCAGCTCATCGAGTCGCTCCAAGTCGATGACAGCTCCGTCAGACGCCAAGTCTCCACCAACCCGCCATTATTAATATGGTATTGATGTTGGAGGCCTGATCCCTCACAAGCTACCTGGCTTTCTCCTCCCTTCGTAGTGACTGTCACAGTGTCACCCAAGCAGACATTATACTCCTGGCTCACCATCTCGCCCACCATGCCAGTGGCCTTTCATCTCTTCACACAACTACCCACCGAGCTGCGACTGAAAGTATGGCGTTACTGTCTTCCGCATCGAGTATGCGAACTTGATCAGCCTGTGGACCGCATCGTTTTCGGCCTTGACGATGACAACTCCTCACTCGCACCGTGTCGGCTCTACCAAACGACCTATCAAAACGGACGACCACCACTCATAAGCCATGTATGTCGTGAATCGCGCTTTGTTGCGACCAGGTCCGGCGGCTTTGCTACGGTTTGCGACCCAGATCGGCCACTCGACACTCAGTGGATCTCAGGCACGGACAACTCGGATGCCTGGTTTGACACAACTCGTGATTCACCTCACCTCAACTGGACCCGCGAATACGAAGCTGATTATGATTATTCTGGCGACTCCCTCCAATGTGTCGTGTGGGAAGCTTTGCGGATGTCTGCCACCCCCTCCATTATGTTGACATATCTCGATCCCGCAGCGAATGAGCCTCATGCTCCTAGACTGTCTCTGCAGAGTCAGCCTGCGTCACCTGTCCACAAGGTTGTGACCCCAGATGATCTCAAAGCCATCAATGCATACAAACAGCTACCAGCATGGCTAGTCGTCATGCAAGTTATTGTTGTGCATGCCCATCCCCACGAGGCGATAGCCACTGGTCTATTCGGCCTGTTGGGAGATGCCCCCGTGCAAGTGGTTCCAGCATCAGCACAAGACAAGCTGGACAGATTCTATGACCTAGCTGAGGATTGTGAAGGGAAACAGCCTGTCACTGTTGCACAAGATCTTACGCGACGATCTGCCGATTCGATGAGGCAACGACTGAGACGTGTGATCACAACGAAATTTCACTCTGATGAGTTGACCACGATTATGCATCCGGCAATCATGTTTCGTCTGTGCGCTCGAATGTGCAATCATCGCGTCGAGACGTGACATGGACAACGCACAACAAGTTGGGGTCCTGAACAGGAGAAGCCGTGAGTGAAATCATCACTTCAAGTCAAGCTATTCCGACTTGTTTGCAACTGACTTGAATTGCGCTCGAAACGATTCAATTTGAAAACAAAACAAAAGAGAGAAGAGAACAAAAGATCCAAGCCGAAATTGCAGAACGAAGCACTAAAGGGTGTCATCGACAATTGCCGAGCAACTTTGTAACAATTGCCTTACACGCCTGTATAGCAGTCAAATGTCTTCTGTTGTCTTTGGTCATGGTGTCGAACGTGGCAGCCCAATGCTTGACAGCATCTAACAAATGTTGAGGCTCGCTCTTATGCTTCTCGAGGGTGGCTTGTGTGTCGATGGCTTCGTATGAGCCTCCATTCTGCAACTGGAGCTTTTGCGTCTCGACTTCCTGCATGAAGCATTTAGCATTATGCGAAGCAAAGTAGTGTCGCAAGCATCACTTACCCACGTGATTCCGTTCTTGCTAAGCTCGTTGTTGAGTTCGGTTGTTAGAGCAAGGGCCTGATCAGCTACGCGAGCGTTGTGCACCATGAACATAGCCTGCCGGGCTTCGCTCAGCTCTAACCTGAGAGCTCCATCTCCCACCTTTTGGCGACACTTTTGGATTCTTTCCGTAACCACTTGAAAGACCTCTCCAAAGCTGGGTGAAACTCTGATTCCACCATTGGGAAAGAGCTTCTTGGGGTCAACAGTGTTACTATATCCGCTTACATGGTTTTGCAGCTCGGCAGCTGTCCCAAACACGTCTGGATGAAGATCAGAGCCGACATTTGTCGCACCGGTCCAAGCCGGGCTGTTATTGCCGACGAGTTGAATGTGTCGCAGAAATTCGTCAAAATAACAGCTGCCGTCAGCTACCGTTCCTCTGCAACCGCTCGCGATACCATCGGGGTTAGATTCCCCATGAAAGGCCAAGATTTCCATACTGTATCCGTACCAGAGATACATTGTCTATGCCATGAGTTTGGTTAGCTACTGTGCCTTTCCGTACAAAAAATGACAACATCACTTGCCTGGAAAGGTGCCGCTGCAAGGCTACCAAAGACACCCGTCGCCCACAGCGATAGATAAAAGCAAAGAGCATGTAACTTCATGATGCCTTGAAAGTCAAGGTATACAGAGACTTGTGATTTAGGCAATGGATAGACCAGCACGCGAACTGATTATCAAGACCTTGGAGAGTTGGCCAGAAGACAGGATGGTCTAACAAAACGACACAACTGAAAGACCATCACATGTTGGTGATGGCAGTCCATTCTATAAGCGAGATTAGGTTCAATCCTATGGTTGAATCATTAGGCTCGGATGCAGAGTGAGGAAAGGTTTTGAAGCCACCAACATGCTATAGGCCATTACAGCCCTCGTCTGGCACGCCTTACGGTCGAGGCCTTTTCTTGGCTCTATACGTGTGCATCACACGACGCTCAAGGTACGCAGGAAACCATGCTCACAATCTGTCAGACGCCACAATCTTACACTATGCTCTATCACAATGTAACATCGACGGGCTTGTCAGAGCCTGTGATTGCTAGGCGAGGCCTTAGGAGGAAGATTATAGTCTACCTTACATGACACAAATAGCAAAAGCCACCATTCCTTCGGGGCTGAGTATGCTTCCATGCTGACACTTCTAGGGATTGCACCTGCAGATTCACCTAAATAAGATGAAGTGGATTCGTCTAGAACAAGACGGCATGGCGAAAGCTTGAGGAAGGATTGCCAAGGCATTATTATATAGCAGTCTTGGCAAGTAGGATTGCACTATATTGATAACTGTGTTGGTGGTTGCTTCCCTGCTTACTTGCATACAGGCCTCAAAATACGAGTTTGCTTGTCGAAGGATCAGCCACATGATGGTCCGCCTGTGTCAAACTCTCAAAGAGATCGTTCAGAATGACCTACGGATTTAGCTCGATCAATCAATTTGCTAAAATGGCAATGCACGAGCTGCCGTCTGAAGGCTGACTTCTGCAGCTGCTATAACCAGGACTGATCTCTGTTCAATTCCACAAAGACACCCCGGTCCAGGACTGTCGAACTTAGACAATGGCATTTTGTTTCTCGCCTTTTCATCTCATTCTCTTGGTCACCATATTCTTCTCCTTGTCCAGAGCGCAGGATTCTGATGGCCCTTCCCCTACGATACTGGCTTCGCGCCAGACGTTGTTGCCGTCGATATGCCCTGGAATAATGACTTTCCAACATATGAAGGCATCACTGCGCCAAACTTGGACGACGTAGATGTCAACACCACCGACCCATCCGCTGACCTATATGATACGAATTATGTAGCTTCACTGTCTGGTAGATCTGCCCAAGACTTCTTCCTTCGAATCATGCCTCTTGGAGCTTCTATTACCGAAGGCGTACGGTCCAGTGACGGTAACGGATATCGGAGGGCCATTCGTGATCAGCTCCGATTTAAGGGCTGGAAGGTCAACATGGTTGGCTCGAAACAGAATGGCAAGATGGCGGACAGGGTAAGTATTATTGTTGCGTGATGCCTTTCTCACTACAAAAACTGACCATTGCTCGATCCCAAAAGGACAACGAGGGCCATCCAGGCTGGGTCATCTCACAAGTGCACAGCGCATGGTCAGCTTCTGCGTGGATGAAGCCGAATCTCGTACTTCTGAACGTAGGAACAAACGATTGTGTTCAAAATATCGACACGGGCAATGCTGGAACTCGTGTCAAGCAGCTTATTGACGATATTTTCACCTCAGTGCCTGGTGTGACCATCATTCTATCCACTCTCCTTCCTGGCCGGGACTTCAATACTTGTGCTACCTCCGTTTCGGATCAATACCGTGAGCTGGTTATGAACTACTTCAACGCGGACCCTAAAGCCAGACTCCATCTTGCCGACATGAATGCATTCATCAAGCTTAGTGATCTTTCCGATGACGGCATTCATCCACTCGACCCCGGATATAGGAAGATGGCGGCAGTATGGTGGGACGCAATATCCAGGATAGAGAGCACAATACAAGCTCCAGCCAACGACAACGGAATTGTCGATACTGGTTTTTCGGCAGTTCACAACTGTACAAAGGTTGCTGGCAATGCTCGAGGACCTGTCAAGTCACAACAAGGTAGTGGTCACGACGATGGGCTATACACTCACCACTCTACATCCAAGGGCAATGTTCCTTCTGGTAAAGTATTTTTCGGTCCAGACGACAAAATCAACGCCGCTATACCTGAGCATATGTAAGCGAATCATACAGTGGTCATAAAATACTCAAGCTAACCACAAACGTTATCAGGTTCTTTGCTCAGTTGGTAAACTCTGGTGGTGCGGATCGTGCTGGAGCGCTTGACGATTGGGTTCGTGTAGAACACAAGGCGGATGGCACCAATACTTACTGGCTCCGTGTGAACAAAGGTGATGGCACTTTTGCAGATCACGTCACCTTTGACGTGGATATGAACTGCGACGGTGGCCCAACATACTGGTTTGCGGACTTCAACAATGATGGTTTGGACGACTTCTTCTGTTTAGGAGGTGGTTCTAGAGTGTCGGTATCATTGAACCGAGGGGGCAATCCTCCAAAGTTTGAGCACATCGGTCAAGTACGTGTTACTGATCCTGCAAGAAGTTTCACGCTGACCAACTCAAGGTGGTTCCCGAGCATGCTGGCTACACGGCCACGGACGTTCGCATTGCAGATATTGAGTATGAAGTTGCCCTTCCTGGAGTCGTAACACACTGACCATAGGTACCATCTAGCGGCGATGGTAGAGCTGATTACTGTCTCATTGGACACAACGGTGATATCCTGTTAGTGTCACATCCCTTCTACTACTCATGATTAGTCTGACCAGTCAAAGTTGCTCCCGCAATCAGGGACAGGGGGACAGTTATAGCTGGCAGGGATTCAAAACTGTTGGTGGCCTGCGAGAGGTAGTCTTCACCGCCAAGGGCAAAGGTGATGCGTCTGGAGTCCGGCTAGGTCAGTATCAATCCTGCGTCGTTACAAGCCGAATCACTGACATTGCTTCATATAGCCGATTTGAATGGCGAGTGAGTACCACAAGCTTACATCAGTTTGTTTCGGACTAACCAATCATTCTCCCAGCTTCCGCAGCGATTGGATGTGGATCGGCGACCAAGGTGATATTGATACTTGGATCAATCAGCGTGGGTGGGGAACCGGCATTGTAAGTGCCTGGTCACGATCTTGCTTCAACCAGTGGTTGATATTTCGTTTCTAGGTTCCCGACTGGACTCATTCTGGTATAACTCATGGCGGTATGGGCACACTAGGTGTACGCAAACAAATCAAGTTTGGACGGATCTATGGTTCTGGAAGATTAGACTATGTTTACTTCAAGAAGGTGAGCGACGGATATGAGATGCATGTTTGGCAGAATAATGGTGGCGGAGGCACCAGAAGAAAAAGGTAACTTGCTTGACCACCAAACTTTATGCCGTTTTCTGATTTTGCTCTATAGGTGACGGTGTCTTCTACTGCGACATGAGGAACACAGGCTCAGATGACTATGTGTGGATCTACAGCGATGGTCATGCTGACTCTGGAGACTTCTACGCGAACATACACGAGCCACCTGGTTGGGGTCACGAGACGAAGATCACACTCAAAGTTCCTGGCCCGAGGATCGGAGTTCATCTTGCGGATTGGAATGGAGATGGCAAGTGCGATGTCTTGGTTCAAGACAAGAAGACTGGTGCCCTCACCATGTGGGAGAACCGCTACGACGCGTCGACAAATACTCTGAAGTTTGCTAATGTAGGTGTTGTCACCGGAGCTGCCACTTGTACGCAAGGCTGGGGCGTGGGCATCTTCGATCGAGGCATGGCTGTCGTCGATATCGAGTAAGAAACATCTAGTCTTTCTGGTGAGCGTCAGCAGCTAACAATAGTTGCTCCAGCGGTGATGGACGAGCTGATGTACTCTGCATCGAACCAAACGGTAGAACCACAGCATGGCTCAACCCTAAATCGGGACTTGTAGACGTCGGTCAAATCAAGTTCAGCGAGGGTGGGACAGAGCGAACATCAGGTTCGCCGATGTGGAGGCCTCAGGAAGAGCAGACTTAATTCATCTTGACAAATTTACTGGCGCCGCAACCGTTGTCAAGAATAATGGACACAAGCCAGGAGGCCGTGGGAGCTCGTTTTCTTGGACAAACCGAGGCGTGCTGTACTCTCCTATCGACCGAGGCGAAACTATGGTACGTTCAACACCTCCCCGCTTGTTTCCTAATGCTGACTCTCTCGGCTGCAGCACTTTTGCAAATCAAGGTGGATTGGGCAGAGCTGATCTTATTCATGTCCTTCCTGTCAGTAACCAGGTAAGTTCAGTTCTATCTTTATCAACCGACGGATCCCACGCTAAACAACACTAAAGGCCTGGACCTACTTCAATGAATGCGGACAGGGCAGTGGGGAGATGACGGATCTGTTGGTAAGCCATCCCATGCTTCTACACTGACTCCTACTGATGTTTTGCTTTGTACTACAGCCGACCCTGGTCTTCCGTTCTATTCCAGTGACAGTGGCAACAGCGGCAGTCACGACGGAGATGGTGATACTGATGATCCAGACGGCGACGGCTTCGGTGGCGACGAAGACTTTGAGGTCTGCGACTTTTCAAAAACCTTCAAGAATCTTGACGATCTCTCCGCAGCTGCAGATGGTCTTCGTTCGGACTGCATCGCCGTTTACACACTCGAAACTCTTATCACCATGCTCGATGCTGCTTACGCTAACTACACATCTGTCAACGACGGCTACGATGAAGAATTCGGCTACTATGTTACATACATCAAGAAGCTTGTGCCAGCGGTACTCGGCAACAGTTTCATGTTCGACGAGTCACATGCTACCAAATACATGGCTATACCGCCTGTTGGTACAGGCATGCAATGTAACATGCCATACTGATCCTTACAGTCGCGCACGTGCTGACCCGTTCATAGATTTTGACTGCCAGTTGGGAAGCAACAAATTCTCATGCTCTGACTACGAAGACCATCATATCGAGGGCACCACGGCCACCACGACTTTGACTCTCCGCGATGCTGACGGCTACAACAGCGCCCTCCTTAAAGCTGGCCTCTCACCCGACTGGGTCACCATGGGTGACTACGAAAAGGACCACTTGGAAGACGGCGGCAGAGCAAGTAGAAATTGGAGATACAAATTCTCAGACTTCCCCGTCCAGAACACATCCATGGTTGTCCCTAATCCCAAGGACGTTATAACCAACGGTCTGGGAAGCGTCGAAGATTTGCGCAGGCAAATGCAGGCGACGCTTTTGGACATGATTCTGGGCATCTGGACGGGAGGCTCGATACAAGATCCGGCGCAAGCATACAGCACACCCGTATTTATGCTCATGGAAGCGGTAGAGAACATGGCACAAGCCAAAGCACTCGGCAAGCAAGAAGAACAAGCCGAAGAAGCCGAAGAGGAGAAGCGCAAGAAGAACTTTATCCTCTTGATCATCAGTGTCGTTTTCTTGGTGGGTTTTTTCGATGACACTGTTCGTAAATGATGCTGACATACACAGGTTGTCCCTTTTGTAGGTGAAGAAGTCGCACTCGCGGGAGGCTTCACCACCATCGCACGCACCCTCGCCATCGCCGGCGAACTAGGCAACGCGGCTCTGGGCATTTACGACACAGTCGAAGACCCCAGTTCCGCGGTTGTCAATGTGCTCGGCATGTTGTTAGGCGTGGGCGCCATTGCCAAAGCGTCTCGTGACGGCAAGGGCATATCCGGCGTGGCGAGTGCAAGGAAAGGTATGTCTGCGGACTCGATATCGAGTCTGGGGAGTGTGTTTAAGAATCAGGATGACAAGCTGCAGAGTATCATGAAGGTTTGTAAGTTCTAAGGGCACGATGAGGGAATGTGCAAGACCAGTGGACTTCGGGTCTTCTGCTTCTCACGGCTTGGTAGCATCGCTGTATGAGATTCGTAGCAGTTCCACACTCAAGAGACAATACCCAACGAATATGGCCAAGTCAAATTTCGTAAACATCAAACGAACACGATCGAAAAGAAAAAACGATTAAAAAAAGAGAATAGAGACAAAAGAAAAGAAAAACAAAGATTGAAGAGAAAAGAGAAAAAGAGAAAAAAAAAAAAAAGAAAAAGCAAAGGAGAAACGAAACGAACCCCAAGCCTCCCTCCCGTTTCTCAAGAAATCATCTGGACAACTCATCTCGTGCACCCATCACATCATCATTTTTCTCAACCCCTGAGAAAAGGAACCACAAATAAGAAAACAGACACCAAATTTCACCGACGCAATCGCGAAACAAGCGCCCAGCCCTGTGAGTCGATCGAGTAGCATCAAGATTCGCGGGGCCCGTAGCAAAACAAAGCAAAAAGAGTCGTGTTGCGTTTTGAGGTCTTTTTCGCGCTCGCTCCAACTTGCCTTGCCGACGTGAGTGTGCGTGCTTCGGTTTTGGTATGGTCCGGAAGAAGACGAGATTTACGTGGTTGCCAAGTGTGGGTTTCTTGATATCAGAAGGGAGGGGGGGGGAGGAGAACGGTCGAATCGAGTCGGTCCGGGTCACGAAGCGACCGATTCGTTGTTCAATCATAGATTCGAGAATAACAGTATTATGTTCCAGCAGAGCATAAAAATCATTTCAAACACATTGAAGGAGAGAGCAATCGTGTGAGAAAAGTTGAGTTGTAAAAATATTGAAAGTCATAACAATTCGGGGTATGTACATTAAAAAAATCTCAGTGAGAATAAACCTCCCGATTACGTTCAGAACATTGCAAAGAAGGAATATACGCCTTTTTGCCCAAACCCATACACCAATGCTATGCCAAAAGAGAAATGCGAACTTTTGTCATAAAGACTTCCTGAAGTCTGTACGTTCGTTTACTTCTCCTCCTCAGCCTTGGAGGCGGTGCGGGAGACAGGGATGTTGCCCTGCTCAGCGACGCCAGAGGCGTAGGCATCCTCGGGGACCTTGGAACCGTCCCACTTGGAGGAGGTGATGGGGTTGACGTGGAGGATGTACATGGTGTCGATCTCCTCGAGCGAACGGTCCTTGGACTCGATGACGAAGAAGTAGACAATAACGGCAAGACCAAGACAGCAGCCACCAAAGACAAGACCGAAGAACCAGTGAATGTCGTCGACGATGACAGTGGAGAAGAGCGAGATCAAGAAGTTCCAGATCCAGTTGGAGGCAGTGGCAAGACCCATGCAGGTGGCGCGGTAGCGGGCAGGGTACAGCTCAGCAACAACGGCCCAGACAAGGGGTCCCCAGGTGGTGGCGAACGAGACGATGAACAGGCAGGTGAAGACGATGAGGACACTTCCAGCAGCCTGGTTGTTCTCCTTGGCGAAGGGGGGGAGCTCGAAGTAACCGACAAAGGCGTAGATCATGAAGCAGACAAAGGCCCAGAGAGCGCCGACAATGAGAGCCTTACGGCGACCACACTTGGCAACAACGTAGAGACCACCGAAAGTGCAGACAACGTTGACGGTACCGAGAATGATCTGGGTAACGTAGGAGTCGCTGAGACCAGTGGCCTGGAAGATGGTTGTACCATAGTAGAAAAAGAAGTTTGCTCCGGTAAGCTGCTGGCCAGCCTGGAGGGTCATACCGAGGATAGTACGGTAAGCCATGCGAGGACCGGTGAAGCACTCGTACCACTTGGCACCGACGGCGGCGTTCTCCTCGTCAAGCTTGACACGGATGTCGGTGATCTGGTCGCTGACCTCCTTGTGCTCAGGGTCGATACCGGCGTAGCGGGCGATGGTGTTGCGGGCCTCGTCCTCACGACCTGCACGGTAGGCGAAACGGGGAGACTCGGGAAGGAAGAGGATGCCCACACCAAGAACGAAGGCCCAGAGGAAGGAGATACCCTCGGGGATTCTCCACTGAGCGCTGTTGGAGTAAGCGTCGTGGGTGCCGAAGTCGATCATGTAAGAGGTCCAGATACCGAGGGTGACGAAAAGCTGGTAGCAAGCAATAAGGACACCACGAATGACACGAGGAGCGGACTCTCCCTGGTACATGGGGACGACGACGGAGAGAGCACCGATACCGATACCGTCGACGAAACGACCAGCAGCGAACTGGCCCCATGAGTTCATGGAAGAGATCTCGATAACAACACCGATAGCAGTCCAGAAGGCGAAGAGAGAGATGCAGAACTTGCGACCAATGACATCGGCAAGTCTACCAGCGATGAGAGAACCGACAGCGGCACCACCACAGAGAAGAGCGGTGATAGCACCCTGGCGGTAAGCACTGAAGTAGTAGGTACCATCGGGGTTCTGTTGACCGAAACGGCGGAGGAAGTCGGACATTTGCCAGTAACCTTGAGAGATGTTAGCAAGGAGCTCTCGGGAGCTTTCAAGAAAATACATACCAGAGATTTGACCAGAAGCATAACCGAACATGAAACCACCGATAGAGGCAACGAGACCCATGAAGATGGCCATAAAGGTGACCTTGCCAGCAGGGGCAGGAAGCTCATGGTTGCCAGCGGTCGACTCGACCTGACCAGCGGTCATGGCCTCGGTCTCAGTACGCTTGGAGAAGATACCCATGGTGAGGATGGGTTAGGATGTTTGGCTGGTTGTTGATGGGGGAAGAATGCAGAGCGGAAACCAGGTGGAGGGTGAAGGAAAGGTCTTATGACAGCCAGGTGAGGGTCTGCTGGGGAGATCGAAAAGAAAAATGAGGAGATTCGAGCTTATAAAGAATGGAGCAAAACAGAGGGACGGTAATAGATCGGGGTCGCTATGGAGTGCTCCGGATACAAGGTCGGCACTCGACGCGGGCGTGGGCACAGAGTCGGTTGGAAATGATGGAGCACGAGACACTTTGGGGTCTGTTGATGGAGGTTTGGTTTCGATGTTCTACGCTCTGCACGGAGGATATATATGGGTCCAAGGAAGGGTCGAGCCACTAGCTGGAACCAAGCAGCCGAGCAGCGACGTCAAACCAAGACCACGGTCCGGTGATGGTTCAGGTCACCTGCAAGCAGCAGCTTCGAGCCCTGAGCTGGACGAGCAGCTCTCGGGACGAAGCTACAAGCAAAATTTGCTTTGCGTGCCGAAGCCGACTGAACCATCACGATTCGGAAGGCGTTAGTTACGGAAGTTACAGCCATATCTCGCTCAAACGCCCAGCAAAAAGGCATCAGCTCATCGAAAATGACGTCGCATTTTACGAGCTAATTGGACACAACACCCACGTAACGGGATCACAAGAGAGAGATTTTTTTCTTGGAGATGGAGGGTTAGCCTGGGGCCCATTTGGGGTTTGATTGCTCCAGGATCAAGCGACGAGCATTCGCTTCGCAAGTCGGTGGGACAAGTCTGGGACAGCTCCGGGGCCTGATGCGAGCTTGCAAGAGTCGTGATGTGGGTCGTAGAAGGCGGCCAGAAAACACATCGAAGGGCGTCGGCCAGGAAGATGCCAAGTCGGAAAAGTGTATATCGGCCCTTTGATGGCTTTTTTTCGGCCCGTCTCGCAGAAGCCTCTTTCCAAGCCACCCGTAAAAGTCTTTTTCAACGTCCCTCGAGAAACAGGATGACGTCCTATTCGAGATCTGGAAGTTGACACTACACGACTCGACATTTCACGTTGGATCTCATGCAGAAAGGCATCAGTCTTGAGGTCTCGAAGATGGGACTTCGGTGCCAGTCGCCTCTCGCTAGAGATCGAAGGGCCTTGTGGACCGCAATATCTCTGGCCGACCGGCGAAGGACCGACCTCGGTGGGCATACAAAGTAGGCAGTGGTCTTACTTCGGTTCTCCTGGGTTCAACAGGTTCTTCTTCGGACTATGTTGGGATGAGAACGAGATGTCACACGCGGGTAGCCAATAGCACAGGTGCGGCAAATGGAGGACGGGTTCTCAGACACGTCAAACACGCTTCAGCACGCGTATAATCACATTTCCGAACATGTCACCTTGATGATCCCCCGAGACGTGCAGCCACGCGCAGACGAGGGTACCTGTCTTAGAGACCCACAGTTGCACTCCATGGTGGGATGAAGTTTCTAGGTGGTGAGTCGTTACGGGGGAAATGTGGTGGAAATGCGGATGGCGCGGAGGGTTGTTGCGGTGGTGTCGGGTTCGCTGTATGTATCACCCATGGCGGGTAAAGTAGGAACAGAGTGGAGGATGTGGCGCCCCATGGAGCAAAACTGAGGTGATGAGAAAAAATCTGCATGACATGAAGGAATGGAGTGATGGGCAGTAGATCAGGGGGGTATGGTGTCTTGGAGAGCGAAGAGCACGAACCGGTAGCATATTGGAGAGCGCTCAGGCAAGAGTTCCTCTTTGTACGGTGGAAGATGCTGCTCTATGTGATGATCACTTTGATGGTTACCAGGCAGTTGATAAGATTAGATGAGCGGATCTATCCGTCAAAGCTTGGATGATGTGCAGCGCGTCAACTTCTCTTGTGCACCGCACCGTAGCTGCGCGTCGACAAGTGTCCAACGAGCTTCACCATCGCCATGACGGACTCACAGTCACCAGCTCCACCGGCTGAAGCGCTCCGTCCGGTGCAAGAGAATGCGCCAGCCATCCCGTCCCCACTAAACCCCGAGGTCAGAGGACGTTCGCAGCGCGAGCGCAAAGAGACGGCCAAGAAGCGCGAGGCCACACGCGGCACGACACCGACAGTGCCCGCCAAACGCAAGACAACCGGCCCCTCGAATGGTCGCCATGCACCTGCCCAGTCGGCGCCGTCGCCCATGCGCTACCAGATCCCTCCGCCCAAGTCGTCCGATTACGATCCGCCCAAGCCACCCGTCTTCACTTCGCACGAACCGCTACCTTACATGACACGCGATGGCAAAACGGAACTCAAGAAAGTTACGGATCAGGCCGAGAACAAGCGCGCATACCGATACACTCTAGCCGTGGCAGACCCCAACTTCCGGCACAAGCAGTTTTATCGCCAGTCTGATGGCTTGCCCTACGGAGCCCGCATGTCATTCGAAGACGCCGACCGTTCAATCCACTACGATACGAATGGCCACATCATGACCAATGGAAGAGGATGGCGCATGGCTAGGGCCAACGTCTGTGCCCGCGAGGGTTCATTCTACTACGAAGTGCGCGTTGTGCGCGGAGTGCCCACTGTCCAGTCAGAGGAGACCAAGGGACCACAGCCACACGTAAGAGTGGGATGGGCACGTCGCGAAGCTCCTCTGGACGCGCCAGTCGGTTTCGACGGCTACAGCTACGGAATCAGTGATCTGCGCTTCGAGCCCATGCACCGCAGCAGGCCCTCCAAGTTCTTCCACCCCAGGACTTCCAAGGCAAAGGCCAACACACCCATCCAGCTCAGCGACAGCATCAGCGAAGGCGATGTCGTCGGCCTGGAGATTACTCTGCCCTCGCTGTCACTACACCAGAAGGTCGTCGAAGGTCACTACAATCCTGCCGTCGACCTGGGCGACGGCTTTGAAGATCAGCCTCCACGTCCCGATCCTTCCGTGGAACCTCACCACATCATCCGCGACCGTATTCCCGTACCTTACAAGGGCAATGTCTACTTCGAGACCATGGACTATGTCTCGACCAAGCCTGTCGAAGCATATGCAGACCGCACACTATCTCTGACTTCTCTGTCTACACCCGCCCCTGGCGCACCCACCTCTATCAAATCACAACCAGGTGCTCACCACCAGGACCCTCCGCTTCGCACTCTACCACACAGCAACATCCGCGTCTACAAAAACGGTCACTTGATTGGCACCGCCTTCGAGAACCTCCTGGCCTTTCTGCCACCCGCCAGTCAAGTCAGCAAAGCTCAAGGCGCGCGCGAAGGCTTCGACGACGGCATGCTTGGCTATTTCCCTGCCATTGCCTGTTTCAGTGGCGGCATCGCCGAGCTCAACTTTGGTGAGAACGGTTTCTGGTACCCACCAGCCCACCTCAAGCCTGTCCCCAACATTGCCGATACTTCGGACTCGGATCAAAGATTCTACCGCAGCCGTGCGCTTCGACCCATCTCTGAGAGATTCGATGAGCAGATAGCCGAAGACATAGTCTGGGACGTCCTCGATGAAGTCGATTTCTTCGATCAAGACGGCGGGTTCGACGGCAAAGTCGGTGCGGGCGCGAATACGGTCAAGAAGGGCGTTGCCAGCTTGAAGGAGGAGATGGACTAGGATTCCATCTCTCCACGAAAGTTTCGCCCTTCTCGGAACGCCACTGCCTTTGCTCAGTCGTCTCTGCGTCAGGTCATGTGGCCCGAGCCTTTGATGTCTTCTGTTGAAGTAGAACATCCGATTACTCTCGTCGAAGCAGAGTCTTTGCATCCTGACATCAAACTAGAACCTCCACCCTCCGGGGATCTTGGTCTGACTTTGCCTTCTCCCAAACTGAAGTTGAAGTTGAAGTTCCGTTAGTGTCGAGCTGATGGGTATGCTGCATCTGAGATTATGGACGCTAGGATTTGACGAGAGCTTTGATGCGATTCGGCAGAGATAGCTGGCATCATCTCATCTTATACGCCGACCTGCACCACGTCTGCTCTAGTCTGACGGCAACGCAAGTGGCTTGTCAATGCGAAAAGGTTCTTCTTCGTCTACTCTGGTCATTACCGCCAGTCGGTTTCTAGTTCATGTGCCTCATGGCCAGCAGACAGTTTCCCTTACAGTATGAATGGACAAGCGCGGTTGCATACCAACAGTAATTAGTGCAATAGCAGTATTACAATGAAGCCATAGTCTTTACATACCCCTCCTTGTATGCACTCCTGATCATGTTGTTCTCAAGGATCTCTGATATTTTTGTGTGAAAAGGACAAGGTGACTCCTCTGCTTCGTTCGCTATCCAGCCAGGGTGCTACCCTCAACCATGGTTTTCCAATACCAAAACACTATATCTCGTCATCTCTCTGTCTGATTGTCGCGTAGAGCTCATTTTAGCTTCCAAAAGAGCATCAAAGACAGATCTGTATCAATTTGTGCTTGTGATTTACAGTATCGAGACCGCTATGGTCCAGAACATTGAAGTTTGGAGGATTCAAAGCAAAAACCACAGTATTTACTACCAAGCACACGTAGCATGTCTATCTTGGACTTCGAAGCTAAAGTGAAGAATACCGATACGATACCGAGGAGTCGCATGAGGAGAGGCTACTGGGCTCTATAAGGGCAGTAGCGACTAATTCAGGCAGTGAGAAGAAGGATCGAGGGTCATCAGAAAGCAGTCAGAGTGAGGGCAACAGAGACCAATTGGATCAGAAGCATCTAGATGGTAACAATCACCATGCAGAACAGAGAACTTGAAAGAACGTAATTCTGCTCTGCCTAGGCAAGCGTGCATTTTACATAGGAAAACGCGCAAACAGTCGTCTCGCATGATCATATCATTCAATCATCAATACTCATCAATCGTTGATCTGATCTTCGTCCTCGTCTTACCTAATGATAACCCTCAACCTTGCCCTCCCATCCCGGTCTTCCATATCTCCACTCCGAGAAGTCAATCTCTCCAGGCATCTCTTCACCGTTTGCAAGTCTGAGACGTGGGAACGAGTCCTGGGCCCAGACATAAGAGCGGCCATCCTCAGAAACGGCGCCATGGTTTTGAGGGTTGACAAAAGCATCAGGATTAGTGGGGTCGCGGGAGTTGGGTCCTGCGGGATCTGTACGAGGTGAGCCATTGAACCACCGTACAAGATCTCCTGCGTAGTCGAGAGCGCGGTTGAGTAACCCACGGTTGTCAATTTGGTCTCCCTGCGCAGTCTCTTCTGCTTTGACCACGGCATCATCTTCCGGTTCGTTCTTTGCTGCTTCCAGGCAAGCTTCGCTGACCCTTTTTGCCTTATCCTCGTTGACGAGGACTAGAGCACCAGAATGCCAACCAGCTGCTGTGACACTGAGAGCGAAGTATGTGGCAAGATCGTCATCGTCTGGTGTATCGTTTGATCCGCCATACCTCTGCTCCCAAGCATTGCCTTCTTGCTCGATCCATTCGCTAACCTCGCCTTGAACCTTGAGCTCAGAGAGCATGCGGATGCGCTCTGTGGCCTCGTCGGGATCTCGGCCACCGCTTGCGAGGAATGTGATCCATTTCTCCTTTTCCTTTTCGAACCAGATTCTGCGACCATGCAGGCTGGCATGGGGGACCAGGCGTCCGTCTCCGCCGATACCCTGGTAACGAAGTCCGCGAATTCGACCATCGGGGTCTTGGTGACCACGCAAACCGAGGCAGCCGCAGCTCTGGGGCTCTGTACCATACGATGTGATGTAACCAGGTGCATGCAGAGCGTGGAAGTGGTAATCACCAAAAGCTATCGAGATGACCTGAGATTGTTGAAGAGCGGGGATACGATTGAGGGATATGGTGCCATCGCCTGGAAGAGGATGGAATAGAAGACGCAGATGATCATCCTGATTGCCTGTGTACACAGTCCCATCGTTGGTGAAAATTGCGAACGAACGGAATGATCCTTGGACGTCTGTAGCGAATTTGGTCTCTCCTTCAGGTCCGAGTGGCAGCTCTCTGACGTCGTCCAATGCCTTGCTTTGTGCGTCCCAGACAATCTTGGCCGCATATACTTTACCAAGATGAGTGTTGAAGATGATGTAATGCTCAAGACAGATGAAGTTTTGTACTTCGCCGATCTTCAAGCTCGCAGGCGAAGGCTGAAACGATGTAGGATGCTTCTGGAAGTCGGTACCTGGGCAGATTGCGGTCTCTAAAACAAGCACAGCATCTTCTTCTCCTTCTGGCTGTCGCGGGCCACGAGCCAAAGGTTCCCAAAGAACGATACCGGTGCCCACCACAAGTGCAGCGCTTTTTGCCCAGCCCGCAACAACTTTCTTGACATATCCGCGGGTTGACGGCCCGGCATTTTCTCTGACTACCGTGTCGACGTTCAGGAATTTGACTTGAAGCGCAGGCATGTTGATATGACTCCAGGACCATATGTACCCAGCGTCTGATAGAGCCAGGATATGGCGACGTCCGGCAGAGAATTGTTTGATAGCAGATGCTGGCTCGTAACGTTCGTTAGGGTGAGGCAGCCCGGCAGGATAGCGAAGTCTCTCAGGTTTTGACTTGGCAGGTTGACCAACGAATATGCCGTCCATGACACCAACGCTGTACAAGCCGCCTTTTGAGGTCAGTAGATTCGTGGACCAGCCACCGCATTGCATGTCGGCGATGATACCTAACTGCTCCGCATTCTCCATCTCAGTAGGCCATGACACGTGTTGGCGGGTGCGTACAACAGGTCTGCGGCGTCCGGCAGGTCCAATACCACCGCGGCCAAAAGGAGCTCCCATGTGTGTTTGTTGACTATGACCCAGACAAGTTCTGTCATTGTTGCCCCAGGTAAAGCAGCGAGACTCTATCAAAAGTCGACGATACATCTTCTGCCATCTGAGACCGTCATTCTCGACAACCGGCTGATTTGGAACACGGAAGGTATTGCGCGCGGCTGAGCTCCAGTAAGGAGCATATTGAGCAATATTGGGTTGATGCAATGCCGAGCAAGTTGATGTCAAGGCCACGAAGCTGGTGGCATCAAGGTAGGGAAATATCAGATACAGAATGTCTACTGGAAGATCCAGCAGTTGCGTTGTTTCTGGCATAACAATTATGATGATGCTGCCTGATAGTAGCACCGATGTCAAGTATTGAAGTAGACAGAGAGTTGACCATCAAGGCAAGGTGAGGCAGCAGCAGTTGCACAGCCTCAAGCTCGGACCTCGAGTCCAATCAGGCAGGTCCGCAGCAAGATAGTGAGTATCACCAGTTCAATACCTAGTCGACATGCTGTAACTCCCGAGACAGAACAAACATGAAGATGCACCTCGACCTGGGACTGTGAGAGGTCCCAGGTAGTTGTGCGTGATATAATACTGTGCTGATACGCGTGTTACAGGGGCATACAGTACCAGTGTTGGTGTTGTTAGTAACAATCGTGCCAAAGCGGGCTCGGAACGCGGGCCGAAGGACTTGCTTGAAAGCTTGGAGAGAATTATTCCCGACTGCCTCGAGTTCATGCCAGCTGTAAAGAGAGTCTCCAAAGAACAGGGGAAGACAGAGCTTGTGAGAGTGTGATGAGGATCCATTGCGCTAGCCACGTTATGAGTTCTATCGATACAGCCTGCTTCTGTACACCAGGTCATCCATGGGCTGTGCATCGGGCGTGCCTCAATCTCCTTCAGCAGTGCTCAGGCTGAGTCGCCAAGACGAATCCTTCGAACCATGTTTAGGTATGGCTTATGGCACGCGCTGATCATATGTCAAGTGCCTTGAGAATGGATATATAAGCAACACGACCCTCCACTTGAATCGATGAACCATAAACAGATATACGGAGTATCCAACATGAGTAAATACTCATCCGAACACATCAACATCGTCGTGGACAGCGTTCCCCAAGGGGTACTCGGTACATTCGTGCCGGGTCAGACAATTTCAGGCAAGGTCATATACAATCCTCGCACTCAAGTTGACATCGACCATGTCATCATAATCTGCAAAGGGATATGCTTTACAGAAATCACGGAACGCAGCGGCAACACCACGAGTCACTATCCCGAAAAGATCATCTTGTTCAGGAATCTGGACACAATATTTAGAGGTCCTCACACAATTCCTGCGGGAAAATACGAGTGGCCATTCCGTTTTGAACTGCCTATCAGAGCCGATTACCGTCGAAAGAGCCATAAAAGAGATGGCCAGTACCAAATGGGCGAACAAGCACTACCTCCCACTTTCAAACTGGACAGCGAGAACTTCTCAAACCCCCCTAAAGCAAAAGTCACCTACAAACTGAAAGTGAAAATCAACCCAGGGAATTTCATACATTCGGCGAAGCGAGCGAAAGAACTCCCGGTGTGGTCTCTTTCTGCGACCCCTTTGAAACCACCAGTACCACTGGATAGCTACAGCGAAGGCAATGGGCGCTTCAAGAGCAACTCTCTACGACCAACTCAGCATACATTCAAGGAGAAGATGAAACACGCCTTTACTAGCGACTCCTCATTGAAGACACCAGAGATCAATATTGGGGTGTCTTTCAAGATGCCTCGGTGCGTTAGCGCGACACAGTACATGCCATTGGAGCTCTCGTGTAAATACACCAAGACAGGCCAGAACGATCCCGAGTCCCCAGATCTCGTCCTCAATGGTTGCACCTTCTCCCTCAAGACATACGTCAATGTCAGAGCGAGCGGCACTCTCAGCGAACATCACGATGACGGAAAGGAGACAGTCCTCAGCCATACACTACGCGGCAACGACACGTTGCTGCCACATGATGGTTCATTCGTCCCCATCTCTGATCCCATTCGTCTGGCAGACATGACACCGCATGTCCATCGTCTTGTCCCCACTTTCAGAACCTGGATCATCTCAACAACCTATAAGATGGTTGTCAAGATACGGGTCCGTCATACCCAGACAGGCCATGTGTGGAAGTTCGAAAGCAAGTTCCCTTTTGAAATACTGCCAGGAGAAGTGGCTGTGCCCGCATACAGCGAGCAGCAGACATCTTTGGTCGAAGCTGGACCATCGGCACTCTATCCACCACAGCTTCAGAGTGACAACCAAGCATCTTCGAGCTTCACAGCCCCGCCAGAGTTCCGCGAGGACCTGGCACCACCATCATACAATTCCGGAGATGTCTGGAGGACAGCTCCGGATGCTAAGAGAGTATATTGAGCAGATGAGATGCTAATTCTTGTTCTTATACCACCTTACGATATTGTCAACTGGATGACATCGCTTGTGTTGGATCATCGCATGGCTAGCGATTCGGCGTTTAGTTTGCCTGTATTGTTTCTTCAGTTTGAGATACCACTTAGTACGCATGATCTTGTGCAGTCGCAGAATTCGCCTCGACGAGTGCCACAAATAGTGTTGTCTGTATGCGAGCAGTATGTAGCAATAATGACACCTTCATCATGCAGCCAGCCGTTCGCATATGCATACCGAATTGTGCGCCAGGTTGTGACCCCACCTTGGTAGTATAAACCAGTACGTAGTCATAGTCCATCAAGCCGTCAACATACCACCACTTACGCTTGAATCTGGTATCACCTATCTTGCAATGGGTTACAGCGAAACGGCCGTAATAGAGCCCTCTACACAGTCGGCAATGCGCAGTTTGATCTAATCAGGTGCTCAGGTCGGCAAATTTGTCCACATCTTGAGTTGTGATATCAAGATCAGGTTCGGGAGTGTTCGGATAGAATGGCCTCACATCTGGAAATAAGCATTCTGACCGACCCTTGACAGCCACATCCCCAAGACAAAAGCACTGACTGATTCGTCATGCAGTCGTTGAGTCGAGCCCATTCTTTGCCTTAGATATCTTGACCTATGTTGAGGAAGACCACGAAGCCAAAACCATCACTTGAATCAACAGTATCGGATCGAGCCTTTGCCATCTCGATCTATCCGGTGAGTGAACGAGGAGAGAAGAAACAAGAGATAAGCAAAAGATCGAGCCGATCTTGGCGGCAGACGAATACTCGGCCTGGGCACTTTCCACCAACGTTGCCGGCAAAGGCGCCCGTCCCCGAATAGCAAAACTAGCAGTCAGCTGGTAAAAATGACGATCACATCGCACGGGAAGGGAAAAACAACTTAAGTTAGCGCTGTCAACACTCTTCACACCTTTTCTGACCTCTTTCGCCTCTTGGAATCAATCATACCTTCTTCCAAAAACCAGACCTTTGTGTCTGTGACACCTCTTTCTCGACCTGGCATTTTGTTTTCGACTTTGACTGGAGAAACTGGATATCCTTGGCGTCGGTCAATGCAAGCGGCACTACAAGACTAGAAACGCGGTTATGTCTGACCAAAATGGCGGGGCACGAGAGCAATAAAGAAAAGATCTATCAAGAGTCCTTTGCATGATACCATTCGATATACCGTGTCTGGCGAAGAAACAATAAAGACGGACATATCTCTACCATCTACTTGCCCAACAGGCCTGGCATCCTGGAGCAGTCCTACCATGCGGGCCATCCACCGCTCACCAGAGGATTTTCAAGGACGCCTTACCTATCTCACATGTTCTGGCATTTCTCTGGTGACCACAGGTCTATCGCTTCCTTCGATTACATGGACGAGTTCCCGAATCGATGATATCGCAATTGACTCGAGTTGGCATCGCAGCTGTCATCGGATGGCAACCCGCTTCCGCCGTGGGTCCAAAGAACATCACAAACACCTCATGGTGACGAAAACTTTCTACCACGAGGAAAGTCACATTCGCGTGTCACAACACTGAAACTTCGTTCTTAATGTTCCTTCATCATCCTCATCACGACCATCGCTATCACCATTCCAACAACTCCGACCTTTGCATTCCATTGACAGCATCCTCAACAAAGACGCCGATTATACCCTATCAACTCGCTTTCAGCACTCTGGATTCAAGGCTACAGAAAGATGTTGACACACGAATGGCGAGCTAGAAAGGTTTTTATTTTGGTGTCGTCTTGTTGCTTTGCAGACTAACGTGGCCTCGAAAAAGGTCGCAAGAAACATGAACACTAACTACACAGAAAGAATTGAAAATGACCATGGCCGTCCCTTTCGTGTGTGCTTGACCGTCAACCCCTGTCGCTACCAAACCAAGAAAACCATCCTGCCAAATCGACCCGAAAAGGAAAGAAGAAAAGTTATGCTGCTGCTGCCGCACGTCCACGCTGAATACCGTCGAATCTGCTCAAATTATGCAATGGCCTGGACCTCTCAACTACTGTCTTCTGGTCACGTCCCTAAGCTCTGAATCGGGCGCGCCCGACATAGAGATCACCGAAGGTGTCTTGCCACTTACTTCGCTCATCACAGGAGAAGCCATATCGGCAGCGGAGGCTGACCGCATATGGTTCTGACTGAATGACGAACGACCATCTGCAATGACTGGAGAAGATGTTGCGCCGTAGTTGGTGCCAAATGTCATGCTCTGGGCTTTCCTCATGTTGTATTCCTGGATGGGGTGGCAACTGCAGAAGGTGTGTTGTAGTGCTTGTGTACGCCAGTACGACAACTCATCACGCAGAGACTTCTCGGTCTGTTTCAGTGCGCTGTTCATTGCGCTCTGCGTACGGAAGGTGTCTTCGAGTTGGTCGGTGTGTTCCTTCTTCTTCGCGCGACACTTAGCCGCAGCGACGCGATTCTTCTCTCGGTATTTATCTTTCTTGTCGCCCGTCAAGCCATCTTCTGATGCCCGACTCTCTTTCCGACTCTTCTGGGATGATCTTACTGAGGGTCGCTTGTTGGACATGGAACTGCGAGGAGACATACTCGAGGCGTCGTCAACTTCCATCCCGGAGGCCCCAGAGTCAGCTCTCTTGCCGAAAGACTTTGTCATTTCGTGCAAGTTCGCGTCATCTGGCGGTGTCACTTGACCGTATCGCTCCATCGATGTGCCACAATTGTTGAGGAGTTTTTCCAGGCCGCCGTCGAATGCAGGCTGTGACAGACTACTCCACATGTTGGCTGGGTTGCCATGCATCTCAGAAGACATGTCGTGCTCTCCGAATAAGGAGTTGGACTCCAGGGCTGTCGGGCTGATGGAGTGGAAGTCGTAAGTTGTGGGCATTGAGTTCATATCGTTATCTTGTGGTGAGGCTTGGTCGAAGTGGAAAAGATTCATATCAGAGGAGTCGCGAAAGACGAGAGATGTGAAGGGATTGGGATTGCCCAGTGCTGTGGACAGGTTGACAGTTGCTGATGCGGCAAGCAAAAGCTCTGCTAGTGGAAAGCGTTCTCAGACGCGATGCACCTTGAAGGAGCTACTGCGAAGAGACGAGCACTTAGTTCTAAGTCGAGATGCTGCACAACCACAGCGTAACAGGTAAGCTTTTACGCAGTGTGAGTGAAGGTTTGATAGGAGTTGGGTTGAGTTGAGCTGTGTAGACGGTCGATGATTGTGTTATGAACCTGACAGCTTGAGCCTCACAGACGGCGTTGCGGATCGAGGCAGTTTGCGGTAAGAATTGGCGGATCGTTCTGATATTGGTCAAAAGACAAATGATGGGTTGTTGCTGTCGAGAAAGAGCTTGGATCGAGCAGTCAAAATCGAGTCAATGGCTTGAATAAAGGGAGATGGGATTGAGATGGGATTGTGCCGTGGCAAGAAGAAACAGCCGCAAACGAGGAAGCTGGGGACAAGGATTGGAATGGGTTGAGGCTCTGCGGATACACCGACGTATGTGTCCGATTCGGCGGGGTAGGCTAACCGGAAAGAAAGAGCTATGGCTGAGGCTGTCTTCGATGATCGAGCTTCTTTAACAGCTTTTTGGCTGACACGATTTTAGGGAAATCTCTTCAATCGTCATGCCACATGTACGAAACTCGGCGCGGACGCCGTTCCTAATCTGCAATATTCCTTCTCGTTCATGCTAACTACCAAACACCAGAGCAGAATAGAGAAGCGGAAGCAAGCCCGATCAGGGGGTGTCTCCGAATCGACGTCAGATGCAGCTTGTGTGTCGGCTCGCAGAGTCGCAGCCCGCTTCGTGCGAATGAGCCGCATCATTTTTACTTCTGACGCTCAAATCTCGACGATCGATGCAGCAGCCGCTTCAGATCCTTACCACTTGTAGAACAAACCACCAGGGCCAATCACCAGTTAGTGGTGACGGACCTGAGACTCCGTAATCCATGCGTATCCTTGAGCTGGCATAGTGTGAGCTATTGCCGATCTTTCTATCTTCGCTGTCGTCTGATGAGGCATGCCTCTCGTTCAAGCATCGTCGCTTTTCACTTTCTTTTCGCCAGATAAGCGGCCACGCTACAGCGGCAGCAGGAGTGGGAGATAGCAGGAGTGTCGGAGGAAAGCGGGGCCACAGAGCCGCCGTTCTTCCAACAGAAATCGCACTGTTTCCTACGCAATTAGCGAACGTCATCGGACCTACTCCCGTGAGAACCACATCCTATAGGATCATGGATGGAGATATGAGATGTCAGATGCTTTCGTCCCAGCTCCCAGGCTTGCGCCTCACCACGAACATGCCAAAGCATAAACCTCACCACGTAGGCGCTTCGCCGAAAGTCATAGGTCACCTGTTCGCTGTGATCTTTCCAGCTTCTTCCTTGAGTCTACGGCAAGAACATGCGCACCAATCGCAGGAACATCGGTCTGTCCACTACCTACTCTGAGTAAGGCCACCACCCAAAATGTCGAATCGTTTGCGCTTGTCAGTCAACGGTCTCATATCGCTAGTTGGTGAGTCCGAGCACCACCTATATTTTCATGGCAATAAGAATAGGTGGACGCCCTGCACCATAACTCGCTACACTTTATCTGTCGCCTCACACATCCCTGCATTCTGAGGAAAGGGATCATACAAATACCCTCATGGCAAACGTGTCCGGGATGCACAAAAGGCAAATGCCGTGTGCGAATGCGAAAACAGAGGAGGGAGCTTGCTAAGCACACATGACGCGGGTTTTCGCCGAAATACAATGCCATGAGCAAATCCCCATGGCTGCGTGCTAAGCGTCAACATCCGTCATCTCCGCGGCTCCCGCTTGTTCCTGCTCTAAGTGCTCTTTCCTCCGCCAGCCGTTTACGGCTCAACCTGCCTTGACACTTGGAAGATCCACCTATCTTCTATATGCACGGTCTGTCCTGTTCGTTGTTTGGTTGGCTAATCAGGTATGGTGTGGTATCGCTGGCTTGTGGAGTGTTAGGCAACAGAACGTCGTTCTTTGTGCAAGCATCATCCTTGTGGCTGACCACATGTGCATACAATTTCTATCTTACGGGATAAGGTCCGCAATATACATATGGATGCACATCTTACGTGGCAATCGGGTGAACGCCTAAGCGGGTCCTGATTCCTGTTTTACAACCTCGGGCGAGCGCACGATCGTGCTTGCGTACATTACTCTTAAACATGAGAAACGGATCAAACTCCTGCTCACACAGATGAGAGAACGCGCTAATTAACTTTTACCTGCTCTTCTGCAGGTGTCAGCTCGATTGTCAACGAATCCTTGCGAAAACTTGTGCGACACCGTAGCACGTTGATAATATGAGTTAGTAACTCCTCTTCGAGACTACATAGCAGCGGTTTCTAGCTCCCCCAATGGCTTTTCGATAAAAGCACTCTAATACCCAACTCTACGTGAACAGTAGACCAGATAGGTCGATAGGAGACTGGACAGGAGGACAGTCAGTAATACACACCTTGGAAAATGTTGTAGCCTTTTTGTTCTTTTGTTCTTTTTTTCTTCTCTGTTTTTCCTTTTTTTCTTTTCCTTTGGATATTCTGTTCAGTACCTAGCAATACTCGATTCTATATACCTACGCAATCTAACACTTTTTGCTTTTTTGAATGAGTTGGGCACAAAAACACAGCACCTTGCAACACGGGCTCGAGGTACAATGTGAATATGAGGTTGTCCTATCTCATGACAGGCGCTACCAACATACAATGATGGAACCTCTGCACGAAATGAGGGACAACAGGCTCATTCAAGTCACAGCAAACTCGAGAAAATCACATCATGATCCAAATTCGTCGTAACTTCGATACCTAAACTCCTAGCAAGCCCTGATTCTTCAAGGGAACGCCATTGGCACAATGACTAACCATCTAACGGGCTCTTGCTCTCCTCCGACCATCATCCGCACAATCTGTGCCATGCTTAGCCCATCCACCAATGCCTGAAGCGTGCCGCGGGTTGACCCTGATCGTGTTTGTGCTCGACAGGCAATCCATTGTTGTAATTCGATTCCTGCTCGTTTAGAAGGCCGGCTTCTTTAGTGTTGTCCTCTAATCGTCCGGACATTCATCTCATCGTATCTCTCAAACGACTAAAGCACAGTCCGGGTGTGCACTCATACGAGTACAAGGATGGCCACGTAGGACTCGCTTGCTTACTCGAGATAAGCCTCTTTGCTGGTAGCCATTTACTGGAGCGATGTGGTCGTCGGTGACTGAAAAGTTGAGACGATGTGCTCAGGCTCAGCTGTCCACATGGCCACATGCCCAAAAGAAAATGTTTAAATCTCATCCATGACACGGTATGTCTCTAGAATCCGTTGCTTTCCATGTAGTAAGGGTATTCCTGGTAGACTGGCCACGGCCATTCTAAAGCAAGATCTGTTGGAAGCTGAATAGCACTAGTGCCATTACCGTTGAGTTCTGAGACAGGATGAGGCATTCCCATTGCTAGTGGCGGTTGTGCGACAGCGGGCTGTGCTGGGTGTTGTGGCGGCACGGCTTGGGGAACACCCCTTTGGGTTTGCATATACTGGTCGATTTTCTCAACTTGAGCTAACAGACCTTGGCTGGCACCCGCAGAACGATGAAGATTGGACTCCAACGTCTCAAGTAATTCTGCCATGAGCAACAGCGAACTGCGCACACGCTCATAGACTTGCTGCTGGAGGGGTTGCTCGAACACAGAACCAAGCACACCACCAATGCTTCCCAGTTGGTAGATCATAGGGGTGCTTATAGCCCTCAGGTACCTATGAGGAATTGTCTGGAAAACAGTCAGGACTTCGTTGGCCACGTCACACTTTCTGTCGACGCTAGGACCGTCCTCTGTGGAGAACAGCATCATACGAAGCAGCTGAAGTGTTGCCTGAATGTTTGCAGCCTGGAAGGCATAGATGTCCTGAGTGGGGTCACCAGTCATCTGAGGGGTAGATTTGAACTGGGGAGGCAGGGCGTAGTACATGTTAAGCATGGTAGCCATGACACTCTTCTCGGAAAAGGCGTCGCCGAAGACGAGACTATCAACGCTACGACGATCGTCGTGATTGAAACGCTTGGCACGAGACTTGTTAACGACGTGTTCTAGGACACGGTACAAATCGATGGTGAAATTCCAGCCTACCAGCCAGCTGACTCGGTGTTGGCCAGGAGGGGCTTCGATTTTGGTGCTCGCAATGGTTCCGTCATCATACTCATTGGGGTATCGCACATTCAAATGGACCTCCTGAGTACGAATGAAGCAGTTCCAGACGACGGCGGTATAGACCTCCAAAGTATACGACCCCCAGTAAAGACGTCTATATGTTTCTTTCTGATATTCTTCCAAGCCACTGGGCCAATACTTCTCATCGTAGAAGCGTTGCATGGCGATGAGAGTGCTGCCGATGCCCGAGTACTGCTGGACATCTAGAGATTGGCCGTATTGAATGCTGGTCAAGGAGAGAAGCGCGCAGGCTCGTATGTAGTCGAAACCACGGAGTTTATCGAAGTCGGAGGTGAAGACGGATTTCGCGGCAGAGAAGAAGACCTCAGACGAGGCTTCGGGATTCCTGACAGCGTCGGGTATTCTGGTTGGAAGCGCGCCGTCGCGGATACGTGCCGAGGCCAGAGCACACATGGACATGACGGAGGCAAAGAAGCCCCTGTCGGTCAAGTGATCTCTATTCTTCATTTTTGCCCTGTCGGAGGCCTCGTGGAAGAAGGGATACAGTGGATAGACGATCTCCATGTAGACATCGAAGAGGTCGAGGATGATGGGCTCGCTCGAGAGGGCAAAGACCTTCCATGGCAGGTCGAGTTCGGTCGTGTCGCCATGGGAAGCGAGGGCAGGGACGAGGGCGAAGTCGTTGGCCTTGCCTATCGAGTCGTTGCGCGT